AATGCATTCAAAAATTTTTATTCAAATTTACCTCTATGACTTAAGATGGATCAGATGATTCCGACTAACCGTCCAGCCGCGGCTACCATGAAGATTAAAAATAAATACTACCTCCGTCCCATAAAAAGGACAATATTTGTCTTTTGCATCATTGTATTTAACTTTGAAAATATCATTATATTTATATAATTTACTCCACAAATGTCATTGTATTTGTATTATAAAAGACTAATAGAGATATTTTTGTTATTTTATTTTGATTTGGACTACGTACTGATATAATAATTAATATTCAAATATCAACCTTCAAAAAGCTCATGATAATCTTCTTATGGGACGGAGGCAGTATTATTAATTAATTTATGTATATAATTTTGTCACATAAACTTTATATTAAATTTGAATAAAATTAATAAATATATTTGAAATTATAAATTTAGTAAAATAAGGAATTAATTAATAATTAGCATAATAGAATGATATATATTTAAATGGTTTTTCTTTTACAATTTATACTATTTCCAAAAAAATTATATTTTTTATTGAACACTTTAGTATAAACATATACTAGTCAGTCAAACTACCTAATTGAATCAACTAACAAATAGTCAATTGAATTATTTATCGTTAGGAGCTACTTTAATTATTTAACAATTAATTGTCAAACATCCTTTAATAATGTATTTATATGCCAAACGATTTAATTAATTTGTATTTTAAATATATATATATATACATATACTTCATCTGTCTTTTAATAATCTATCTATTTTTTTATTTTGGTATGTCCCGTAACAAAGTATCTATTTCTATTTTTAGTAATTGTACTATCTATCTAACATAACAAATACCCTTCTAATTTACAATATATTACATAAATATCATTACTTTTATATCATACAATACTAATAGGATTAATTTAGTTTTTTTACTTTTATTTTTACTTTATCTTAATATAATACTAATATTTCTAAAACTCCGTACAAAAAGCAAATTGATATATAGATATGGGACGGAGGGAGTATTATTTAGATTGTATAGAATAAAAGTGAGTTGAAAATAAAGTAAACAATTAAATCGAAGATTTTGGATCTAAAAAGAGATGATGAAAAGTAGTTTGGAGTATGATGGTTGTCGTGAGCATTCAATTTAATTTGTGAGCGTGATGTACAAAAGTACCTATTTCCATCATAATTCATTTTTAAATTGTAACTTTTATAATTATTGGTTGAAGTAATTCCTAAGTCAATAAAATTCATTTAATTTCAAACTTTAAAAAAATAATAATAAAGATAGTGACCTTGTGATATTCCATAACGAATGATCTAATTGTTTAATTAAAATTTGAAAGAAGTTTGTCGTCATTTATATATGGATGTTAGCCTTCAGTTAAAAACAATATTCAAACAACGTACTGAATAATATATATAGTAACGAAAAGACAAGCAAACAAATAATATTAAGTAAATCATAAAAGCAAAATAAATTTGAAAGAAGTTGTCGTCATTTATATATGATTTGAATTTAAAATAGTTTATAAGTTTTATTTGATTTTATGATTTACTTAATATTATTTGTTTGCTTTTCTTTTCGTTACTATGTATATTACTCTCTCTGTCCCAATAAAAAAGTCTTGTTTACCATTTTTGTCCGTCCCAAAACAATAGTCTCATTTCTATAAATAATTATATCACCATAAAATTATCCCTATTTTTTCATTATTATTACACAATTGCCACTACTTTTTACACTAATATACTCACAAAGGCAAAAAAATCATTTATCCTTACTTTTACCAACTACCCATATAATATCAATATTCCTTGAATCCCGTGTCCAACACAATAAAACTATACTTTTGGGACGGAGAGAGTATTTAGTATGTTGTTTGAACATTGTTTTTAACTGAAAGCTAACAACCATATATAAATGACGACAAATTTCTTTCAAATTTATTTTGATTTTTAATTTAAGAGTGTTTATGAATAATTATTTTTTATCTCTATTATGTTTGAGTTTAAATTGATATATATTTATGAAATTTTGATTCCCTTACTTAATATTCTTTACTTTGTTCAGTTACCGTATTTTTATTTATAATTTATTTTTTATATAAATTAATTTTTGTTATTTTCATACATAGTTTTATTATCAAAATAAAATTTATTATTTAAAATATAAATTAAAGTAATATCACAATTTCTATAATTACCCGTGCTATGCACGGGTAATAGGCTAGTAATATATATAGACAACGCATGTTCTTATTACACTCAACACAAGATATGTGGTGTTTGTTCATGATAACATGTGTGCGGTAAACGAGTATGTCATGTGCTAAAATCAACTGTTGTGTATTGTATGAAATTATAACATGTACTGTTAATTCATGTGTTGTATTTATATTATATTAATACGATGTATTTTGTGTAATAATATTATATGTTGCAAAACAGCACACGATGTTCTTTTTAGCACAATGCTAAAATTCCGCACTAAAATGATAATATAATTTTTCACAAAAAGATAATATCCAAAGTACAAAACTTACGTAAAATACAATATCACATGCACCCATATTCTTATTATAGCTTAACATGCATTTTGTATTTATTTTTACCCTTTTTTTTTCACTATTGAGTTTGGATAACTCTTAATAATAATTTTTTATAATTTAAAAAAGAAAATAGTAAAAGTTTGAATTTAAATAATTGTTGGATGTAATATAAATATATATTAATGTGATTTTTACATATAAAATTAATTTTTAATATATATAAATATGAAGAATTATGTCAGTAATATATAAAATAATATTTTGTATTGAATTATTGATTTTTTTTATGAATAGATAAAGTGATACAAGTAATCTATTCAATACATTTAATTACTGTTCAATATTGAATGGTCTTACACTGACTTATCCATGAGAGTTGGTCTAACTACTGTTAATTATATTTGATCCAATTTAAAAGTATAGTCAAATTTCATCTCGTTAAATTAAAATTAATTATATTTGTTCATTTAGTATTTTTAATTGATACAATTAATTTCATTAATATTATTGAAAAAATATAATATATATACATATATTAGCATAAAATATACTATTTTCGTCCGACTCTAAGGGTCTCATTTATTTTTTACGTATTGATATTTGAATATTAATTATTATATCAAAATGTAGTACAAATTAAGAAAAAATTGAAAAAATATGTTCAATGTTGTCTTATAATACTAATAAAATGACATTTGTACAAAAAAAAAAAAATTATATAAATATAAAGATATTTTTAATGTTAAGTACAATAATGCAAAAGGTAAATGTAACCCTTAGAGGCGGACGAAGGAAGTATAATATATATATATTATCGTTCGAAAAATCAATTTCAAAGTCGATTGAATAGGCCGGAAACCCATCGCCACGACTCTCCAACCAAACGACAATATATATCATATATATATTGTGTTAATATGTGTATATATTATATTTTTCAATGATATTTATGAAATTAACCGCATCATTTTAAAATACTCCCTTCGTCCCAGATATCATGTTCACGTTGCCGTTTCTCTCCGTCCCACGTACCATGCACTTTCCTTTTTTGGAAAATGATTACATACTTTAATCTCATTTTAAATTTTTAAATTTTATTTTTTTAATTTTAATTAAACTAATTAGTTATCTTAATTTATAATTATTTATATTATAGGATAATTATTTTCACTAATACATTCTTAATTATCTACTAATTATACCCCTCAAATACTGTGTCTACAGTGTAGCAGACACGGTATATGGGACGGAGGGGGTACTAAATAATCAAATATAATTAATTTTAATTTATCGAGATGACATTTGACCACACTTTTAAATTGGATCAAATATGATTAGTCTTATTTACAATTGGACAAAAAAGATTTTTTTTTTTTTTTTCTTTATTGGAGTATTATTAACAAATTTATTATATAATAATACTATTATTATTTTATTTATATTTAGAAAACAGTGAGAGTGATGTGAACGTAAATCATCAGTCAGCCCCACCAAAATTCAGATAAGAAAACATTGAAGTGATAGGTTCACGTATATTTTAAAACATGGCCTGTCTTTTTTCTATTTAATTATTTTTTATACAGTATATTTCAAATTTTAATAATTTAAAATAAATTAATAATTATAATATATAAATACTGTGCAACATTTGAGTTTGATATAAAATTTAGATAAATAGTATTAAATAGGATAATTTGAGGTAATTTAGAAATTAGATAATATGATTGAAAATAAAAATTTATATTTATTTGTATTATATAAAATTTTATTCTTTTCAAAATAATATCTATATTGAATATATTTTTTATTACAATTAAATTTTTAAAATATTTAAATACATATATCTAAACATTTTTAATCATATATTAAATTTTATTTTAAAATTGCAAATATTATTAATCATATAAACATTAATAAAATAATATAATAACTCATTTTTATTTATTAATTAAATAACACTAAAATAATCAATAACTAAAATAACCCCAAATTTCAATAATAATAATAACAAATACCTTATTTTGTTTAGACACAAGTTTTTTAAGGTTTTTGAAAAAATAAAAATAAAATCAGTATTTGATTTGATATTTTGTAAAAATATATATATATTTAATGCAATAATTTTTTTAAAATAAATAATACTCCCTCCGTCCCGTAACAAAGTATCTATTTTTCCATTTTAATCCGTCTCATAACAAAGTATTCATTTTCTTTTTTTTAGTAATGGTACTATCTACTAACATTACAAATACCCTTACAACTTACAATATATTACACAAATGCCATTACTTTTGTATCACAAGGTTATTTTAGTCATTTCTACTTTATTCTTACTATATCCTAATATAATACTAATATTTCTAAAACTACGACAAATAAATATTTTTTTGGGACGGAGGGAGTATAAAATAAATAAAAAATATATTTTTTAAACAAAGCCATGTATGTCACAATTTATTTTTTTTCAGTAAAATTTTTTCTTAAAAATATAAACATTATACAAACAAACACCTTCTTCCCACCTAAAACCTCCTTACTCACTCACTCATTGTCACATTTTCTTCATTTATATCTAAAAACACTTAGGCTTCAAAATCACCAAACAAATACATAAAACCAAATCCAAGAAACCATTTTCATGTATCTATATATCATATCATATCTCATATTATATATATATATATCGTCGTCGTCGTCTTCTTCACCGCCGCAGCACAGCCAATTCATCAACCGGATTCCGGCAATCTCGTCGAAACATCGATCGATCGACGAAAAAATCGAGCTCTCCATCGATGAATTTCCGGCCTTCATTCTCACATCACGCGGCAGCTCGACGTATTCTCGTCGCTGAACATCGAGTACTCGTCCAACCGGGTCCCCGGTGGCGGCGGGTACGGGTACGGCGGATACGGCGGCATGTAGTTCACCGCCGGCGGCGGTCGCGCATACATCATCGGCTGAAACCTCTCGTTCCCGTTCGCCCGTTGCTGGTTCATCATCATAGCCGCAAGCTGTTGCTGTTGAAATTGGTTCCCGCCCGCCATTTGATCGCCGCCTTGAAAGTACCCGGCTCCGGGACCGGCGGCGGCAGCACCGCCGCTGGTCGGAAGGCCTCGAATTGCACCTATTTGGCCCGGCATTTGGCCCGGCATTGGCCCACCGGAATTCATGCCGGGTGCTCTCATCCCCGCCGGCATGTTCGCCATCATCATCGGGATGTTCGGGTTAGCCCCGCCGCCGTCGTTAATTCCCATTTTCTTCGCCCCGTTCGGGTTAAAATTATGCGCGCCGTTCCCGCCGCCGCCTCCGTTCTTGTTTTGGCCGCCAAAGTTGATATTGCCGCCACCTTTTCCGTTGCCGTGATTTTGGTTTCCGGCATTGTTGTTCGAATTCCCACCTTTCTTGCCGCCGGAGTTCATCTGGACAGGTATATTCATCCCGCCGCCGCCGCCGCCTTTCTTGGCGTTGATCATATTCTGCATAACATTCGCCATCTGAGCACCGCCACCGCCGCCGCCACGGCCACCGCCGCCGCCGCCCATCATGGCGGCCTTCATTTTATCATGTCCACCATCGTCAAATTCATCGTCCTCATCGTCATAGTCGTCTTCCTCGTCGTCATCCCAATCGTCGTCGAAATCGTCGTCACTCAACCCATCGTCCTCCGGCAAATCGAACTTGACGCTCTTCTGATTAACATTCTGACCCTTTGGAGGTGCGCCCGCCGCCATTTTCATATCTTGGAGCGCCTTCATCATTTGAAGCTGCTGCTGGAGCTGCGGATTCATGCCCGGGACTCCCTTCGGAAGGTTATTACCGCCGCCGCCGCCGCCGCCATTACCCTTCGCAACTTGCGCCTTGTTATTACCACCTTTGCCGTTGTCGATCTGCAGATTCTTGAACTGGTTCGCGAAATTCTGCGCGTTGTTGTTACCCTTCGGCGCGCCCCAAAACTCGGCATGCTTCCCATTCCTAATTAGCTTCTTGATGATTTTCGACGGGTCGATGTTCCCAGACACCGTCACTTTCCCTTGTTCAGAATCGATCTTTATAGTGTAAACACCTACACAAACAATTCATTCAACAAAAATCTCTGTGAAAATAAATTATGAAAACTGAAAAAATTGCGACTATATTGATTATCAAAATAAAAGATCTATATATATATATATAGACAACATAAAAGACTCGATAGTAAAAATGAATATCTAAAATATCTAAACACTCAAAATCTGAAACTATCAAATGACAAATTCGTTAAAATCGACACTTTTGGAACTTTCACCATTGTTCGTCAACATCAAATGCTTTTTTCTTCCCACAAAACATCAAATCAAATCAAATATCAAATTTTTTACCATTCCCAAAATTTTCGAGAACTCCGAAACTTATATCTAAGCGAAGCCGTAACTTCTTCGCCATTTTCCACCAAAAACATCAAATCAAACAATTATTTCACGACAAAATCCAAAACACAAACTCAAAAGAGCTTCATTCATAATTCCTCCAACACAACACAAGGAATCAAAGTTTCCATTGCAAAGTTATATACCAATTACTCCAACACAAGCCAAGTCCAAATCAAGATCCAAACTTTTAAAAGTATTTTTTAAAAAAGAACAAGTGGGTCAAATCTTCTACAAGTCTACAATAATTCAACGTTAAAATGGTGACAGATCGGGTGAGATTTTGACATAATTCTTATATATACACATATAATATTAAATATTAATATATATGTATCCAAACATCATGCAAATTCTAAATTCCTTTGGAAGCTCCTCAAATTTGCTCAACCTGTTAGATCTACAAGCTTTTAGTAATTTCTTTCATGTCTGTGTTACATTTTGTTGACACACACACACCCATGTTTGTGTGTGTGTGAAAGAGAGGTAAGAAGCTGAACAATACCTTCAATCTTCTGCAAGATTTTCTTGACTTTTTGCTTGCAGCCATCACAATGTATGTTCACTTTAAGAACACAAGTCTGCAACCACAAGCAACATAAACATGGAGGAGGGTAAGGTAAAGCTCACACCTCTAAAGCTTTTCTAAGAAAATAAAAAAATAAAAAATCCCCAAACAGAAGTAAGAAAATCACAATTTCAACAAAACAGACACACACAAAAAAGAAACAAAATTGGGAACTCAAAGGTTTCAAGAAAACATGAAAGCCAAACAATTTTTTTTTTTCTTTGGGGCATTTTTACAAACACCTAATCAACAAGGAGAGGAAATCGAAGGAACACACCTGGATCTTCAAGAACTCCTCTCTACTCATTTTGTGGCACTCGAATTACAAGAAAACGAGCAAATGATGAACAATGGCGAGATTAAAACGCTTGGATCTAAGCAAAGAAAACCCCCAAAATGCTAAAAAATCCACCTCCAAGAACACAAGGAAAAAACCAAGACAAGACCTTTCTGGACAGGATTATACTTCCCTCTACTTCATAGTTTTGAGAGAAAGGAAGAAAATGTGGAAATGCGTGTCTGTGTGTGTGAGAGAGAGAGAAACAATGGTGCAGAGTGCAGAGAGTCGTTCACATAAAGAGGAACACTCTGAATTCTTTTTCGATTTGGGAGCTCTTATTTATGAAAAAAATAATAAAAAAAAAAAAAAAAAAAAAAAAAAGAAAAAACCATTTCTTTTTTGCCGGTGAAGCTATGCTTCAATCTCATCCATGGCGGATCGATTTTGCAAATATAATAATAAATAAATTGTTTGGGGGTGGAGTGGAGGAGATAATGACAATATTTATGACATACTATTGTTTACATTTATTGGTGGGGTCGGCTCGGCTCGGCTTGAGTTGGTTTGGCTCGGGTAAGCTCGGCTTAACTAACCCTGGTTAGGTTAGGGAGTAGCAACAAAATCGGGTGATATATTTTCACATTGATGACTACATGTAGGTTTGAAAGTGAAGATTCTTAGCCACCTCACGAGATTTGCTAAAATCACACATGTTTTGTAAAGGATTTTTAAAGCAGTTAATTGTGGGGCTTTTTAATAATGCTATTTTTCTAAATACATGGGTAGATTTTTTATTTTAAATTAATTTAATATTAGTATATACTCCATCAATCTTTTAACAATTTATCTACTCTTTCTGTCTCAATTCAATAGTATAGTCTTATTTACCAATGTCCGTCTCAAAACAATAGTCTTTGTTTTTATAAATAACTATATCACCATAAAACTACCCCTATTTTTTTATTTTTATTACACAATTGTCACTACTTTTTACCTAAGGGTAAAAAAGTCTTTTATCCATACTTTTTACCAACTACTAATTGGTTCATCTCATAACAAAGTATCAATTTTATTTTTTTTTTAATAATTACCTAACAATACAAATATTTTCTTAATTTACAATATATTACAGAAATATCATTATTTTTATATCATATAATATTAATAAATTAGTTTAGTGTTTTTGCTGTAATTTCTACTGCATCTCAATATAATATTAATATTTTAAAAATTCCTTATAAAAAGTAAATAGATAGATAGATGTGAAACTGATGGAGTGTGAGATTGTTTTATTTTGATTCAGAATTAGATTTTGAATAATATTTTAATTTAATATTTGGGTTAATTATATGGATTTGTTTGAAATTGAATGTAAATTTGATTTTTTATTTATATATTTTTAATTTTATATTTTATTAAAAAATAATATATTTTTTTAAAAAATAATATGCAAAATAAATATTATTAATTTCAATTTTAAAGTAAAAAGAACAAAATACTTCATTCTCTTCGTTTTTAGTAAAAAAATAAATAAAATACATATTGCGTGAAACATATTGTGTTAAATTAAATTATATAGGAAATACTTTATTCGACCGAAGATATTACTATTTAATTGTATACGCACATCTAATTATACAAATTTTTTACAAATAAAAAATAAAATATTTTAAAAATAAAAAATCTAATGAAGATATTTTAGATAATATTTTATATTAGATTTATTTCATTTTTAATGGGTTGAAGCCCATTCAATAATATATATTTATTTATAATACCTCATTCTTTGAAATCCAATTATTTATCCAATAAAAGCCCAATGGACCAAGGCCCATCACTATACTTGTCCAATCTATTTTTATTACATATATTTTTATTTTTCATATATTTTTTTAATCTAAAACTTAAAAAATCTTAAACCCACAAAGAAACCAGATTTAATTTTATGCTTCTTAAATTTATAAAATGATATTATTATTGTTTTTGTATTATTTATGGATTATTTTAAGTTTTATTTTAATTTTTTTTTTATTGTACAATAATTATTTTAATTTTTTATTGAAAGAATTCTTCTTTTTATCTGGATTTTTTATGCTAGTTTACAAAAAGATTTAAAAAATTATTACTATTTTAATGTAAATATGGATAGATAAAAAAAATAAAATAAAAATATTATAATTAATTTATTAAAATTTAATAAAAATAAAGTAAGTAAAAAATAATAAAAAAAATTAATTATACATAGACAAATTTATTTATTATAAATAAGGTACCCATTTAGTTGACTGGAAAAAATAAAATAAAATAAAATAACATAAATATTATTTTACCTAAAAATCAATATTGAGATAAAAAATTAAAAAAAACAAAACAAAACAAGACAAGATAAAATTAAACTTAAAATAAAGAAATCTTACTTTTTAAAAAGATTACTAGTATAGTGATTATTTTACCAAATTTATATTATTCATCAAGAAATTATTTTTCTAAAAATATCAAATTAAATATTATTTTTTAATTTTTTATATTATACTAAAATTAATTTTATATTTAAATATTACATTAGTACCTATTTATATTATATTATAATAACTATTTAAATTCAAAACTCTTATGATTCAAATCTCAATAAAAAGTTCAAACACCCTCCAAATAGTACTATCACCATCCTATTTAAATAGTAAATTTTATTTTTTATTTTTCATTAAAAATTGTTCCAATTAAATAATTTATTTTATGTTATCTATCTCAAATTATCAATTAAAATAAATTTGAAATAATATGTTGATTTAAATTTTTTATTTAAATAATACTTTAATATAATGTTTTTTGACCAAAAAAATAATGATTTTATCGCTCCGGTATTTAAATTTATTTTTTTATCTAAATTTATTTTTCATTTTTTTAAGTAAAAAATATCAAATTTTTTATCTATTTTTTTTTAATTCGTACTCTGTCAAATGAGCACACAGTTAATATATTTTCATAAAAAATCACAGAAAATATATAATTTTTATTTTAATTTAAAATTACAAAAGAACAAAATCTACTAGTGTGTTTGGTACAGGAAATTGGCAGCAGATAAATGGAAATGTTTTATTTCTTTTATTCGTTTGAGTCAATGGAACTTGAGAAATAAATCATTTCTATTTTTTTGTTTATTCGGACAAATGGAGATAAATGATGTGCAGTATATATATTTTTATTTTTTTTATTCTTTTTGTACTATTTAATTTTTATAATTATTTATATTACTCCCTCCGTCCCGGTGCAAAAATTATATTTAATTTATCATTCAAGTATTTAATTTTTTACTATTTTTTTTAAAAAAATTATACTAAAATATGATCTTATAAAATTTCGTATATAATTTCTAATTTTTTGTTTTAAAAAAAGTTACGAGAAATATTTTTTCATGAATTCTCACTTGTTAAAACTCTCTTTTGTTTGATTAATCATTTATTCTTGTCCGATCCATTCATTTTTTTTTTTTTACATTTATCAATTGAATTATCTGTTCTACCAAACACGAAAATTAATTCTCATTATCTACTCAATTTATTTTCTCTCAAATTTCATTCTCTACTCTCGTTTCTCATTTATCTGCAATTCAATTCTCTGTACCAAAGGCCCCCTAATGTACTACTGTTAGAGTATCTCCAGCTCAGAGCCATTAATTTATTTTTTATTTTTCTAAATTTTTAAAAAAAATTATTTTAAATTATAAAAATAAAAAATTGTTTAAAATAATAGGAAAAAATAAATATTTGAAAAATAATAGTAAAAAATAGAATTGATAGGTTGGAGATGCCTTATAGACAAAATTCTATATTCATAATAATTTTAAATGAGAAAATGTCCAAATACAATAGTCTTGTTTATTATTTTTATCCGTTTTAAAACAATAATTTTATTTTCATAAATAACTATATCACCCTAAGACTACCTCTTACTTTTTCATTTTTATTACACAATTGCCACTACTTTTTACATTAATATACTCACAAGGGCAAAAAAATATTTTATTCATACTTTTTACCGACTGTCAATATAATATCAATATTCCTAAAATCTCGTGTCAAACCCAATTAAAATTATATTTATGGGGACGGATGAAGTATATTTTTTCCTATTTAAGTTTGGATTGCATTTTCATTAACAAGAATAATAATTATTTTTTATTTGCGGCCAAAATTAAATAAACTCGGACATAATTTACAATTTTTTTTTTTCAAAAATTTTAAAAATTTAAAAGGGTATAACAAAATATTTGATACTCTCTCCACCTATATACCTATTTTTGTACATAAAATTTAATAAATATTACTACATCAGTCCCATATACCGTGTCTGCTACACCGTAAACACGATATTTTAGAAGGGGTATAATTAGTAGATAATTAAGAATGTATTACTGAGAATAATTATTCTATAATATAAATAATTATAAATTAAAATTAAGATAACCAATTAATTTAACTAAAATTAAAAAAAATTAAAAAGTTTAAAATGAGATTAAAGTGTGTAATCATTCTCCAAAAAAGGAAAATGATATGGTATATGGGACGGACAAAACCAACAATATGGACATAGTACGTGGGACGGATGGACTATATTATAATGATTAGTTTGTTATAATTTTGTATATAAATATTATATGTAAAGTACGTGCGAAGATATTGATGTAAATAAATATAAATATGAAATATAATGTGTTATAAAATTCATACTTATTAAATAAATTTACTTCTTGAATAAATTATAATAAATAATCAAAATTAATGTATGAAAAATATCTATTGTTAATGCTAAATGAGAATGATATCTAGTATAATTGAAATGAAAATGATGAGAATAGAAATGAAAATAATAATAATGTGTTTTTTAATTAATATTTTTTAAATTTTTATTTAATAATTTAAATATTTTTTTATATATATACAAATATGCTTTATATAAGTTTATAGAATTATATAAATTAATAAAAAAAAGTATTTATAATTATATTAAATTCGTATAATTCTATAAATAATCCGATCAAATACATAAAAATTTATTTAAATCAATTAATAAAATTTATGAAAATTTATGTAGATTTAAAAATTTAAATAAATTCATAAATTATTTAAAATCCAATCAAATTCTATAAAATCCAAATCAATACAAAAACCCTCCCTTAAGTTTTAAATAGACAAGATTTTTTTTTTTTTTTTTCAAGTCAGCCGTCATATTACTTAGAGTCATTTTTGTTAATTTTTTTAATTGGTGAAATTAAAATTATTTATAATTAATTAAAATTACAAAATTGATGAATTTTTTTTTATTTTTTTTTTATATTAAGATCAAAAATTAATATAACTAACCAAAATCGATTTTTTCCTATTACTTTATTTATCAATTTTCTCTGAGTTTGATTTTGATACATAGGAAGGAGAAAGGACCAGTGCTGCTGAGTTGTAGCAGAGCCGAGCAGAGAAGAGATCGGAATCGGGGGCAAGAAATTGAAACGGTGAATATGCAACTCATCAATGCTGCAGTGCTGGCGTCGATGGCGGTGGCCCGTAATAGCGGTGGTTTATTGGGGGCCGAGGTGGAGTTCGGGACGTTTCTGTGGTTTCTGTACGGCGGCATATCGTGTGTGTTGGTTTTGTTCGCAGGGATGATGTCTGGCCTCACTCTAGGGCTTATGTCTTTGGGGCTGGTTGAGTTGGAGATCCTCCAGCGCAGTGGAACTGATACTGAGAAGAAGCAAGCTGGTCCATACGATTACCTTTCCATTATTGCAAATTCGTTCGTTATACTTATAATCATCTGCTCATATTCCTGATGCTTGCTTTATGTTCAAGTTCTATGATTTGGTGTTGTTCTTTTTGCTTGTTTTGGGAATTATAAGATCCTTGTGGTTAGAATTTGGGGGTTTTATGGCTTCCGATAGTAGATTCGATTCGATTCTCTTGTTTTTAATAAATAATAAATTAAAAATTAAAAATTATTCACCCCCAATGAAAAGGTGGAATCGAAATATGATACTTTGTTGAATGAACAGCAATAGCTAGATTTTTCTTCTTTTTTTTTTAAAAAAAAATATATATATATATATATATATTTATTACTCTGTTTTCTGTTGTGTTGTTTTTTGTTATTCATAGTTGGATTTCTTGTTGAAGTTAGAATGGGATTTTCGGGTTGTTGATACTATTGTTTTATTATAGAGGATCAAGTTGAATGATCTGAGTTTAGTGGACTTGAATATTGCTGTAGTTTTACTTTCTTGGATTTAAGTGGATAAAGACTCTACCGTAATTATTTTTTATGGAAGCGATGGTTTTTGTAAGGAAATGAGGTTGGATTAGGAAAGGTATAGTGGTTCGACGGAAGTCGGATGGATCTGTTAGGTTTTACTGCATTGGTCAATGTAATGTTTTGGGGCTTTTATAAGCAAATGACATCATCTAATTTATGTTATCTATGCATAAAATATCTTAACGGTCTATTGCCATCCATTTAATTGTAAGTCTGTTTTTTTCCAGCTGCAATACTTCCGGTGGTTCAGAAGCAGCATCAGCTGCTTGTCACGTTGCTTTTATGTAATGCTGCTGCAATGGAGGTAACAAAATATGCTGTTTTCAGTTAAAGAAAATTGTACGTAAAGTTGTGTATCGTTACTATTTTGAATCTTGCAGGCCCTTCCGATATATTTGGACAAGATGTTCAATCAGTATGTTGCCATCATATTGTCTGTAACTTTTGTTTTAGCTTTTGGAGAGGTATGCCTTTAAGTTTTTAAAATCTTTCTAGGAACAGTCATGTTATCGAGATATATTATTGTTACAGTCGTGTTTTTGAGATATATTATTGTTAGTCGTTATGATTTTTGGTTGTTAGGTTATCCCTCAAGCAATATGCACTAGATATGGGCTTGCTGTTGGTGCTAACCTTGTGTGGGTAGTTCGCATTCTGATGATCATTTGCTACCCAATTTCTTACCCGATCGGAAAGGTAATATACCATCACATCTATTACTGTATTCTAATGCAGTATTGAGACTATTTGAAGATAATTTTTAGTGTTAAGTTACATAGGATAAGTTACATATAATATAAAGATGAAAATAACATAGAATTTCCAAAACTATGGCTTTGTTTATTTAAGAATTTTGAAAATAGTAAAAAGTTGGGTATGTAATGTGATGTTTTATGAGGACAACTAAGTATTTGATATGATGTTCTTTGAAAAAGTTTGACGAATAGTGTCAAAACTTTCAAAAGTATGTGTATGAAAATATAGGTAAGATAGAAGCAACATTAAGTTTAAAATATGAGGTATAATGAAACATCAAATCTTTTCTAAATCAGGGGATTTGATTTCACTTCAATTATTCCATAAATATCTAATTTTTTTTTTTTTTTTTTTTTGAGGTAAGATAATGAAGGAACTAAATATTCCATCTATTCTTACACAAATGGAAGATAATGAAGGGACTAAATCTATTTTTATAAATATTATACTATGTTATATTAGTAGTATTATATAGTTTTCAGTAATAATACATTACATTAAGTTCAAAATGTAAATGTAAAGCTAAGATAAGCAAACTCGTTGTTAGCAAGTGAATGGTGATATCATTTCCTCTAATAATTTATATCAAACCATAGAACATGCGACATCATGTGGAAATAGTATTGCATTCACATATCATTCTAATATACTTTATAGCATTCTAAATTTCTAATATGTACATTTTCGTGAACTATATTCTATCCCCACTAGGAGTGTCTTTCGTTTCGCAATGAGTGACATAACTTGTTATCTTTTGGCATCAGATACTGGACTGTATGCTGGGGCATAACGATGCACTATTCAGACGAGCTCAGCTGAAGGCTCTTGTTTCTATCCACAGCCAGGAGGTAATAAAACAACACCATTGTTCGTTGTCTTCTGTTTTCTCTTGCAATGAGATCTCCATATTCATTGCATCGATCAAGTGGATTGCACTTATGATTAAATACCTACATTGTTGGGATTCTTCTATCACTGATCTTTTGTATTTCATTCAATCGTATTTAGCTATTGATTCTATTTACAGGCTGGAAAAGGCGGAGAGCTTACTCATGACGAGACAACAATAATAAGTGGAGCTCTGGATTTGACAGAGAAGGTATGGCATGAAGCCAGAAAGTTTAACAGTTCGAATTTCATTATGTAAAGTTTATTTTGCGTAATATTCGGTACTTTTCTACTAAATTACCCCAAATGTGATCAGACTGCTGAAGAGGCTATGACACCCATCGAGTCAACATTTTCACTAGATGTGAATTCAAAGCTAGACTGGTAAGTATTACCTGCCCGATTGGAAGTATTTCAATGCACTGCTGTAATCCATTTCTTTTATTTTCCGCCTAGACTTTACAAGTGAAAATAAGTTGATTCCATTTTTTTTCCATTTCGAGCCAATTCCATTCGGAAATTCAAAACTTGAATGATTTACCTATTTGGTTATACATTCTTCAATTTAGCTTGAAATTGAATTCAGACATCTCTATGATTAAAACTTCTAATAATTGATAAAGTTATTGTTTATTTTATAATATATATTTATGTAATTGATAGTTTGAAATTAAATAGTTGAATTACTGAATTGAATACAAGAATGGAAATACTGATTCCATATGTAGAGGTAGTTGATTTTGGGTTCATGTAGATAATGTTTATTAATTCACTGAATTGTGGATTTTGAATTATGATAAAAAAAAACTCAACTTAGCCACTTTGTAAAGCCAGTTATTACTGAAGATGCTGTGTTTGATGAAAATGAACTTTGTACTGAAGTGATACTGCTAATCGCCATTATAAAGAAACTTTTTTATTTCCTAATTATCACTTGAATAAATCACCAAAAAACTTCCCATGATCACAGGGAGGCAATGGGTAAGATACTTGCCCGTGGTCATAGTCGAGTTCCTGTCTACTCTGGGAATCCAAGAAATGTTATTGGGCTTCTACTGGTAAGTTTTGGAAACGAAACATTTTGTCATGTTCTTCGTTGAAACACATAATAGTTTTAGGAAAATCTATTCCCTTTAGGTAAAGAGTCTTCTAACAGTGAGACCTGAGACAGAAACTCCTGTCAGCGCTGTTTCCATTCGAAGAATTCCACGGTTTGATTTCAATGTCCTGGCATTCTCAATAATTTCATTTTTTTTTTCTGATTATGAAGGTTCACGACTTCTTTTATTCCATTCCATTGCTTCTTAGTGTCCCTGCAGATATGCCCCTCTACGACATACTCAATGAGTTTCAAAAAGGTAGTAGTCACATGGCAGCTGTCGTGAAGCCAAAGGGGCAATCCCGAAAGCCTCCGGCTATTGAGGAGAAGGGTGAGGAGAATGAATTTTCCAATGGGAATGACTCGAACTTAACGACTCCATTGCTATCAAAGAAAGAAGAGAAGGTGGAAAGTGTCGTTGTTGACATTGAGAAAGTCCAAAGGCGACCGTCCAAAAGTAGCTTGATAAATAATGAGACAGCTCCTCCTTCGGATGATTGTGAAGATGGTGAAGTTATCGGGATTATTACCTTAGAAGATGTGTTTGAAGAACTTTTGCAGGTGAAGTTTATCGATATCCTAACAATTTAGTCTCCTCAGAATGTGTTACCGCAATCAACGACTGATTATTTTTTGGTGTTAATGCAGGAGGAGATTGTCGATGAGACTGACGAATATGTTGATGTACATAAAAGGTACTTTTTAATTTATACTTCAGTCAGTTACACTTTACCTTATACGACGAGTTATTTTATGTTAAGTTTAATTTTTCCAAAACTGCCCTCCTGCATATGTTTTTTATCTTTTGTCGAAATCTTTATACTTGACACTTCTTTTACTAATGGGGATTCAAACACAGATTCAATGTTCATTATACAATCTAAAAGTTTATGGTGATTGAAAATTCTCCGTTCTACATATTTAAGCTTCGGTGTTTCTGAGATAAAGTTAGTTGTTGGATGTGATTTTTGTGTAGGGAAAATGATATATTGAATTGTACAAAAATAAATTTGAAGTCGTAAATAAACAGCTTGACTTTTTCATATTTGAGCATGGTTCATTTACAACTAAAGTTTGGCTTTTCTAATTCAAACAGGCTCGGCTCAGTTTGTTAAATAGTGTTATTAATATCGTATGGTAACTGACGAGTTTGTTGACTTCGGCAAAAAATTTTTTAACTTGGGCTTAACAAAATAGTTAAAGTTTAGGTGTAACATATCGACTCACCTACTTAATTAACACTACGCGCCTTGAACTGTTGTCTTGTAACTGCTTTAGATAGGCTGATGGGCCGTTTTACATTTATTTAATTCTTCCAATGGCCGTTGCAGGATACGTGTCGCTGCAGCTGCGGCTGCAGCTGCTTCATCAGTCGCGCGTGTTCCATCAATTCGAAGATTGTCCGGCATAAAGGGACCTGTAAGTATACTGTTTATGTTGAGCTGCATTAATGTTTTGAAAAATTTTGAAAATAATAAAAAGTTATTTTACGTAATATTTGGTGAGACGGAAAAAAGTATTTCATTTGATATTTTTTGAAATAGTTACAATTTAGACCAGAGACTTTTGGAGTTTCAAAGTTTTGAAAAAATTTGAAAATAGTAAAAAGCTCGTATTTGATGTGATATTTTGTAAAAGAAAATATGTATTTGAAGGTATTTATTTGATATTTTTTTCAAATAATTACAATTTAGACAAGAGACTTTTGGAATTTTGAAGTTTTGAAAAAAATTTGAAAATAGTAAAATATGTATTTGAAGGTATATTTTTTGAAATAATTTCAATTTAGACTAGAGATTTCTGGAATTTTGAAGTTTTGAAAAAAAAAATGAAAATAGTAAAATGCTCGTATTTGATGTGATATTTTTTAAAAAATATATATATTTGAAGGTATTTCATATGATATTTTTTTGAAATAATTACAATTTAGACCAAAGACTTATGGAGTTTTGAAGTTTTGAAAATATTTGAAAAATAGTAAAATGCTCGTATTTGATGTGATATTTTGTAAAATAAAATATGTATTTGAAGGTATATCTTTTGATATTTTTTGAAATAATTACAATTTAGACCAGAGACTTATCGAGTTTCGAAGTTTTGAAAAAAATGTTAGTATCTGTATGTGATATTTTATAAGAAAAAAATATTTATTTGATGGGATATTTTTTAAAAAATTTACTGTCGATGAATAGTAACAAAAACAGTATCTCCGTAAAGAGATTTGCCATATTATTTTCGGGTAATTGGAAATGAATTTGAAAATCTCAGGTAGGTCAGCAAAAACAAGGACAGCCGACGACGATGAAAAAGCCCGGCGAGGATGATTCCACATCGACCGCACTTTCGAAGAACATCGCCGATTCTAATCCCGGAAACAAGAGATGATAGATTCGATTCGATCGTTAAAACCCGGGAATTCTATTAATCGCATAAGAGCTAAGTAATCGAAACTCTAGTTTGTATAATATGTGCATTTTTTATCCCGAATTTATATAATAAATTGAACGGCTCATTTTTAAATGCATCTAATCTTCGAATCTCCGGAAACTTAGACACACCGCGCTTTCTTTACTCTTGCGCGAATGTGTTAGAAACTTAGCTGTCTTAACTATTACAGGTGGCGCTTTTTTTTTTTTTTTGTTATTTTTTTCTATTACATAGCAGTATACAATTTCCGGATATGATATGATACCGTCAGGGGCGGCAGTTGGGTCCTTTTCAGTCGGCGTCGCTGTCTCTACCTTCGCATTTCCATCTTACAAGAATCACGGTACATCTCCACGCGATATGCAGCCTAGTCCTCTGTTCTTGAACGTATTTTGAACACTTGCGGCGCCACGATCTCATCTTCTTACAAGCGCGATTCGAGCTCATGCTTTAGCCCGTGCCTGAATGGTTGCTTGATCGAAATAGTTTCTGGCTTCGGACAGAAACTAAAAAGCTATAAATATGTAAGAAGAAAGGTGTAAGCACATCAGCTGGCTGTTGGTAAGAACTTCAATATATATGTGCATATATATGTATGGTTTGCGGTTAGGGTGTTGACAGAACTTTATATATGTAGATGGACAATAAATATAATTATATAACATTTATATTAATATGATATATATATAATAAATATATTAACAATTTTATTTTTTCCCCCTATTTAGTTTATTAGAGGTGGATAGGGAAATGAAAAAGAAATTATTAAAAATATAGAAATAATTAGAAGTATTTATGAAAAATTTAAGAGAATGAAAAAAAATATATATATAAATAGTGTGTAATAATGATAACAACAATAGTTGTAAATAAATATTAAAAGAGAAGTAATAATTAAATATTTGAATTTTTTATTTTTTCAAAATAAGTAATATGATATTTAACAAGTTGAGAAAAAGAAAGTACATTGGTATTGATTTCAATATGCAAAATATATTCATATCATCTGTGTGACAGGTGTACCTGAGGTGTCGGGGGTTCTATTTATTTATGTTTGAAGTGTTGATTAGTTCTAATAAGCAAATCTTATGTGTACGGGTGTTTTTTTCTATTATTTTATTTTTTTTGTTTCACATAAAATAGTTTTTTATTTTCGTCCGTCGTACATAATGTATATATATATTTTTCAAAAAAAATAATTTTACATTTTAATTGTATTTTAAATTTTAAATTTTATAATTTATATTTTTAAATTTTAATTAAACTATTTAGTTATTTTAATTTTAATGTATAATTATTTGTATTATATAATAATTATTTTTACTAATATACTTCTTAATTAATTACTTATTATATATTTTTTGAAGTAAATCATTTATTGAACCTAATATATTTTTCTAAAAAATAAATATTGAATTTGAATTTTTTTTTTTTAATGGAAAAAGGGAAGGTTGGAGACAGAGATATTTTCTGTAAATTTTAATACTACTTGCATTTTTGCGCCCAATTGTGCGTTTGTTTTGTAAAATGATTGGAAAGAATTTTTTTTTATATAAAATATAAAAAATTAGATATATAATATAAAAATAATAAATATGTATAGTGTATTAATTATTTTTTAAAAAATATGTATAAAAAAAATAAAAAAAGCACACCTACAATGCCTACACAACTTAATATTTTGAATGCACTTTTTCTAAAAAATTAGTATACCTTAAATATAATATTTGGAATGAATATATATTTTATTTTACATTCCATAATAAAATAAATGTTGATATATTCTTTTCTATTTTTAGTCTTAATTTTGTACAATTAAACATACATGTTAAAAAAACATGAGTTCAAACCCGCTACGCCTCAGGTCTACCTGCCACACATGGTTGACCTGGTGTGACTTTTCCGTCGGGTCTGGTTTGCAGGATATCAGGTTCGACTGGAGATTTACCCAGTGTGCACTTTCGGGTAGCAATTGCGGGTTCCCACGTCATAAAAAAAAAAAAAAATACATGTTAAAAATATTTTACTCAATACTCATGGACACATAAAATGCCATCTATAATTTACTACTATTATCCTTATTTTTGGACGAGAAAATATTATTCTTCTGTCCATTTGAATCGTATGTAATTATTTTGTCATATTTTATTATTCAATTCAAATGTATACTTTTTTTTTCAATAAAAGTATTTTTTACTTTAATAAAATTAATAAATATATACTTTATACAATATTACAAACAATGCTATTAAAAAGTATTAAAATTTAAGGACAAGATAATTTTTTTTTTTTAATCTTTTTATTGTATTATTATGCATAAAATATTAATATGCTAAAATTCACGTGAAAGAAGAAATTAATATATATTATCCGGACGGAGGAGTATTTTATATAAATTTTGTGTAATGAATACAACAAGACTCTTTGTATTTGTGTTTTCTAGGACACTCTAGTTTTTTTTCTACTATCTATGTTTTTTATTTTTCGTTTTTAGTTGTAATAAAAAAAAATACTCATTTTTTATTTTAGTAAACAAAATGTTATTTTTTTTATTATAAAAGAAAAAAAATATTTTTGTCTACTTTTTTTCTATCAAATAGAGATAATTTTTTAAGACGAAAAATAGTATTATCATATTTATCTATAAAAATATAAAATACTACTCAATTTAATCTAAATATATTCTTACTTTTTTTTTTTATTATTATTGTCATATAACTTTATTCCCGTTTTACTTTTTTAGTAAAAATAATACTATTTTTTATATATTTTTTTATTTATAAAAATAAAAATATTTTTTTTATATAAAAAATTTATGCCCGATTAAATGAGCACATAATTAGACGAAGACGGAGGGAGTATAAAATAAAATAAAATAAAATAAAAAATAGACAAAAATTAAAAAAAACGAATAAGAAGACAGGTGTAAGTAAGTGAAGGGAGTAGGATGACAGGTGAATACGTAGAGTGATGAGTTTAGTTTGTCCACAGACTTACTGACTGCCTGCCTTTGTGGTTGCAATTTTAGGTACATATAATAATAATAATTATTATTATTTATTTATTTATTTATTTATTTTAATTTAATTTAATTTAAATTAAATATGTGTGTATATATATATATTTAGGTACAACGGCTCTGTAAAAGGCTGGCGAAGAAAACAGAATTGTAGAGAATATAAACAAAACTGAATTTTATAGGTGAATTGGGAGCTGTGCCCGCCTGTTACTATAACTATAAATATAATATAATATACTCTCGTTCTTCCATAAATATAATCTGGACATGATATTTAAAAAATATTGATCTTATATTGATAATTGATAAAAAAAAAAATGGATAAAAGATTTTTTTGTTCTTACGAGTATATTAGTGTAAAAAATAGTGACAATTCTGTAATAAAAATTAAAAATTATTAGTAGTTTTATGTTGATATGATTATTTATGAAAATAAGAGTATTATTTTTAGACGGACAAAAATGATTAACAATACTATTGTATTGGGACGGAGGGAGTATATATACTCTCTCCGTCTCATAACAAGTTATCTATTTTTTCATTTTAATCTGTCACGTAATAAAATATCCATTTTTTTAGTAACTGTACTGTCTTCTTAACATTACAAGTATCTTCACAACTTAAATATATTACACAAATATTATTACCTTTATATCACATAATACTAATAAAGTTATTTTAATTATTTTTATTTTATTCATACTAAATTCTAATATAATACTAATATTTTTAAAACTTTGTAAAAAAAAATAAACAAATACCTAATTATAAGAGACGGAGGGAGTATATCAACTGTTCATACGAATTTACACAATGCTTGTATTATTCTGTATCTTTTAAATTTATGATTACTTTTTAATATTGTTCACTCTTTATATTTGCTTTTGTATTTGTATTTAGTTTTTGATTGGAATAATATGAATGTTTTATATGGAGAATTGGTATTGTTAGGTTGGTTTCTGTGATAATATTTTTTAAAAATTTAAAAACTAAATATCTAAAATATCTGACTTAACAAAGATCACATTGCAATAAATACCTTCGGACAAAAATACCAATTTGGACAAAAAGTACTATATATTGAATTGGGCTTATTCCGAGAGACTTCTTTTAAAGAAACGGTTCAAAAATCCGAGGCCCAAAAGAAGAAAATAAAAATAAAAATGAACCTAAGAAATATGAAGTAATAGAAAAAATTGAAAACTTGTCATACTTAATTGATGAGGTTTAACAAGACTTGGACTTACCCTAAACCTTATATCCAAAAATAAAAACCCCGATTTGAGTCCCATAAAAAAAAATAAAAAAAATCATGCAATATTTTTTAGAAGACAGTAATTTTATTCAACTTCGACCACTTTTCAAATCACAGGTAAATTATAAGCAATTTTACCTAAAAAAAAATGAAAAAGAAAAGTGATTGAACTAAAATTTTATAAAAAAAACACAAACAAACAAGAAATGTATGTATGTATGTACGTACGTATACAAATGGGGATACAAATTAGCATAAGTATATTGTGATTGATGACGATATATATATATATATATAATTCATAAACACAAATGAACTGTACACAAGAATAAGATCCATCCTTTCATATGTAGTTACAACAACAAATTCTTCTATCCATCAACTAAAAATGCATCAACTTACTTTCCCAATTTTTCGGCGGCGGCGATGACTACGACGACGTACACCGATCATCTGTTCCGGAAGAAGTTGAGATCCCACCGGCGTAACAGACCATCCATGATGTTGCTCGACGGGCTCTTCTCGACTCGTACGGTGACTTTGGTCTGATCCGCCATGTCTGCTTCCGACGAGCTCTGATTGCTCGACGGCTTGTTCGTTGTTTCCTTTTCGACATAATTTGCTACAGTTTTGGGATCTTTCGAACTATCGATTATGTCCGCGCCGGGTCCATTTTGGTTACTGTCCGGAAGATGGGTTTCGGGTGTCCCTATTTCAAGAGTCAGCCCACATTTTGATGTTTCCGGGTTGGAATCTTTGTGTATATTCTCCGATGCCAGTTTTGGATCTGTGTCGAGATTGCTGCAGCCGCTGGACGATGATTCGTCGGTTGGAGAGTTTCCGGCGTCGATATCCTTGAGCGATTCGAGCATAGCTTCCATTAGCATCTGAAAATTTCAAGAAACAGAAAAAAGTCGAAATTAAAGAAGTGGTCTTTATTTTATATATAGTCCGATTTAAAGGAAAAAAAGAAAACAAAAACTTGCCCTTTCTTCTTCTTCGGCGTTGCTCGGGAAATCTGCCAGAGTATCGAGCGAGTACTCCACATAATCGTCGTCATCTAATCCTGCCGGCATGTGGGAACTGTTCGGACTGGCACCAGAGAGTTCAAAGCTGATCATATTTGACGATGAAGCGTGCGAATCAGAATCTCTATTTTCCACCTGCAGAAACAGAAGAATAAGAAACATAGAAATGATTGAAAACAAATGAACATTCTGTGGAGTTGCAGATTTAAGGATGATATATTTCCATTTGATTCAGTTGATTTAGCCTGCTGGAAATTGTTACAGATTCAGACATTTTATCGAGCTAGAAGTCTATGTGAGCATTTCGTATTAAAATACAAGTTAAATCAATTCCGTGCTTTCTAGTTTCTTTGACAACCATATAAAAAACCAGAAGCAAACTTCAGATTAAAGCACATCAGCATCTGATATAACTAAGGCATATAAAATCCTTATCATCCAAGCTAAACATTCATATGATTCAACATTCGATAATGCGCCACAAATAAAGATCAGCTGGAAGTACCTGCCCATCGGTTTGTTTGTCTTCTGTCGACATATCTGCAGGAACCTGAATGGTACAAATCCCCATCACACATTCGTCAAATACAAACAATTTGGTGAATAGAAAAGTCAAAAAACGCACAATATAATCGCAGTCTCGTATATCATCGACAAATGCAAGTGTAATGTGGCAAGTTTTGCCAAACGGCAAGCACAAAATTTTCGGAAAAATGGTAACGAAAAATGTTACTCCCTTTCGTCCGGTAAATTTAGAACATTTGTGTCTGGAAATGAAATTAAGAAAAATGAATATTCTATTGAAAAAATAAAGTACATGAAATAGTTGAGTGTATTTTTGAAATTTTAGTTAAAAATTAAAGAACATGGAGAAAGAAGATAATAAAGATAGTTATATTTGTTGTAAAATAAGTATAAAGTATCGAATGAAGGATAATAGTTAAATATTGATTTGTTAACTTCGCCAAAATTAGTAATTGTGTAAATGTAACGAACGGACTAAAAAGGAAAGTGAGAGTAAATTTGGCGGACGGAGGGAGTATAAGTTTTCATGAATGAAAATTGTTGGAATTAGCAAATGATTTCAGAGAAACGTACTCTCTCCGTCCCAAAATAATAGAGACATTTGAGATGGATACGAGAATTAAGAAATAATAACATTATATTGACAGTGGGTGTATAAGTGTTTCTAAAAGACAAAATTGTTCTACTTTATATAATTATTGTGAAAAAATGGAAGTAGTTTTGTAAAAAGTTGAGAAGCTTGTTACCAAAAATGAAAATGTAACCTTTTCTAGTATCTTACCACAATCATGCTCATAGGTCGTCTCGAACGAAGCTGCCTAATGGCATCCTCTGTGCTACTAGCGGCTGCACCTGTATAAAAACAACATAAACTTAATGCATCTGTGAAGACAAATAAAATTGAAAAGGTCGAGCATAAATTAACCAACCAGCAGATGAACCTAGTATCTGATCTGAGAAATCCATATCGCGGAAATCGCTCCAACTACCCTGGAGGTTATACAGTCCATTAGTTAATTCAGGAATTTGATTTTTCATCAAATGAACAACTGTTTATAGAATAAAGCAATTTACCTTTCCAAAATAGTCATGAGTCAAATCGAAATATGCTTTCCCTGATTCATCCTCAGGGGGCTGCAATACGTTGTTGAAAAAGATACAGATTGAGTCGAAATAAAACTGAGGGCGGGGAGAATTGTGGTCACCATCAAATTTGATAATATTCTTGTCCCCCTGCAGAATTAAATCTTAACAAAATAAGGGACACAATCCGTGGAATAAAAAATATAATAAACATATGATGATAAAAATAAAATATGGTTCATTGAGACCAGAAAAACTATACATTTGCACAAAATATTAACAACCAAATATCGACAAACTGCCACAAGATGTTACATTGTAATGGATGGCAAAATATTTTCATAATACTTACTTTCATCGTCAAAAGAAATAGAACTTCCAGCAATAATGGAATGAGTTAAGAACCAAATTTTCCACCTCTGGTTAAATAGTTTACATCGGAACTAATAATATAGGTCCAAAAAGAAAAGGAACAAGTGGAAACTTGTGGTAGAGATCTATAAAGTTGTATTAGATGCATAGTAATTTTTTGGAAAGAAAACATATAAAGTCATATTAAAAGGTTTTAAAATGTGAAAAATCACCTCATAGGCATCAAATATTCTGTCGGAATGATGCGGTTGTATGAAATCATCATCAGTGGCATGGCCAAAAAGAGCTGGAACAAAGCAATATTTTGCAACCTGGGTAAAAAAAGCGGGAAATATGTTATCAATATCAACTAATTTGTGACTCTAGGATTGTATTCTTTAGGTGTACTTTCTTCTTATATACATATATATATATATTTGAGTTGGATATGATCTTTTTTAAGGAAAATTGAGAAACTGAATAAAAATAAAATAAAATAAAATAATAATAATCAAAGTGAACAAACAAAGCATACGTAACTTGCAAAAAACAAAGTTTTCCAAAGTGCTACCTTGATTGTGTTCAGGTCTGTTATGTCAAACTTAGCTTTTCTCTGAATTGCTCTCCGCATGTACTGAATCGCAAACTTAACCTACAAAAATAGGGAAGGGAATCTTAAACAATGGCAGGGCACAAAATGAAGTTAAAAGATTGTGACTTCTATGCTGATGAAATGTGAACTTACTGTGAACTTGGGGAGCCGAACTTTGTAAGTATCGACGAGTTCCATCATCAAGTCAACCAGATCGGAAAAGGGACTATCCAGAACCATGCCAGCAATGGAAGGATCCTCAGCTCCATACATCAAGCTGAAACAAGCAGAACTCAAATGCTTATCTTATAACAGATGGAAGAAATATGTTAAGTCGAGGCATCCTAATATCATTTTCGTCAAATGATGAATTAAACTAAACCAATTATAGCAGCATATTTCAGCAAGCAAGAGACAAGAGAATCTTGCTAACCTGGTAACAGCACCCATAGAGCGACCCCACAAACCAATCAAAGAAACATTCCCATCTGCTCGGAGATAATCAACTACAGCTTTCAGGTCATCTTTCTGCAAAATCAACGCCACATCACATAAGTAACACAAAGATGAAATTAGGATTCACTTTTCCGGTGCATCACATAAAGAATGATAGTAACTTTGACAATAAACGACTAGAAAAATGAGAGGTAAAGAATGAGTGGAACTTGAATCTGTTTACTTATGTTTTACTATTTATCAAAATGTCGCTCTCCAAAAGAATATATCATCCAAAATTTATCTCATTTAAAATAAAACATAAAAAAACCTATCATCTATTCAAAATATCACATCCAAACCTATTTATATCATATCGAATACCTACTTTTTATTTGGCTTCTTACTATTCCCAAACCAACCAAAATCCCAAAAGATATCTAAACACATCCCAAGATTTTGGAAATAATTCCTAAAAGTTAGGGATTCATTAAAACCATCCCTAGGTAGGGAATCTAAAGCGCAGTGTAAGCGACATAAAAATTGTTCCCTCTAAACTCCAAGTTCATCATGTCATCATACATATTGCTTAAGATAACCTCCCATGAAAAGTAGATGATCGTGGGAGATGATCAACAACTCATACTTTAATAAGGTCAACAAAGATATTATATGAGTTGGCAAGCCACTCTTACTTCGTTCCAACCAAGAGTCACATGCTCTCCTCCAGAAAGCCCCGAACCCGAGAAATCAAGAGTGAAAACAGTTATATTAGAAGGCAACAATATAATAGCAGCTTCACTGGCATCTGTTCGACAGCCACTGAGAAAAGATCAAGATAAACACCCCATTAGTAATCACAAATAGAAAGAAACTCATACTCTATTCAAACCTATATTTCTGCAAATTCACCAAAATATATTAATAAATTAAATCTCATTCTTGCACAACCAGTGGACAATGGTAGAAACATGAAAACTCCTGCACACACATTTTCATGAAAACATGAAAATCCCAATTTGGAATTCAGCATGCATGAATAGACAGGTAAAAGAAAACATGAATTCCACCAAAGGTGATCTCTAACAACCAAGCATACCTATTTCCATGGCAATAGATAACACACGGCAGTGGTTTTCCTTCAGGGAGGGCAATAGGCACATAATGGCTGCATTGAAGTACATCTCCTCGACTATTTACCACCTACAAGTCAAAAAAACAAACAACAATTTTGAAGCCACAATAAACCCCAAATTGAAGCCAAACCAAACCCACACAATACACCTAACAAAAATTTCTCTTCTCTAAGAGAGATCTTTGGAAAAATTATCCTTTATTTATACGTATTATTAGACATGTTCAAAATCTACCGAGTACTGCAGACGGTAAAAAAATGTAAAAGGTTCTCTTTTGAAGATTTAGCATATTATAAATCAAATCCAATATTCAAATGACAAAAAAGTCTTTAGTAACGCAAAATGTGTACCGATATAATAACACAATCAACCAATTATTGATAGGCATCTTTAGGAACCAATTGATTAAGTCTTCCTCAGAGAGCAAGATAGCCACAGATACGAGGGTCATTATAAATAACAAAACACATTACCTCTAAATCTTTCCTCTGGTACCACTTGCCTTTCAGCATAAATTCTTGATCTAGCAAATCATTCTTAGGATTGTATTCAGCTCTGCAATTCAAAGATATCGAAGTGTTGGATGTGCACTGCTAATTGGCATGTATATATTGGAACCAACAGCTCAGCTTAGAATAGTAAATCAAAAACAACGGCCACATATTGTTCTTAATCAACATAATGGTTAGTGTAAATGATTTGTAGCAAGACAAAATAAAATTATGTAATAGTTGCAGAACTAGGAAATTGCCTATAAGAAGGCATGATCACTAATCACCAATTTAGAATCTTCCATTGCATCTTTTACAATTTGACTTTCGAAGATGTCTTCATTGGTAAGTATATTGTTGTCTTGAAATAGAAATACGAAAGCACAAGATTTGGATAAGTATACATCTCTCTTCCAGGGCTACCTCCCTAAATTGGACTGCACAAATGTAGTAACTGAGACGACCCAGTGTGGATAAGAAAAATGATTTTACTCAAGTTTGAACCACTCAAAATTGTAGATGATCAGTGGAAATTCTAATGAGTTTCATTGAATTCATCCCTTTAGTTATCTTTAAAATAAAGTTCCATATCGGCAATGTTCAACGATTTGATGTGTGGTCAAATCACATTTTTCTAAAAGCTCAACACATAACTCCATCATATCGATGCAATGGCTATCAAAAATAGCATAATCTAGTATGAAATCACCTAAATTAGGTCAGCATTTAATATGAAATTCACTATGGGAAGAACCAACTACTGTTTTATTGGTCCCCAATTAAAAAAAGACATTGAAAAGCACCTCAAGCTATTTCAACAAATAAAATGAAGCCAATAAAGGAAAGGAACAAACTCTTTGAACAAAAAAATAAAATTCTTGGCTTGAGCAAGTATGAAAAGTTCATCGAATCCATACAAAAGCAACAAGAAATCCCTACAATTTGTACCATAATTTCTTCGGATTTGACATAAAATATACGAAGAAATGCATAATTTGAATCTAGACAAATCAGAACATAGAATTCTTCAAAAGCACCATTAAAAAACCTTTGAAGTTAAAAAAAAAAAGCATCAACACAGGACGAAACTAAAAAAGAAACCCACAATAAACCCCAAATTGAATCCAAAACCAAACCCTAACAATACACCCAAAACCCATCTCGAACTATTACAAAGATCCAAACCTTAATCACACGTCCAACAAACTAAACTACATCCAAACCAAAAACTAACTACAGCCAAAGAAATTCAAACCAAAACGAAGACCAAACCGAGAAGGACCAAAAAGAAGAAGATCAAAATCATCCAACCTTGGCGGCCTAATGATGAAGTTTATAAGCTGTTCCATCAACAGATTCAAGCAATCAAAGATCTTCCCCTCACCAAGAACTGCTCCTTCTCCTCAATTTCGAAAGATTTGAAAAAATAAAAATACAAGATTTTGTTGTTGCAAGCAACAGCAGAAAAATCACAGGGAAAGGAAAAAGTGTGCGTGAATAAAGCGTGGGATCTTGAAAAGAAGAGAGAGAAGCGGATTGTTGGTAGAGAGAGAAACGAATTGGAGCTCGGCCCCCGTCAGAAGGAGCTGTTTCTTTGTTTATTCGTTGGTTACTGTTTCTTCTTCATCTTCTTTTCTACGTATTTTGTTTTTTTCTTTTTCTCTTTCTTTTTGTTTTGTTTTGGGCTTACGCAAAACTGAACATTTCAGCGCGTCTGTATTTTTTTTTATTTTATTAATTTGCTGACACCAACATTTGGCAAATTTTCATTTTCCAGAAAATAAAACAATCTTAATTACAGATCTTTGCTTTATATTTTTTTAATTTTAATGTGTTTTTTATATTTTGGGTTGAATTTTTATTTTCATATGTGAAAATAGAGTATATATGTTACATATATAGTATTAAAATACTCCCTCCGTCCACACAATAAATATATATTTACACATAATAGTATTTTAATTATAGTGGGTAGGTAAATATAGTGTAATGATATTTTTTCTCTTACTTTTTGGTATAAAAGTAACAATGTGATGTAAAATAATGGTATTTGTGGAAAAAAATTGGGTATTTAATAAAATGAGTACTTTGTAATTATACGTCCAAAATCAAAATATATATAACTGAAATGATGGAGTATATTGTATTATTTTTATAATATTTAAGAAGAAACGTACTATCAAAAGTAAATTGAGTGAACAAATTTCTAATTGTTTTCATTTCTAATTTTTTTTTTTTTTTGTCTAGTTTACTCGTAAGATTTTAAGTTTGATTTTACTAACTTTTTTTTTTAAAAAAAATATTAAATCAAACACTCAATTATTATTTATTTTATTACATTAAAATCTAATTTTACATTTAAAACATCACATCAATACATATTTATATCACATCAAACAACTATTTCAATTCAAAAATTTACTATTCAAAATCAAAATTCAAAACCAAAACCTCACGAGAAAACCTACATATTTTAAATTTTGTCCTTACAATTAAAGGTTTACAATTCACTTTATTTATCAATTTTATTCTCATTATATTATCCATTTTATGTCTTAAAAAAATATAATCAATTTGATTTTTACACTAGTATATCTATTAAAATATGAATATGTAAATGTTAGAATTTAACAAATAGAATATTTAATAATTTACTTTTTATATCTAACGACTTTTCATTGAGACAATGGGTTTGTTTGTTTTTTTTTTTAATGGTCGATTTAAGTATAAAATATTATTTTTTATGTTATTGATACAAATTTTATAATTAATATAAAAATAATTAAAAAAATACAAAGTGAACACACTCAATAATTCAATATGATTGTATTAATATATAGAAAACTATATTGGTTTGTTTGGTAGCTGATTAAAATTGATTTAAAATCTAATGTGATTTGAATTTTTATTTAAATAAGAATAATATTTCAAATTAAATTTTATAAAAAAAATCATACTCTACTAGATGAATAATATTAGTTTTAATTTGAAATTTTAAAAAATAAAAATTAGCATATGTATTAGAAAGGAATGAGTATTGGATACAAACCATGTCAGCAAAATAAGATATCTTAGGGTATTAGGTTCGGCCGAGGTTTACCCAATGTGCACTTTTGGATAATGGCTGTGGTTCTAATGTCATCCAAAAAAAAAAAGTTATTGTACTCTATCATTTTCCGACAAAAATGAAGCATTTTTTTTTCGAAACTAGAATTTAGGTAATATAAATGAGTTATTTAGATAATAGAGATTATTTATTTTATAATTAAAAAAAATTAAAATATACATTTAAATATTTTTAATATTATATCTCAATAAAATATACTCCTCTCCATTCAGCTATATACATGTTTCTATTTTGAGACGTACAATTATAAAGTAACTATTTCATTAAATCTCATTTTTTTTTCCACAAATACACTTATTTTTTAAAGGCAAAAGTATCGTTACACTACTTTTACTTACCCACTGTAATTAAAATAATATTATTTCTTAAAATCCATGCCAAAAAGTGAATGTATACTTATTGTTTAGACGGAGGAGTATATAATATAAATAATAAAATTTTATATATTACAAATAAATAAAAAAACATATTTATTTATTTATTTATTATTATTAAAAGTTAGTTTTATAAAAAAAATAAAAAAAATAATTGTAAAAAAAAAATATTTGTTAATTAAAGAAGGAGTTTTGAGTGGGTGATTAAAAATTTAATTAAACTAACTTATACTTTCGTCGTCCCTTCACAATTTATCCATTTTTTCATTTTGGTTCGTACTAGAGCTGTTGACTGTTAACGATCTGAGCTGAGCCGAACCGAGCCAAATTTTAAGTGTTCGTTAACATTCGCGAACAAGGCTCGTGTTCGTTCGTTAAACTTTCGAACTCATTCGTAGTGTTCGAGCTCGACTCGTTAAGAATTTTTGTTGTTTGAGCTCGTGTTCGTGTTCGGCTTAAGCTCGTTCGAGCTCGTTTGTCTTATTTTTTTAAATTTATATATAAATTATAAAAAAAAATTAAAATTATTTTATTTATATATTTTAGATTAATATTTTATTTATTTATAAATTATAATTTTATATGTATATATAATATTTATAATAAATATATTATTTAAACGAACGTTCACAAACAAAGTTCAGGCTCGTTCGTTAATCAAACGAGCCTGTTTATGTTGTTCGGTTCGACTCGTTAACATTCGCGAACGAGCTTTAACCGAGCCGAATCGAGCCGAGTTTACGAACAGCTCGGCTCGTTTGACAGTTCTAGTTCGTACTATGACAAAGTATCCATTTTTTTTAGTAATTATATTATCTACCTAACATTACAAATACCCTTCAAATTTACAATATATTACACAAATGTCATACTTTATATCATACGTTACGTCAATTTAGTCTTTTTACTTTTATTTCTACTTTATCTCAATATAATACTAATATTTTTAAAATTCTTTGCAAAAAGCATATATAAATATGAAATAGAGAGAGTATTCATTAAATATATTTAAAATTGATAAATTTATTACTAATAGAAATATGTTATATTTTCTTAATAAAAAAAAACGAAAAAAAAAAGGTCATTTTGTGGCGATAGTATTTATACAATTATAAATTAAATAAATTTATTCTTAATCCAGATAGATTCAACCCTTCCGCTAAGCAATCAGTAGTCTCTGGTCTCTAGCAAGCTGCTGCAGTCTGCAGATGCAGGAAGAACTCGTTGGAGCACGTCACGTGCTCTGCACGTGGCCACCAGCGGCACTGCTTTGGGCATCGTCACCCCTTCCCCTTCACTCATGTCTACCACAGTTCCTTCCCAATCGAACCCCTGGATCAACGATCCCACTGTCAATCCTACGATCCGATTCGCCAGTGCTGTTCCCGGGCACGCCCTCCTCCCCATACCAAACGCCATCACTTTCGCCGCCCCGATTTCGCCGCTGCCCCCGCCTTCGAATCGCTCCGGGATGAAGCTATCGGGATCGTCCCAAATGTTCGGGTCCCTGTGGATTGCCCAGGCGTTCACTAGCAGGATTGTGCCTCCAGGTATGTCGAATCCCCCAATTTTGCAGGCGGAGGATGATTCGTGTGGGACCAGTAATGGCGCTGCTGGGAATAATCTTAGGGTTTCAGAAACGATGTGCTGTAGGTATTGCAGATTGGGGAGATCTGATTCTTCGATTAGGCGATTGCCGCCGGTAAGGCCGTCGATCTCAACCCTAGCCTTCGTTAATTTTTCTGGATTGTTGAGTAGACATGACATTGCCCATTCTATTGTTACTGCTGATGTATCTGTTCCTGCGGTTAGCATCACCTGCCATTGACGTAGAATTCAAGCTGATTTAGATTACTCAAATATGATTTTCAGAATGCAAAAACTTATCATTCGCGTAGGGCATAGACATTGATGATTATGTTTTAGGCACTTTCTATCTCTGAACTCGTTTGCTGGTTGATCTGTTTACTTTTGCGGTAGCAGCCATGAATCTAACAATTGAGCTTGGAATAAAGAGTTGAAACTTTCAGTACTATAAACACTTTGAGATGATTCTATCTGTGTTAAGTATTTACACTTGGTCGAAACTCTTTTTTCCGACAAATTTGGTAATTCAAATTGAACTGGTGTACAGTTTTGTTCTAAGCTGGCACCCTGCAATGAATGTTTTTATGTCTTAACTAACTTTCCGGTCTTTTTGAAGAATTCGAGACATCAAAAGTGATTTATACATCGAAATGCTGAATTCAAGAACAAATTTAACTCACCATTATAATCCCTTTAATGATATCATCCGAGTAGTATTCAGGCTGTGACTCTTGTAGACGAAGCAGATGATCGATTATGGAGTCTGTATTCTTAACTAGTCGGCATTCGTCAATCAGAGTTTGGAAAAATGCATCTATTTCAGCAAACAGCTTGGACAGTTTCTTCTCATAACCCTTGTAGTCTATCCATCTTAACACCGGGAAAAAGTCTGCCGGATTTGATGTACCCCCGCGCGTAAAAGCTTGTTTCTTAAGCTCCCGAAAATGCTTTGCTTCCTCATTGTCTACACCCTCACCAAAATATCTCTTCCCTGCAATCATCCTCATGATAATATTATAAGTCAGCTCAGAAAGCAAACTCTGGAGCTCGACTTTCCCCCAAGTGTGCATTGAATTACGATAGAGTTTATGTATTAGGAGTCTGATTTCATCTTCTCTTGTGAAACAGAAAGCGTTGAGGCGGGATGGGGAGAAAACCTCGACTGCAGTGAAACGACGAAGGTTGCGCCAATGGCTACCATACGGAGATGCTACAAGACTTGTGTAGTTGTACCCGAAGTACTTCCCTGCGATGAGACGGGGTCTATTGGCGAAGATGGTGTCGTTCTTGGAGAAGCACTCCTCGACAGCATCGGGGGAGGAAATTACCACTGCAAGGCGGGTACCCAACTGGAGGGAGAAGATGGGGCCGAGTTTCTTGGAGAGATGATCGTATTTTCTGTGCAGAGGTTGTTTGAGGAGATGGAGATGACCTATTATGGGAAGCTCTGGCACCGGACATGGCGGAAGGTTCGACTTTTTTCGATTTTTCCGGGATGCTAAAGCAAGAAAAATGAATGGCAAGAGTAGAGAATATATCCAGGTTAGCATCTGCATACTTTGGTTGATGTTTGTTCAATTTTGTGCCTCTGATTTAATGCATATGGTGAAGTAGGGCTGCTTGAGATCCTTTTTTTTTACAGTTTGTCTTCTTATGAAATGGCATCTTGTTTTTTGGCATGTGTATATCTTCTAATTGTATATTTTTGGATAGGTGAATTAATTTTTTAAATATAGATGATTACCAAATTGCTTATAATCTTTATGTGGTTTGGAAAGCCACCACTGATCTACTTCATGATTTATAAACTATTCCCTCAGCTCCATTTCAAAAAGGACCTTTTTAGGGTTTCTCATTAGTGGATAATTATTTTTTAAAAAAGGAAAAATATATTTTTGAATGAGATAAATTAAAATAGTAAAAAAAGTATTTTGAATTGGGAAAGAGAGAGTACTTGTTTGCATGAGAGTTTGGATTTTAATTTTGACTTGGATAGTAAAAAAATACTCCCTCCGTCCCAGAAGAAGTGCCTTGTTGGGAGTTGGCACGGGGATTAATGAATAATAGTATTTAATTAAGGGTAGTTTGGAAAAGTATTTATAATTTTGTTATAAAGTGGGGACCACGATTACTAAATAAGGAAACAGAACAATTGTTTTGGGACGGACGAAAATGGAAAAATAAGACAACTCTTTTGGGACGGAGGGAGTATTGAATTGAAATAGTTGTTTGATGTGATATATATATATATTTTGAAGTAACATTTTGATTCCGGCACCAGGATTTAGATAGCTAAAATAAAGTAGAAATGAAATGATCTGACGAGAGAGAAAAAATATATATGTACGAAGGTTTAAAGTGTATTAATTATTTGTTATTTTAAAAATATAGTATTAAATCAGTCTCAAAAGTATAATTTTACTGTATTGGGCACGAGATTTAATGAATATTATATTATATCGGTAATAGGTAAAAAATAAGGATAAATAACTTTTTTGCCCTTGTGACCATATTAGTGTAAAAAGTAGTGGCAATTGTGTAATAATAATGAAAATGTATTGATTGTTTTATGGTAATATGATTATTTATGAAAATAAAAATATTATTTTGGGACGGACAAAAGTGTTAAATAAAACTATTGTATGCTGAGTGAGTTGAATATAGGAGATAAACCAAAATAGAATTATGTTGCAAGGTATCTGGGACTCCGTGGAGTACAAACAAACACGGAATGGTATTATGTATAATTGCCAAATCCCTAGGGCTTTGTGAGCAATTTTGCCGATAGAGGTAGACTGTCTTGGGTTTCATAGGTAATGAAATACATTTTTGTTTATTTTATGAAATCTTGTGTAAATTTTTGTTAAGGCTTAAGAAAGTTGCTGCTTAAGAACTAAAAATTGAATTAATTTGATAGATAGTGATTTAAATTGCCAATTTGTAAATTGAAGGGAATTAATTATAAATGGACTGGAAATACTTTATCATACAAATAATCTCAAGGTTGCATGTCATATGTCACGAGTGGCCTTTATAGTGTTTTTTGAATTGTTAATTAAAAAAAAAAAAAAAAAATACCCACTAAGATATGTCATGTTTCTATGTTTTAAATTTAATTATTAAAAATTAAGAAAAATGCTTTATGTTTGGACCTGGTGGAGTAACTCGAGTTAGGTACAAATTTAGAATTTAATTATCATGTTTTTAATATTTCTATATCTATTATAATTTTAATTTTTTTGAAATTATTTAGTATTTTTTAAAAAATATATTATTATTATTATTATTTAATAGAAATATCATATTTAATTTTTTGGTATTTTAAATTTTTTTAAAATCCCACAATTTCTATCTAAACGGATCTAAAATATTTTTACCTACCACTAAACCTATGGCCATTTTTTTATTTCACTAGCTAACGCGTTAACATCACCGATCCGGTTCGCCCCGCGAATCAACGGTTTACGATGCTGAACCGAAACGAACCGTTAAAAAAACTCGATCTTGATCGGTTTTATGGTGGTTCCGGTTTGGGTCAGAAAGCCAGCGAACCGCCAGTTTGCATAGCCGGCCGAACAAGTCCGTACTACAGAACACAAACGGACCTCATAAAATCGCACGAAGCCATTTGGATAATCTTCGACCCTTTTTCCAAAGGGTTCCTTCCTTCCCAAATGTGCTCTCAGCTGCTGCTGCTCAGCCCGCACCCTAATTTGCTGTTCATAACACCGTCGCCGCTCAGAAATTCTCCGGAAATCTTGAAACCTAAATTGCAGTATCGGGTCAAACCTCTAATTCAGCGCACTGCAACTGCAAGCAACGAAAATGCATCTGGGGGTGCCAAAAACTGGGAAAAATGGATGCCGAGGAACCTGTTTGCTGCGGAGAAAGTGTTTGGAGCCATATCTGGGGCTACTTCCAGTCCCATTGCGCAGTACATATCTTCTCCCACCACTTTCTTGCACAACGTGGACCCCCGAATTAAGATGGTTAGATTTTCGATCCCGCTGTTTTCGTTTATGGATTTATTTTTCTCGAGTTTGATTTTGCGAGGAATGTTGATTGGATTGCTGTTTTGGATTTGATTATATTTTGTGCTTCTGTTGGAATTGTGCGTTTAGAGAGAACCTTGCTTCGATTTATAAATTCCTAACTGTGTAGTGATTGATTTTGGGTTTGCAAAGAGGATTTAGGGATTTGATGTTGAGGTTTTGTTTGCCTTCAAGTGTGTGGATGGTCGAGAACTCCACGGAGAAAGTTTAGGATACTTTAGAATCTGAATCTGATCATAAATTCATCATTTTTTATTCTTATTTTTTTGTTTCAATAGTGACCTTTGAATGTACCATGAACCCTAATTGAGGGTGTTTCTGCAACATAATGCTGTGATTTGAAACATTGCTATTTAAAAAAAATAAATTAAAATCATTTATGTTGTTTTTCTGCAATGGGTAGATTGTTGTTTGAAGGTTGTTTTCCTACAACTAGAAACTGTTCATACATTTTTGCACTATTCAGGCTTTATTTTGTATCTTTCTAGCCATTTTCGGCACCATCATTGACATCTTTGTAACACAATTTTCTTAATTACTTTAGATGTATAATAATTCTAGTGCTCTTTATACGTAGGCATGGCTACTTGCGTTGGTAATTTTACCGGCGAAATCAGAAATTGCAATACGTGTGGGAGTTGTACTCTATCTAGCTATGTTATCTATATGGGTGCAGCCTACTGAAGTTTGGAAGGTAACATCAGAATCGGAACATTTATGGAAATTTTCTTAGCATTTTCTTTATTCGATTGGAGAAATGTTGTAGTGATTGTACTTGTGTTTATGCAGGGAATTGGCTTATTAAATGTCCTATATTGTTGTAGGATCAATTGGGAAGAGTGACTTTACTCTGTGGTATCTTGTTTATTTTGTTGGGGTTGAGTACTGATAGTGCGCCTTCTCTCTTGCGATCGAGAAGCCCCCCACCATCATTAACTGGATTGCCGGCTCTCCCTGCTTCCTTTGAAGGTTATAAGTATGTAGTGATGAAGCTTGGGCCGTTGCAACTCACGAGAAAGGGCTTATCTGCTGCTACTACTGCAGCTTGTTTAACTTTCACGGTAAGTTTTCACTGCTTGATTCTGTATATTATATAGACTGACCTCTCCATGAGATTCATTGGTAAAATTCGGTTAAGAGGAATTATGTTATTTTTGTGCCGTCTTGGTTCTTGAGTTAGCAAATTGTTACTTAGTTTGGATGTAGTAATGCATGTTAAAACTTAAAATGTTTATGATTATTGAAAATTGTGTATGCATATTCGGTAGGGTATAGTATGTTTTTGGTACCTTATATTTACTCGTATGTCCGTTTTGACCCTCTGTTTTTAAATTGATAGTTCTCATCCCACATCCAACAAATTAGTTCAATTTTAGTTTTTAATTACCAATTCGTTAAACTTTTACCAATTTTAGCTTTACTAAGAGTGTAAAACTAAGTTTAGTGACTACGGACTAAATTTACATCCTAACAATATTATATCTGTTAAAATTTAACAGAATTGGTAATTAAGGACTAAAATTGTACTCTCTTCCGTCCTGTAAAATTATATAGATTTGCTTGGGCATGAAAACCAAAGAAACAATGATGTTTTAATATTAAATGGGGTAGGAAAAAAATAAATGAAAAATGTTATGGCAAATTTAATGATAGATAAAAAGATGGTGGGGTTAGTAGAAATAATGAGTTAATGACATATTGATTATTATTTATTAAAATACGTATAATAAAATTGTCGATGGATAAAATTGTTTACTATAAATAGAATGTGCATAAGTTTAACGGACATCCACAAAAGGAATAGTGACACAATTTTGGTGGACGGAGGAAGTACAAATTTAATAGATGAGAGATCAAAAGTGTCAATTTATAAATGGAGAGACCAAAATTGATATTAGAGTGAATACAAGGACGAAAAAAAGCATTTTACCTGTTTGGTATGATTTTTATGGTTTCTTTCTGTTTCTTTTGATAGGTTTGACACAAATTTGGTTTTAGTTTGATATTAAAATGATGTATGATGAGATGTTTTGTGAGAGGAAAAAATATTTTTTTTCGGGAAACGTAGAGTCCAAACAGTAGAAACCTAGGTTGGGTATCAAAAGAAACTAACCCTAAGAATGATATGTTCGGCCGGAATTGCATTTCGGAAGCATTTGATTTGGAATGAAAAACAATAAATAGCGGATATATAATGTTTCTTGAAGAACTCCACATATTTGGTCTTATTAATTTCGTTTTACACATTACTATTGATTTGCATATATCCGGGAAATGTCTTTATTTCTCACGACACAAGAAAATCCTACTTCATATTTCCAGAGAGTATAAATTCGCTTTCAGATCTTGTGTACCTGTTTGTGATGAAACTGCTACTCGGTTTGGCCGTAATAAACATGCTTAGATTAATTTTTTCAGTGTAAAATTTTCAGCCAATTACCGAACAGGCATTTATTTTCTTTGTTTTGGAAAGATCTTTCAAAGTGCTAGTCTCTGCTTGACAACCACAACACCGGAGCAGCTCGCATTTGCCTTGCAATGGTTTATTCTCCCTTTGGCAAATATCGGCGCTCCCGTCGCTGAAATCATCCTTACGCTCCTACTTTCACTAAGATTTATTAATCTGGTTTTCGATGAGGTGAGTTAAAACTGTTTGATAATTGGCTTCAAATATTTTTACTATACTCCTTTGGGAATGTGATCTTTTTTTTTTCCTTATATTTGCAGGTTCGTAATGTTGCCCTAGGAATTGTATCTCGTCGCATCAAATGGGAGCAGCTGACGACATTGGAGACAATCGATGGTATTTACCTAAATAAACCGGCTATTACATATTCTATGTTTATGAAATGATTTCATTCTCTAAAATTGTTTATTACATGTTGATATCTATTTGATACTATATTTTGGATTGAAATACATTTTTTTGAAGGTGTCGTAAAAATAGTAATTGTGGACCAAATGTGTTACCATTGATGACATCCTTAATCTCATTCCTATCAATCAAATAGATCGAATGACACGTTTTGTGAGAGGAATTAGTGCTTTTTGTTTTACATTTTTTTTAAATGTATATATATATATGGTTGATTTTCTTGCAGTCTTCTTCACTTATATTCGCCGGATCTTCAAAAACATTTATAACCACGCAGCCCAAATCGCCCAGGTTTGGATTTCGCCCTCTCATTACATTAATTTCTAACGCCCAATGCCTACTTTGTTCCATGATAAGAACTGTAGGATGAGTCTAATTAAATTCATTTCCTTACATGCTTCATGAAACTGAATTCTACGTTTAATTTACATAGGCAGTTTCGAAAAATAAATTGGTTTCTAATGAGTTTGATCTCATAAATGAAAATGGTGATTTTAGATTCCAAATATTAGATTAAAAAAAAAGAATAGCCTTTCATTTTTGTGAAGTCAAAGATATGCCGAGTGTCGATCTTGTGTGCTCATACATGCATCGGTGTATGCGCTCACTCTCCTTTATAGGGGGGCTTGGTACACGGAATTGGTGGCAGAAAAATATAAGTAAATATATTTCTCTTATTTGTTTGCCTCTGAAAATTGAAAAATGAGAAATAATTCATTTTTCATTCCTTACTTTCAATTTTCTTCTATATGTAGAGAAGTCGGGAGAATTGAAGATTGTTAATTGTGAGAGAAGAAAAATATACTCCCTCCCCCGTCCGCGAAAATTAGTGATATTTCCTTTGTAGGTGGGAGTAGTAATTTTTATAAAATCATTTTTATTTCTTATCAAAAACTCTTTTTATTACTTATTTTTCCAAATCTTATTCTCTGTCTTCGTGCCGTCATCACACCACCTGTCGTGATTTGAGGATTGTACATATAAATAATAGAGTCTTTATTAATTATAGTTAATGAAACCCTCAAATCGCGATGACAAAGACGAAGGATAAGATTATAATAACAATAATATGTTTTCAATTATTAATTTGTGTATTTTTCTCTTGTATCTATATACAATGATAAATGATAATTGGTTCTATGTTACATTTCTCTCGATTGAATTTTTTTGTTGTAACAAAAGAATTAATTCTCATTTTCTAGACATTCATTTTCTCTACGATTCAGTTCTTTGTTATAATTTATCTATAATTTCATTCTCTGTACCGAATGTACTCTTGATATTTTGGGCAGGCGATGATTGTGAGAGGTTTCCGAGGAGACTGCTGTGTGCACCGAGTTGTTTTGTCGGCTGGAACGTCTACGAGAATGGCGAACATTGTGGCTTCGGCGAGCCTCGTGGGTCTGATATGTGCTGCCATTTTGTCCAAACACCTCTTCTACCTTTGATCTCTTCTTCATAGAAAACTAATGTCTTTCTGTTCTGTCCTAAAGCTGTTGACATTGTTATTGTAATCATCTTATGTTCCTTTTTTAGTCATTTGCTTGCACCCCATTTCTTTTAGATTTTACTATTTATTGGGTTTGAAGGGTTTATTTCTCTTTGAGAAAAATTGGTTCGGATTTGTTTGATGGGATGTTTTGTATGGAAAAAAAAAATACTATCTCCGTCTGATTTTAAAGTTCTATTTATTTTTCTCTTGTTGATCTTTAAATAATAATTATATGAAAATTTAGTACAAATTAAGGTAAATTTAATAATTTATACGACAATAAATTATATAAAAATATATATAAAAAAATTAAAGTTACTATTTTTTATTTTGGTTCAGAGTATTATATTTGATTTTTTTTTTTTTTTTTTTTTTGTTAAAAGTAATCTTGTCACAAATAATGCATTTGTATTTCTTTCACTATACACTAAATTTACCTAATAAATTTAACATTTAATTATTATTCTCAATTCAATACTTGTTTACAAGAAATATCATTACATTCTCTCTTCTCATTTTTTTTAATTTCTAATTTATTTTTCAAAAATATCTCAACTAAAATATTTATTTTTCTTAATCTCCGTGTCAAAAAAATTACTTTTGAATAATGCCAAAATCTTTAAAGAGTGCTTAAATAAAACTTATCTGTTTAACCATCCACATACAAAAATGTAGTAATCCCAAAAATTTTACCATTTGAAATTCAGTCCATCTACACTTAATTAAATTTAAAATTGTGAGATTTGTAGCTATGTTACCTCCATCACAAACTATGAAAAGATTTCTTTTTCACCTAATAACAATACAATGTGTGTGTATATATATATATATGATCATATCATCCTCAAAATCAAAAGCCCACTTACAACACCACATTACTCACTGTCTGAATTCGACTACAAACACACATACGATCAAATATTTATTGCCCAAGAATCTCTAAATTAAGGCTACCAAAGTGTAGTTCTAACTATCAAGACACACATATATCAGGCCGGCAGCAGCTACAATACTAAATTTGAAATTCACCGCTATGCTGAAAAACACATCTTTTGCTTTTTGGCAGCACACAGTATTATTACAACATACAACACATAATATATATTGATATAATATAAATACAACATATGAACTAACATCACATGCTATAATCTCATACAAAACACACCACAGTTGATTTTAACATATGATATACTCGACAACACACATGTAGTTATAAACAAATATCACATGTTTTTATTACTCACAACACGTGTTGTATATAATAAGAACATAGTATTGTTTGTATATATTATGTGTGTTGACCGTAACCATTTCCTATCTCGCCTCGCCGCCATCATCGCAATGAGATTTGTGCTTCTCAACAAATCCCACAACTAGAGAGGCTTATAAAACAATAAATCCCGAGTTATTTAATTACACATGTAATAGTAAATTTCTCACCGCAAAAGCAAGAGCTTAGACAACAATACACAATAATCCTATAAAGAACTAACTATTTACTACCTAGAAGAAGAAGATTTCGAGTTTGTCTATACACTCAAAATCCGGGCATTTGTTTAAATGATCGAACTAATTAACATTCGACACTCTTCCTTCAGCAAACATTCAATTACGAAACTAGACATAAAATTCACCATTACATACTAAGACGTGAATGCGTTCATGTCAAGAGAAAACACAAAATATGAACATAATAAAGGCACTTGATGCGCAAATCGACATTAAACAGACACCAAACTACGATTCCAGCAGAGTTTTAATATTTAATATTTAACAACTACAATTCGAGGCATGATTCGATAGACAGCACATGAAGACAGGAAGCTATTTAATTACACGGCTGGAAAACAGGCTTGGAATCGAGAGGATCTTAACTCAAAGATAAAATCATTTTCAAAAGAAAACCATACCTCTTATGCGCAATATTCGAGATTACATCTCCTAGTTTTGCCAACAGAGATTCCTTCTGCCCTCCTGCATTATTTCAAAGGCGAGCTTGTATCTCTCCAAAGATGCGGCTCCAGCCTCGATAAAATTCCGGGCTTCTTCTCGTAGACTCCACAACATCAGGGCCTTGAAATCTTGTGCTCCACCTCCCGATTCTGCATCTCTCAGAATGCCGTATTTCGCATTTTTGGTCCATCGGTGCAAGATGTAGCGAGAGGGAAGCTCTCGAATGTTCATTATTTGAAACACCTTAAGAGCATGTCTACAAAGGACACCTTCAAACTCGAACATTTTGCAACTGCAGCTGACATTAAGATTCGATGCATTGAAAGCAACAGTATTCCTCTCGTCACCGTTTCCACACTTCTGCACCAAATATCTGCTAATGGCTCCTTCTACATTTATCTTTATTCCGACATAACTGTAGCATTCCAGAAGCTCCTTCTGAAAAACTTTAAACATTGTGATCGTGTAGAGCCTTCTGCATTGCTCCTCAATCGGATCTTTCGTGTGTAAAACAGCTTGCAAATTAAATGAGTTGAAATCTTCCTTCCTTTCTTCTTCCCGGCGCTGTTCCACAGCTTTTTCGTATCTTACGATGAATTCGTTGAGGGGTGTCTGAGTGGTCAAAATTGTACCAAAGTACGATTTTAAGCTTCCACCGACGGGTATGCCAGCAAAGAATGTTCCCTTTACATAAAAGGGCACCCAACTTTTGCGCATCTTGTACATATCTTTGAACCACTCGTTCTCCCGAAGGTTATATTTGTTCATTAGCATAGTCCAAGCTGAATCGAAGTCGCTAGCTGTCTGACTCTGAAAAATGCACGTTTCATATTCGTATTTGAACTCGGCATTCAGGGAGAGCAATGCACCCAAGTTCTCCTGTTCTTTAGCTAGAAATTGCCAGGCGGAAAAGCGGTGGTGTGTCCCGGGAAAAACTTGAGCAATTGAATGCTGGATGGCGGAGTCCTGATCGGCTATGATTGAGACAGGGCGATGCCCCGACATTGCTCTAAGCCAAGCTTGAAATATCCAAGTGAATGATTCCTCGGATTCGTCTGCAACTAGAGCACAACCAAGGAGTACGGGTTGCCTGTGATGATTGACCCCGACGAATGAAGCAAACGGCGCCAAATAGCTACCCCTCCTGTATGTTGTATCAAACACAATGGCGTCTCCGAACTGAGTGCACGAAAATCGAGATCTTGAGTCTGCCCAAAACACATTCATGCCTTTTCCGTCGCGCATTTCAACTCCATAATAGAATCCCGTGTCCTCAGCTTGCCGAGATTGGAAATAATCAAGCAGCACACCGTACCAATTGCTATTAATATTGCTTTCCCGTACTCGTTTTACAAGACTCAGGCCTCCATTTGTTTCGACTAAATCCAAGTTTTCCAACACACTGCTCCCTTCCTCTCTATACCCCTTGGATGCAACAGTCACAGTTCTACTAGGATCTATTGAGAAGTCAAACTCATGATTATGTTCCTTCTGTAAACGATCAACTGCCCACCTTCCGGATTCTTGTTTTTGTATTCTCATAAATGCCCCACAACCAACTCTTGAAGGGTGCTGATGACCTTCCTTGGAGCACACGAATCTGCGAGATGTAATCGACCCATCATGCTTAGAACGGAATAACTGACCTATCCTAATTCGGAACCCCATATGAGCTGCATATGTGTGGTAATATTTATACGCTTCGTTGGCAGAGCTAAATTCAAGTCCTTTGTAAGGTTCGCCAACGGGCCCAACTATTCCATCCATTTCTTCCATTTTGAGACGCTTTATATCAACAAAACTAGATGGACTATCGTCCTCGTGCGATCTTATCCCCGTCCGACTAGCCCCACCAGCTGAGGATCTTGGAGTTGATAAACTTTTTCTTTGTACCCGAGGTGGGCAAAGTTCTCCAGAGGACTCGAATTCATGATTATGCTCCTTTTTAATATTGGCTAAAACCCACTTGCCAGAATCAGCCTTCTGCACTCTTATGAAAGCCGGACAACCAGTTCTTGAATGCGTCTGAAATCCCTCCTTCGAACACACAAACCTCCGGGAAATTACAGTACCGTCAATTCTGGACCTATATAGCTGTCCAATCCTAATTTTGAACCCAACTTGGGTTGCATATGCATTGTAAAACTCCTGGGCCTCTTCAGCTGAATCGAACTCTAACCCCACGTGTGGCTCCATCTTAGATTGTCCATCCGCACTCCGGTGGCCATTGCTTTGTAAAACAACTAAAGCAGCAGGTTTTGCCCTGACAGTCATGATATCAAACTCTCTCCTATTCATATCAATATCTGCAATTATTAGGAGATATTAAAACTACCAAATTTAAATGCACTTATACTCCGCTACCATGAAAGGAAAGCAAGCAAACAATTATTTTTCTTTAAAGATAAAATAAAAATCACTTGAAACTAATGTCTAATGTAAATATGAAGCAAAGGCTAGAATGAAGAGCTGAACAATCTGCTCAGAAAGGTTCATGAATAGCACAGAAATGCTCCAATCAGACGCCAAAAGGTTGATACGATTCACGAACAAGGACAAATAGAAATGATGCTGGAATCTGTACTCAGGAAATGCTATTGGACAGTTTTCAACAAAGCCTAAATCAATGTACCAATGCAATGAACTATTCAAATTATAAAACTTACTTTTAACTATGCAAGCATGTTCTCTAACAAGTCTGCAAAGATCAAGCAGAACAGCATAGACTCAAGAGAATAAATGGAACTAATAAGTTTAACATAAAGACAGAGAATCTCAGATATTTTAAATAGAAAACTCTGACAATGTTCGGATTGCATGCGACCGAAAATAAATGCAACATTTAATATCATTTGATCCCAACCCTCAAGCACACTGAATACTTCCGGAAGACTTCATGCACTTACTGCTACTTCAATAACCATGTATATATTCACAAAGGATTATTCTTTCCATTAAATAAACAGATGAGCGCAGACTATGTCGGCAAGTCTTCCCAGGACATACCGAAGCAGCAAATACAAACAACCAACTTCATAAAATGCATCATCCTAGAGGCAGAGCTACGACAACTAAAATATCAAAAGTTTCAACATTATGGTATAATAGAAACAATCCAAACTTGCAATGAGCCGTCAATTTCGTAGATGAATTAAAAGGATATATGTTCATACTACTATCCATAACTTCCCCACATCGAGAGCTTCCACAACCTCCTATATAACAGTAAATATCCTACATAAATTACATTCCCATTTTATATTCCATCAACTTGGTACTCATAGTTTCCTGAATAGCACCATTAATCTCACTCCACACAAACATTTGAAATGAAACGAATCCACGCGAGAAGACATGCAAATCCATAAGGATGCAGGACCATCTTAAAGTAACTTCAACAGACTATAATGCCTTTTTTTTGGGCTTATAGTGTAAAAGCAAGATAGAAAAAGAAGCGCAGATAATTCCGTACAAATCTGTTAATTAGGAACCTAACCGAGCTAGCAATATTAGGAATTTCAAACAGAATCGAAGAAATCCACAAACCAAAACTCAAGAAATACCAACCCGCAGCACAATAACCAAGCGACATTAACTGAAACGAACACACAAACCACTAACTTGAAATGCATCGCAAAACTCTGATCGAACGAAAAATCGAGTTAGGGTTTTACCTATTGCATATCAGCTGAAGCTGAGATTAAAAATCCCCCAAAATTAGGGCTTCTCCCACTCAAATTCAGCTGCAATTCCAGCTATTCAACAAAAGCCTAGCTGCATTGAGACGCCAAATCGACTAATTCCTCCCCCTCAAAAATTAAAAAATAAAAAATTAAAAAAAACAAGCAGAAGACAAACACAAATCGGAGGAGTAGCAAAGCGAGCAAAACCTGCAAAAGATCCGGCGTCGGAAGGAAAAAGTGGATCCGATTACAAAACACGGGGTCTAAAGAAATCGAAATCTCGACAACTTTTTTTCCATTGAAGATAGGCATTCATTCATTCACTGGGTTTTCCAGAGCTGAGAAGGGGTGGAGAGCTGAGGTGGATTTCCAGTACTGTGTGCCTTTTTGACGTTAGCTGAGAATGGGCACCAGAGTTTTTATATTCTGTTGCGGAGGTGCACAGAAAACTTTCTGCGCCTTCACGTGATTGGTGGACATTTCTTACACGTTGGAACTCTATTACTGTAATAAGAACAATAGTGTTTTTTTTTTTTTTTTTTTTCTTTTTATAAAAAAATTATATACGAATATATTCATCCAAATAATTTTTTCATAATATATATATGGGACTGGACCAACTGTGACTGAACCCGTATGAATTTATTTTTGAATTTATTTGTCTCTTACTAGTGAAGTTGATTTAAAATTTATAAGGGATTAAATTTTATTCACAATTTTCAATGTAGGACTAGATTTGTTCCTCTTACAATTCTCATCTCAAACAAGGATCAATAAATTGGTCTTCTCTGCCCACCTTATCACAAAGGGTTCCGCTATCTGACCAACTACAACTATCGGGACTGACCAAACACCAAGAGACTTTCAACACAAGGCGCATTCGCAGGTCATGAGGACGAACCCACCACCACAATCAATGGTTAATGCCACAGTCCACTTCACCATTTAACTTGACTCTCATACCATTGTTAACAATTTGTTTCCCCTTATGATCGATGATTCGGGTTGTTCATGCAATCAAATAATACTCACTAAGAATATTAGTATGTTAGTACCAATAATCAGAATAATAATAAATATAAACTAAGAAAACAAGCTATAATATAACGATATATCTGGAATAATTTGGTAGGTTCAAGTCACAGCCCACTCCGCGCCAATTCTAAGCCTTCCAACGAGGCAACACCACAAAAGGGGAGCAGTAAGGGTTTTGACACCAAGGAACCCATAATCCCACAAAGAACAAAGAATAAAGGAGATTGCACAATCATAAAGAGGAACACAAAGGAGAACACAAAAGATCACACCAAGCGAATGTCTCTCTCGGCTCTCACTCGCTTCACTTCCCCCTCAAATCCACCAACACCCATCGATATATTTAGTCACTTCAAGATTAGGGATAAGGCAAAGAGAAGGGGAAACAAACATACCTTATCGCGAGGATAAGACCTGAGAAAAAGGAACAAATCACTCTTCCTGCGTTGATTTCGGACCGGAACCGAGAAGAGAACAAAATGAGTCTTTAATCGCGATTGGGTGACTATCTGATATAACCATCTGACCTAAATGGGTTTGTTTACATGGATTCGGGTCGGGTCATGTGGGTTTGGGTTTGGGTCAGTTAGAAACAAAAAACCCAACAATTGGTTGTTGGGATGCAAACTCAAGTCCCACATTGGAAGTTGTGAAGAAAATTTCACACCTTATAAGTCCTAAATCAACTCCACTAGTAAGAGACCTTTTGGAATAAGTCTAAAAATAAATCCGTGCGGACTCAGCCCAAAGCGGACAATATCATACTAGTGTTGAGTTGGCACAATTCCAACAGTGGTATAAGAACTTCTATGTTGGAAACGGGTTGTACGATCGAATTAGAATTTGAAGGCTAATCCTTACTTTTTTATTTGTTAATTAGTTTTTGGGTAAGTGGAGATTAAATTATGTGAATATTGATTGGTTTGAACACTGCTATCATGTAACTGGCTGCTCCAAGAGCGAGTTAGTAGCTGACCACTGATAGCTAGTGAATTATATGACATTCTTGTATGGCTTATTGTGTGAACTTTGTGTAGATATTTAGGCATTATGACAACTGTATCCATTGCAACTTTTGACAACAAAATTGATTTCTCAATTTAGCAACAAAAGATGAAAAGTATCTTAATAACACATAATGCTGCCAAAGCTATTGATGGTGATTTTAATCGGTTGTTGACTGAAGATAAAAAAGTTGAGTTAGATGAGTATGCATATTTTTTGATAATACTAAATTTATCTTACTCTTGATTGAAAAGTAGGAAAACATAATTATGCAAAAGAACTTTGGGAAAAATTAGAAAAAATCTATATAAAAAAGTCTTTGCCGAATAAATTGTTTCTGCTTGAAAAATTCTTCAAATTTAAACTTGAATTAAGTAAGTCGATAGATGAGAATCTTGATGTTTTTTCTAAGCTAGTTCAAGATATTAAACAAACAGAAGACAAGAATATTGATGAATACACCCCTATTGTGCTTTTGAACGTCTTTCCTGAATTTTTTTCTAATGTCAAATATGCTATTAAGTATGGTAGAGATAATATAATCGTTAAAACAGTTATGAGTGGATTAAAGAGTAAGAAATTAGACTTACAGGGTAATGGGAAATAAAAACAAGCATATGATGATGTCTTGTTAGCTAGGGGTAAGTCACATAATTTTGACAATCAAAAGAGTAAGAGCAAATGGAAAGATATGAGTAGGAAGTGTTGTAATTGTAGGAATTAAGAATTATTTTATAAATCAATATCCGCATCCTAAAGAGTACTTTAGAAACCAACAACGTTATGAAACGAATGTGACTACAAAGGATGAGATTGTAGGTGGCGTGTTTATAGTAAGATATAATGTTTCTATTATTGATCAAGTGTGAGAAACTAAATGGTTACCTAATATTGCCCTTGAGAAATTTGTTTTTGATTTGTAGCTTTATGTCGCATGCTTTTGTTGGTACATATGATATTAGTTTAAAGTTTTTGTTATATGTTAACTTTGAAAATTAGATGGGTTGATTTTATAACTTGGTAGTGTTTACTTTGTGTGCATATATGTTTACTTTGTGCTTATATATATATATGTTTTTGCGTGCAAGATCTATGTGGTAAGTTGCATGTATAAAGGCGATGATATTAGTATGTTCTCCACTCTTGCTTATGCCCTTCAATGCAACCATAATGGTCGACTAGAAACAAGGGGAAGATTGTTGGGTTTTTTGTTTCTAACCGACTCAAACCCAAACCCACATGACCTGACCCAAATCCATGTAAACAAACTCATTTAGGTCAGATGTTTATATTAGATAGTCACCCAATCGCGATTAAAGGCTCATTATGTCTTCTCGGTTCCGGTCCGAAATCAACGCAGAAAAAGTGATTTGTTCCTTCTTCTCAAGTCTCATCCTCACGATAAGGGATGTTTGTTTCCTCTTCCCTTTGCCTTATCCCTAATCTTGAAGTGACTATATATATATATATATCGATGGGTGTTGATTGGTTTAAAGGGGAAGTGAAACGAGTGAGAGCCGAGAGAGACAGTCGCTTGGTGTGGTCCTTTGTGTTCCTTTTTACCTTTGTGCGATCTCATCTATTCTTTGTTCTTTGTGGGATTACGGGCTCCTTGGTGCCAAAACCCTTATTGCTCCCTTTTTGTGGTGATGCCTCGTTGGAAGACTTGGAGTTGGCGGGGAATGGGCTATGATCTGAGTCTACTAAATTATTTCAGATATTTTGTTATATTATAGCACTGTTTTCTTAGTTTATATTTATTGGAGCAAAAATCATTTTTGGTCTCATTTAATATCATAATTATCAATTTTGGTCCCATTCAAAAAAAATTATCAATTTTGGTCCCACTCAAATGAAAATTTATCAATTTTAGTCCCAAGATGGTTTACTGGGACTGAACACGGCCGTGTTGGCTTGAACACGGCCGTGTTGGATGACTCAGAAGGTGACTGGGCGTCCCAGGCAGCCAACACGGCTGTGTTGATTACCCTGCACTTCTAAACACGGCCGTGTTGCTGCCCGTGTTCTGAACACAACCATGTTCCTGCCCATGTTCATGCCCATGTTCTCAATACAGCCATGTTCTAGGCCATGTTCATACATGTTCTAGGCCATGTTCATGTCCATGTTCTCAACACAGCCATGTTCTAGATCATGTTCACGACCATGTTTTCAATATAATCATATTGCAGGTCATATTTATTATTATTTTTACTTTTTGGTTAAAATTATTTGATATATATTTATAATTCAACAAAAATATTTTTACAATTATTTCATACTATAAAAATAATCAATTTTTAATATTTTAAAAATATATAAAAATAATAATATATTAATATATATATTTTTTGGAAAATAATTACACTATTTTTTAATTTAATTTTTTATTTAATTTTAATTAAACTAATGAGTTATTTTAATATTAATTTATAATTATTTATATTATATGATAATATTTTCACTAATACATTCTTAATTATCTCCTAATTATACTTATCCTAAATTTTCGTATCTACAGTGACCTAACATCCAACCTGGGAAGAGGAGTATTATTTTAAAATATTATTTTGAATAATAAACTTAATTTATAATTTATAGAAATAATTAATTTAAAATAATATTTTAAATTTTCTACTATATATAATTATCAATTTTTAAAATATATATTAATATATTATTATTATTATTATTATTATTATATTTTTAAAATATTAAAAATTAATTATTTTTTATATTATGAAATAATTTTAAAAAATATTTTTGTTGAATTATAAATATATATATATCAAATAATTTTGACCAAAAAGTAAAAATAATAATAAATATGACCTACAATATGATTTTATTGAAAATATGGTCGTGAACATGACCTATAACATGGTTGTGTTGAGAACATGGCTGTGTTCAGAACGTAGGCATGAACATGGGCAGTAACATGGCTGTGTTCAGAACACAGACAGCAACACAGACAGGAACACGGCCGTGTTCAGAAGCGCAGGGTAATCAACACGGCCCCGTGTTGGCTGTCTTGGACGCCCAGTCACCTTCTAGTTATCCAACACAGCCGTGTTCAGTCCTAGTCAACTATCTTGGGATTAAAATTGATAAATTTTCATTTAAGTGAGACCAAAATTGATAATTTTTTTTAATGGGACCAAAATTGATAATTATTATATTGAATTAGGCAAAAAATAATTTTTATTCTATTTGTTGTTATTCTGATTATTGGTAACCTATTAATATTCTTAGTGAGTACAAATTCTTAACAATATATATAATCAGTTTGTTCACATTAACAATTTTTAATAGAACAATTTCTCGTAAATGTTATTTAAAAAAATACAAATATACACACATTAATATAATATATATATTATTCACTTTTTACAAAGCAAATATTTAACACAAAATATTATTTTTTATATTATTAACACCAATTTATTTAAAAAAATATGAGTGAACAAGCTGAATATATTTATATAATCACACAAAATATATAATACACTATCTTTTATTTTTTTTATGTCATTCGAAAATTATTTTTTGTTTAGTAAAAAATTATAGTACTATTTTTTGTATTATATTTTATTATAAAAATAAAAATATAGATACATTCAAATTAAAACTCATGTAAAATATTTGAATATGTTTTTAAGAGATGAGAAAGAGGATATATATTGTCTACTGTAAATATAAAAATATTACTGTAGTAATTTTAATATAAAATATTATTATTAATTTTTTATACTCCGTATTACATTTTTCTATATTAAATATAAATAAATTTTAAATTAGAACATAAAATAATATTAATAAAAATATATTATATAGTTTTTCAAAAATATTTAAATATATATTTAATGTCAGCCGTAAAACTCTAGGGAGGAAAATATTGATTCTTATATTTATTTTTATCAATTTAAATTTTCCCGGCATGATTGGGTAAAAAAAGAAAAGAAGAGCAGTTTTTTAAAAAAAATCAACGAAATTATATAAAAAATTTAATATTTTTTACTTAAAAATAAATAAATACTAGAAATACAAATCAATAAAATTACATATAGCATAAATGTATTTAGAAAATATAAAAATTTTAAAGGACAAATTAATAAAAAATATACATAAATTTATTATTTTTTACAGTAAAAAAAAAATCATATTTTGAGGGGTGAGGAGCGAGGGCAACAATCTATTTAATTGTTATTATTATTATTTATATGAATTTTTATACAAAAAAATATATTTATAAATAAAATCACATTAAAATTACAATTTTTATTAATTTAAATTAAAAATAAAATAATTAAAAAGGAATAAATATAAATTAATATTGTCAAATATAATTGGTGGTTTTTTAACTGATGAAACTGAAATCGAAATAAGAAAATATAAATTAAAATTATGGAAGGTTTAATTTTGATTTGACATTTCTAAACATTAAAACTGATAATTTTAATTCGAACCATTCGAGCAAATTTATGTTATTTTTTATATATATATATATATATAATTTTTAATATGATTTCAAATGTATAAAACTTTAAAATATTTGTAATTTTTATATTAAACATTTAAATTTTTTTATCTTATTGATATTATTATAATAAAATAATAAATATATATAAAATAATAAATAGTTATTAATGCTATAAATAAAATAAATATGTACCTTTTTACTGATTTTGAAAATCTATTGAAATCTCACCTCATAACAAGAGATTTTATATATAGTGTAATTTGTTAATAATTTTATTAAAAAATTCAATAAAATTCATAGATTTTTAAAGTCTATCGGTTGTTAAATATATCAAAATTTTAAAAGATTTTTTAAAATCCGAATTGAATAGCACCAAATTTTAAAAGACTTTTAAAAATTTGAATGAAATACACAAAAATTTAAAAAAAAAATTAAGAGTAGAATAAAATCCAATAAAATTTATACTGAATACACATGCAATAAAATCTAAACATTAATGGCGTTGGGGATCATGAAATTTTATTAATCTATAGAGTGATTTATTTAAAAAGATTTTAAATTACTAATTTAAATAAAGTTTTTTTTTATCTAAATAGATTTTTTTTTATCTAATAGATTTTATCTTTTTTTTTTGGAGTTTTGTACGATATTAAAAAATAATAATATTTTATTAATCGGTAGAATTGTATAAGATGTTTTGACATTTTTGTCATTTGATTTTAGATAAAAAGTAATTGTATGTATTATGATAAATTAATGTATGATTATTTTTATTTAAAAAAAAAATAGATAATTTGAGTAAAATAGTCGAAAAAAATAAAAAATGTAAATATAATTTTCAAATTTTATATAAACTATATATACTTATAGCATAATGTATTGGAAGATTAAGGGTGTGTTTGTTTGAGAGATTTGTTTGGATTTCCACTGTTCATCCTATTTTTTCCCCTCAAAAACATCAAATCAAACACCTATTTTTCATTTTTTATATTATACTAAAAATCAATTTTACATTCAAAACATCACATCAACACCTATTTATATCACATCATACAACTATTCAAATTCAAAATTTTTACTATTCAAATCTCAATTCAAAATTCAAACCCTCAAACAAACACACCCTAAATGTACTCCCTCCATCCTATAACAAAGTATATATTTTTTCATTTTAGTCCGTCCATAACAAAGTATCAATTTTTTTTTTAAGTAACTGTACTATCTCTCTAACATTACAAATACCCTTATAATTTACAATATATTACACAAATGCTATTACTTTTATATCACACATCTTAATAAGATTATTTTAGTCATTTTTACTTTATTCCTACTACATTCTAATATAATATTAATATTTTTAAAACTATGTGAAAAAACAAATGAATATCTAATTATGGGATGGAGAAAGTATTATTAATTTTTTTTCAAATTGGCCCAAGCATGGATCGGGCAAAATTATTTTACAGATATTATTAATTTATTTAAATAATATATTTTGAGTGCTATATAATAAAGAAATAATAATATATTTTTCATACGAATCGCTAATTGAATAATTATAATTTTGTAGTGATGCAGTCGGCTCCTCCGGCGGCTCTATTTGGAAATGTGTCTACAATTGCTAATTACTCCTTCCATTTCGGATACTGTGTCTGCTACACTGTAGATACGGTAATTTAGAAGGGGTGTAATTAGTAAATAAAATTAAGAATGTATTAGTGAAAATAATTATTCTATAATATAAATAATTATAAATTAAGATTAAGACAACTAATTAATTTAATTAAAATTAAAAAAAATAAAAATTTAAAATAAGATTAAAGTGTGTAATCATTTTTCAAAAAAAAAAGTGACATGGTATGTGAGGCGGACAGAAACAGCAACGTAGACATGGTATCTGGGACGAAAGGAGTATTTCTTAACACAATATATATATATGTATGTATCATGACTTCAATAAGAGCATTTAGATTATTTTTTTTCCATCATTTTTTTTTTCGACACGATTTCTAATATATATAATATACCATATTTTACTATCTCATAAAAAAATAACATTCAATATAAAATATTCTTATGCATGGATTAGCCGTTGATGACCGGAACAACGTATGTTATACGGGTAATCAACATATATTTATATATATATCTCAACATATATTATATTATAACTCAGCATATGCTGATTATATGTATGACATATGTTGATCGGATTAAACCAGGACAATGATGATTTGGTCAGATCAACACATGATTTGTATCCTTATTTTTTTATATTATTTACATAATTTTCTATACCTCACGTAAGAAATATACTTCATACCAAAACACTAAATAAACAAACACATACTCTTTAAGTGTTGTATATATATATATATATATATATATAGAATATTCTAATAATTTTAAATGAAGTAAAAGAAAAAAAAAAAAGAAATATTATCAAGTGTCTACCAAGAATTAAAAGATTGTCATGTTATAATACCTAAGGTTCACTATTTGTAAGCTTGGATACTTTTTCTATTTCTTTGATTACCATTTCTTTTTCTTCTTCAAATTCGTCGTCTTCATTGCCTGCAATCACATGTTTAGAGTGTATATATATATATATATATATATATAATATATACATGCAATATATATATATATATATATATAAGTTCAAATATGACAAAAATCAAACCTTTTCCGGGGGATAGATCATGCAACAAGGTTATCAACTTTTCATTATTTTTTGCCACGATAATTTTTATTTCTTCTGGTTTATTCGGATTAGCCACGAATATCTGTACAATAAATCGAAGGATTTAACTCGGAGTTATATTGGATTGCAAGACCAATGCAATTTTTACTTGGAAAAAAAAAAAAAAAAAAAAAAAAAAAAAAAAAAAACAAAAACCAATCTAAACACAACAATTTTTGTGTAAGTCATTCAAACAATTCAAAAATATATAATACTACTTCCGTCCGGTTCTAAGGGTCTCATTACTTTTTGGTTGCTGATATTTGAATATTAATTATTATATCAAAATGTAGTACAAATTAAGAAAAAAATACAAAAATAGTTCCGTTGGTATCTTATAGTACTAATAGAAGGATATTTGTACAAAAAATATACAAATATAATGATATTTTTAATGTTAAGTACAACAACGAAAAATGTAAATACGGAAGAATTGTACTTAACATTAAAAATATTCTTATATTTGTAATTTTTTTTAACAAATGTTCTTCTATTAGTATTATAAGACACTGATTTTTTGTAATTTGTTCTTAATTTGTACTATATTTTTATATAATAATTAATATTCAAATATCAACACTTAAAAAATAAATAAGACCCTTATAGCCGGAAGGAGATAATATCATTTTTACCAGCATAGTCATTATATTACACATTGAATTGAATTATAGGTGTATATAATAACATTATTCAAATTAACATAAACATATTTTGTCACAAACAGACTTTTCAAAACAATACATCCTAACATTAATTTATTATTATAGTTATTATTTATTTTATTTTATTCGAACTACTCTCTACGTCTTAATTTAAAATATTTTTTTACTATTTTCTTATGTTCTACTTCAAAATATCCATTTTTTTATTTTTTTTAAAAAAATAATTATACACTAATACCCAAATATCATTAACTTTTGCTTAAATTACGAGCATACCATTACAGTTGAAGGGAAAAAATATAAAAAACTCTTACATACTCTCACTAATTATTAAAATACTAATATTTCTTAATCTACTACAAAACCTTAAAAATGTCCATTTGATTTGGGACAGAGAGAGCATTAGTAAATTGCAAATGAGATTAATTAAAAAAATTTCAAATCAAATAAGCCAACAATAATTATCATAACAGCTCCAATGTAGTTTATAAAATATTGAATGTCATGATATAACACATTCAAGTAAGTAACTTATGATATATTTATGCAATAAATACCACAAGAAAAATAGACAGATGAAGGATATAATAGAATTGTTACCTTAAAAATATGAAATGCAGATATTTGAATGTTTTTGCTCGAATCCTGCAAAGTAGTATTGACAAAAAAGTGAAACATATAACAAAAAAATGTTTCGACAAGCGATGAGATGAGGAATTGACAACATATTCACTAGGAATCTTCGTCAACACGTGGATATAAAATACCTTCAACAGCATCATCATAATTTTCAGGTGTTGAATTTCTGAAACAAAGCGCTTCATTACACGGGCATTTGGAGATTCCAAAAGAAAATCCGATAGAATCTAAAGTTTCCAAAGAAAGAAATATCAACACGAACGATAATGCAAGAAAAACGAGTAGTGAGCATAAAAAATAGCTAACCTTTAGAGACTGCCTTCTAGTCACATAGTTATCTGATGTCAAAAGTTTTTGATATCGTTCAAAAAACTGAAATGTAAGTTTCACAAGTAAACATAGTTAAGGATTTTGATGGCACCATCTTCGTATATAATAAATTGAAAATAATGTCGAGAAAGAACAGGCAAAACCTCATTGTAATGATTATTCAAGAACTCGGAAACCGGCGCGGGATGTTTGGTGAGCAAATCCTATCGAATTTAAATACATATTGTAAATAAAGGAAAAATAATTTCGGGGTGAATATCATAACAGAAGAAAATTAATAAATGAAATATGAGACCTTAAATGTAGAAAATGCGTCTGCAGAAATATCAAAATTAGGTAACTCGACATATTTGAAGAAGAGCTCGAAGCTAGGAGACTCTAAAATATATCTGCAGTGAGAGACGAGAACTTTTGATGTGAAAAACTCGAAATAGTAAAATATAACAAAAATATTTTATTCACTCGATTTTTTGCAACAAATTTTGACGAGGATACACAAAAACAATTAAGAAACATATCCTTACTTGGCAAAAGTAGGTAATTTGATGCATTCCCTCAGCATATTCCCACAATGCAGTGCAATTTCTTTGTCGTCGTAGCTGCTTGCCAAGCATGTAAGTGTGTATTACTATCATAACATTGTTCTGACATGACAAGCACAAAATTAAGTCGTGTTTATCCATCTTACCGTGATAATCTACACAAATACAAAATTCAGAATAACAAGAATCGAATTCCTATTACAAATATACTACAAAGAGGTAATATAAAAATGTGAAGACTCTCACCCTGCAATTAGAATATCGAGCAAGTCAAGATGATTCTCCATGTATTGTGCACAACAAAACACTGAATCCACTTCCTGCTTAACCAATATAGGCCAACAGATGACCAAATTCTTTCTAGTCTGTTCATAAATGCAACATCTCAATTAATGAAGTCATATTTAGACCTTTGTTTAATCTCATGATTCATATTAGTTTTTTATACTTACTTCCCATCCCAAAAATGGTAGATTTTGGAAAAACAGAGGGATGACATCCTCGTTACAGATGCCGAGTGTCAGCTGAGAAATTTGTTCTGGGCTCGGTTCCGCTTCACCATCTCCTATCAACATAGTTTTCATTGATGATATATTTTTCTCAACTTCTTCCAAAGCCTGTACTTAAGTAAAGCAAATGCAAACAAAAAGATATCTCATATACCTTTCGAACAGATATAACACTAGATTTTATACATTCAAATGTTCGACCACAAGTAATGTTGTAATCATCTCAAACAGCTTGTGGTCGAGCATTTTAAACAAATTTACAAATGATGTATTGATGGATTATACACTAGATCTTATGCATTCAAATGCTCAACCACAAGTATGTAATGTGTATGTTTGAGGCCAAACACCATTTTCACTTTGAGTTCAAATCATTTAATATGTGGAGTCATTTAGTGAGTTTACAATCCATCAATCAATATACTCCCTCCGTATCCATTTTTTCATTTTAGTCTGTCCCATAAGAAGGTATCCATTTCATTTTTTTTTAGTAACTGTACTGTCTACTTAACTTTAGAAATACCCTTACAACTTACAATATATTACACAAATGTTATTACCTTTATATCACACATACTAGGTTCTTTTAGTCATTTCTACTCCTTTCATACTACCGTTCAAATATAATACTAATATTTCTAAAACTACGTAACAAATGGATATTTAGGTAATGACGGAGGGAGTAATAAAATTTCAACATCGATGAATACCTAAGATAAAAAGGAATTACCTTCTCCAAAGCTTTGACGTCAGCTACAGTTTGAGAGTCGAGCGCCATGAGACTATCCTTGATGGCACTCACCAATTCCTCTGGAGTTTTCGGCCGTGATTGCTTGAAAAACGAGAACGACATTTTGTTTAATTCATCCAACTCCTTGTAGGTTGTATCGATGGTGGATTTTGCTACGACGATCCAATTCAAATTGAGCTTTGATTTGATGGAACGGTGTTTTGGTTGATTCGATTACTTATCCCACCTCGACTTTTGATACTGACAATTTGTTGCATCCAAATTAGAAGTAATTATGATGCAAATCCCTTCTAATCATGAAAATAATTTATTTTTCTTCACTTAACTAAATTTGGATAATTGTTTTTTCGATCAGAATTATGGTTTTTTGAATAGTTACTTTGTACATTTAAATGTTGAATATTTGATTGATTAGAATTTTTTTTTTTTAATACTTATCTATCGTACTTTTTCTGTCCCACAAGTAAATATCTATTTACTTTATACAGGTAATTTTAGAAATATTAGTATTATATTGGGATATAATAGGAATAAAATATAAATGACTAAAATAACGTTATTAGTATGTGTGTTGTGTAATATATTGTAAGTTTTAAAGGTATTTCTAATATTAGGTAGATAGTACAGCTACTTAAAAAAAAAAAAAAAGAATCACGGATTAAAATAAAAAAATAGATACTTTGTTATAGAGCGAAGGGAATATTAAAATAGATTATAAACTCAATTTTTGGTAAAAATTTTAATGTAGGTGCATTTTTTACTTTTCATAGTAAAAAGAAAAAAAGAAAAAGAAAAAATGGATTAAATTGAAAATAATAGTATGATTTTTTACTAAAATTAAATATATCGTGTTTTTAATAATGATAAATAAGAAAAGTAAACCTATTACTATATATTTTTTAATGACAAAAGGAGTATAATACTTCATCTTTCTATAACAATAGACACTTTTTCACTTTTTCTTTTAATGTCCCAAAATAATTGACAAATTTGTATTTTTAGTAAAATATATCCATATAACAATACATTCAAATATAAAATTAGTTGTCCCGTAAGGGATGATCTGGATGTGGGAGTTGGACTTATGACCACGAGGTCATGGGTTCAAACCTCCGACGCCTCAGGTCATCTGCTACACATATTCGCTTAGTGTGACTTGTCTGTCCGACCTAGTTTTTGGTAGCCGGGGTTTTTTATATATATAATTTAGTTAATTTAGAACATGTAGGAACATTAAAATTCTTCTATTTCTATTTTTTTTAATAAACGACTAATTTTGTTATATTTATCATAAATAAATATATATTATCATATAAAATATTATTTTTTATAAAATAATATTCATCTTATAGATATTTTATTGACATATAAATTTAAAATATTTAAGCACATTCTAATTTGTTTTATTAATATATTAATTCATATTTCAATCCGGTTTGATTTAATATTAATTTGATTCAATCAACTCATATATAATACTCCCTTCATCCTATATCTATTTATTTTTTTGTTTTTTACATGAAATTTTATTAATAAAAATAAAAAGACTAAATTATCCTTATTACATTTTGTCTATATAGAAACATGCACTATCAACTTTATTTTAAGTGTTAATTGTGCCCTTGATTTTTTAAAATTTTCAATAATATCATATATTTAAAAATAATAATAAAATAATATCATAATTAACTATCATTTATCTTATTAAATTTTACTGCTAACTAAAGACGTTGATTATACCATAATGAGTCAAGTATAAAAAAAAATAAAAAAAATATTGAATAATTAAAAAAAAATTAATAAATTATAGAAAATCTTGAAAAATTTCAATCAAACGCTCTTATTAAGTTTGAATATTAATATTAGATTAAGAAAGGTGGTAATATATTATTATGTTATTTTTACTTTAATCTTTTATTTTTTAATGGACAATTTTATTAATTTTAATAAAAATTAGTATTTTTTTTAAAAAACAATGTATATTTTCCATCCCGCAAAAAGAGCATCATTTATTTTTTTCATATATTTTTTTAGTATTAGTATTATATTAGTTTGTAGTAAAAAGACAAAAATGTCCCTATTAATATGGTGTGTTATAAAAGTGATGACATTTGTGTAATATATTGTAAGTTATAAGGGTATTTATTATGTTAGGTAGGTAGTACAGTTACTAAATTAGGAAATGGTAACTTGTTTTTAGAATAAAAAAAATAGAAAATGGACAAAAAAAAAGTATTATTTTTTATAATTATTTTAGTTTTAATTAAAATTATGATAAAAAGAACAAATTTGGGTGTGTTTGATTTGAATTTTAAATCTTACTATTCAATCAATAAAAATATATCAACTCTTTTTCTCGCATTCTACAATATTTTCTATTTTGATTCACAAATACCTTGCCATATTTCTAAAATATTAAATAATTAGCTGTGTTTTATCTCATCACATCAATCAAATAAAAAATAAATATAAATTTCTTTCTCTCGTCTCATCACAAAATTCTCAACTTATTTTATTTTATATTGTCCACCTAAATTCTCATACCGAGAACCAAATATTATACCACATTTGGAACGGATGGAGTATTATTATCTTTATAAAAAGTGTGATTATTTTATATTTTCGAATGAATGTACTTTTTATATCAAACATAGATAATTCTATTGATAATATAAAAAATAATATTTTTTATTAAATTATTGATTTTAGTGAGTAAATAAAATTATATATTTTCTAAATATATAATATTAAATAATTATTTTTTCTTACATGGGAGTAACAAAAAACCAGCTATTTTATACCTTTTATTTTATTATTAACTTATTTATTATATATATATATATATAATAATTCTAATTTGATAATTATTCAATATATTAATTTTAAGTTTAATTTTAAATAATTAAATCTAATTAAAACTAACATAATATAACAGTCAGATACAAAATAATCGAGTTTTAGTCTAGAATTTCAAAACAATTACGTATATATATCGACACGAACTCCACACAATAATAAATAAATAAACACGAAGCTTGACACGATAATAAACGAATTGAATTAAAATTGAATAATTTACCATGTCTAAAATATTCTAACCTGACTTAAATCGATCCATTATCAGATCTATAAACAATATACACCCAAATCCAATCAATTTGAAGCAAATAATAATAATAATAGATGGATTATGTTCATCATGATTTGCATAATCGGCCAAATTTGGATTATAACTCGATTGAATTGAAATTTTTTATGAGGTTTTACGTTTCGATTTTGATATATGAAATTCGAAATTCGAATAAAATGCCAAAAACTCATACCAAAATCAATTTACATCAAAAATTTCAAGACCTAAATGATAAACAGAAAACTTACCAGATTTGTGCCTCTCTGTGATTCGACGATAAAAATTAGATCTGAAAATTCTGAGCACGGAGAAAGAGAGAGAGAGAGACGAAGATATGAAGATTCAAAAACTAGGGCAGATTTTAACAGAGAAAAAAAAAAAGGAAAAAGAAAAAAAGGCTAATTATATTGTAGAGAATTCCGAAAGGAATTGCAATTCTGTGATAAGTTAATTGATTATTAGGCTTAACGATTAGATTTGTTATTATGGACATTATAAATTTGTTTGTTTAATATTTTAGGTGAAATATACTCTTTTCGTCTCATAACTAGGTATTTATTTATTTTTTGCACGTAATTTTAAAAATATTAATATTATATTAAAATGCCGGAATAAAGTAGAAATAACTAAAATAACCTTATTAGTAAGATGTGATATAAATGTAATGACATTTGTGTAATACTCCCTCCGTCCCATAAATATAGTCTTAATTGTGTTGGACACGGAATTTAAGGAATATTGATATTATATTGGTAGTGAGTAAAAAATATGGATAAAAGATTTTTTTGCATTGTGAGTGTATTAGTATAAAAAGTAGTGACAATTGTGTAATAAAAATGAAAAAGTATGGATAGTTTTATGGTGATATAATTATTTATAGAAATAAGGCTATTGTTTTGGGACGGACAAAAATGGTAAACAAGACTGTTGTATTGGGACGGAAGGAGTATATTGTAAGTTGTAAGAGTATTTGTAATGTTAGGTAGATAGTACAATTACTAAAAAAAAGAAATAGATATTTTGTTATGAGACGACTAAAATGAAAAAATGGATACTTTATTATGAGATGGAGGAGGGGGAGTATATATATATATATTAATTATGCAATACATATCTTAGATTACTAAATTCAGGATACTGAAATTTCATCTCTAAGTAAAATATATATATATATATCATAATTTACTTAATTACTTTTAATTAATTAATGGTTATATGATTAATTATGTAAATGCTGAAATTAATTTACTTTTTTATTTCTTACGTGAGATATGAAAAATTATGTCGATCATATAAAATATAATATTAATTCCTTATTTTCAATTCAAATGTATTAGATATTTACAAAATTTTATTTTATTTTCTTCCTATCAAATATATTAAATTAAGGGTAAGTATTTGACTAAAAATTCACAAAATATTTTGTATTTTATTTATTGTATGAAAACCCTTGTCTTAATGTAAAATTTGCATAAAATATCTTATTTGTCCAAAACTGATGTTTGCTTCTAAATAAAGACCTAAATTATTGCAAGTTTTATACAAATAAAAAACGTAAAATATGTTAAATAATTTTTGAATAAAATAAATAAATAAATAATTGATTAATCATTTATTTTTATAATTTTATAAAAATCAGATAATTTGTCTTAAAAAAACCATAACATGAAAGATTAATCAATTATTTATTTATTTATTTTATTCAAAACATTATTTAAAATATTTTTTATTTTTTATTTGGAATCAAACATCAGGACAATGAAGTGTTTCGTGCAAACTTTATGTTAACACAAGAGAGTTTCACGCAATAAATTCTTTGCATTTTTACTAAAATACAAGGTGTTACATAATTCACCCTTAAATTAATTATTTTATTCCCACGCGATCTATTATACTACTCCCTCTTGTCCCACATATCATATAATTAGTAGATAATTAAGAATGTATTAGTGAAAATAATTATCTTATAATATAAATAATTGTAAATTAAGATTAATATAACTAATTAGTTTAATTAAAATTAAAAAAAATTTAAAAATTTAAAATGAGATTAAATTTTGTAATCATTTTCTAAAAAAGGAAAGTGACATGGAATGTGGGACGGACAGAAACGGCAACGTGGACATGGTACGTGGGACGATGGAGTATATTATATAGTATCTAGTTTGTTCACCTAATTTATTTTCAGGCGGCACGATTGCCCATAAATATTATAAAAAAATATAATATACATTCAGTTAATCTTACGGGACAGTATTTTCAGGTCACCATGTGTGACAAGTGACTTGAGGCGTCGGGACCCATGACTTCACGGTCACAAGTCCAATCCCTACAGCAACAGACCATCATTTACGGAACAGTATTTACTTACTTTTGGATAATGTTTTGATTGACAGCGGTTACTATGACATCGGGTGCTAACAAATAGTACACAGTATTACTAAAGACAATGTATTATATATATATATATTATATGTTAAAATAATATAAATATAATACATGAACTAAAAATATTACTAATTTCCTATTAATTTTATCATTGAATTAGTTTATCATATCATTATATAATTCATTAGAATAATACATGTATGTATTATATTACGTATCCCATAAGAATAAACAACTACACATTTTTATTTCACAAAATATACAAAACATATATTATTTGAACAAATTATGTGTATTATATATATATATATATATTTCATATTTACTGATTGAAAAAATTAACACCGTATTGAGTTTTTCCCCGAATAACACAATAACTCATCTCATTTTTAGTTTTTATTATCTATTGGCGAATAACACAAAAGAGTATTTGCGGATTAATGTCATTTGCAATGGGAGTATGTGTAGGAGACACATCAACAAAAAAAAATATAAAAAGAAAATAAAAATAATATTTTTGGGAATATTTCTGCAAACGTCTTTTGTTTATTTTTATTTTTATATTATATAAAATAATATTTTTTACACAATAATATATATATATTGATATATTTTTCTTAAAATTTTAATTTTAAAATTAAATTATTTTAATATAAATATAAATAGCTGTTTATTTTTTGTTGAATCGAAACAAAAGAGAATGTGATGTGAAAAAAATGAATGAAAATATATTTTGATCATTGTAGACTCTTTTGACGTATTTAAAACATGTCCGTACAATTTTTGGTCATCATCACTGGTTTTATTTTTTTTTCCGCACACATCTATAAATACTTAATGCATAATATCTTTGAAATTAAATAAGAAAATACTAATAAAAATATTGACTTGGCCGCTCAAAGAATAAGTTTGATGAGCTGAATCACTAAACTATTCTCTCTGTATGTGTGTTTTTGTCATTGGCAGTGAAGGCCATCTCCGACCCGCCTCGCTAATGACGCTGGGTTGATTTATTTGGCGTCAATTGAAATCGACCCCAAATCTTGCGCCAGTTTTAGACTTTGCTACAGTGCAACATGAAGTTAAAAAACGGCATTGTTTAATTATTAATTTTTTCTAATTTTTTAAAATTTTAAAATTATAAATTTAATTTTTATTTTTTAAAATTTTATTTTAAATTATAAGAATAAAAATTTGTTTAAAATAATAAAAAAAATTAAATATTCGAAGAATAATAATGAAAAATAGAATTACGATTGAAGTAAAATTACTATAGCAACTGTATATTTAGAGTTAAAATTAGAGACGGCCTAAACTGTATATATTAAGTGGCGTGACATCCCAAGTCGAGGGCTTCAACTTGGGTTCGATCCCGGATAATTCCGTGTGCTGTATCTATATATATATATATATATATCGAGCAATACATCCAACATGCATGCCAAGAACTTCCCGACCAAACATAGTATAAGCAAACTAGATCGATCAACGAATTCTACTACAAATTAAGTCATTACTTCATCGACCCTCTAGATGTGACACAAATTTCTACCAATCATGTCTCCGATCAGACAAACATTGGAACAAACAGGAAAACACCTTTAGAAGAAAAACATGGTAGATGATCCATGTTGAGAACTAAGATAGAGAGAGAGAAATCCCTACGTCCTAATACAAAGTACCATTTTTATTATTTTCGGTTGTCCCATTCAAAAGTATCTCTTTTATTTTCTTTTAGTAAAATTAATCATACACTAATACCAAAATACACAAAAATATCCAAATCTGTTGGCACACTTCTGCTGATCAATAAAATACTATTATTTTTTAATCCCTACAAAATTCCAAATAACCCATTTCAAAAAGGGGACAGAGGGAGGAGTAATATATACACACAATACAAAACAACTATGGATCCAACCTCGATCGATCAAGTGCACATATATTTAGAAACAAAACTAAAAGTAAGTTCATCGAAAATTTTCAAAACACTATATGCACGGCTACTCGATCAAAGCTTAAACTTAAAAAAGGCTTCGTGATAATATCGATTCTTAGCTTTAATCATGGACATTATTATAGCTTTTCGCCAATAAGTAGAAGCTTCTCACCGGTGAAGATTACCTTAATAACCAACACAAACAAATGAAGCTGCCAAAGAGCACCAAATGCATGCAAGCTGGGACAAAGTGCCGAGGAAGAAGGAAGGATCTCCGGGCATCCTGTGTAATCACAGAAAGAACAAAAAAAACCAAATATGCACGCTCCCTACGCAGGAATTATCCTGTTCAGGTTCAAAGGGACTTTCTCAGCCTGCCGATCCGCTGCTGAGCAGATGCAGACACCCCCGGTGCAAATTCTCATTAATCAACGGATTCAGGAAAATTTTACTCGAGAAAAAACCACACTACAATATATATATATATATATATATAACAAAGGTTTTCATGATTCATCGATCCATTCAAGTCCACCACAACCACATAAACATGTTTCTCTAAATTAGAAGTTCGACACATTGGAAGATATTTATTTCTTACTCACCTATTGCTCGCAGGAGAGGCTTCGAATGTAGCATACTGCAGGTGGTTCCAAGCCATGTCGTAAAGTCACCTCATAGATACGCCTGCATAGATGAGATGAATTGAATTCCATAAATTACGACTCAGAATTTACACAAAAGACTCCAGATTGATTGGGAGACAGTATTATTTTACTCACCTTTAGCTGTTCCTCGATTTTATATAATCCTCAGGCAGGTAGATTTCGCCTCCGACCTCACCATGCTGTTCCCCGCTGATGGTTTTCTTAGCTGCTAAAAATTCAGCACTCATAGCTTCCATACCCTGCTGCACTGCTTCCTCAGCAGTCCCGTAACCGTGTTCTTCAGCATATTTTCTTACATCCTCGGTTATCTTCATCGAACAGAACTTTGGACCGCACATGGAGCAGAAATGGGCTACTTTAGCACCATCAGATGGCAGAGTTTCATCGTGAAAGGACATGGCAGTCATTGGGTCCAACGAGAGTGCAAATTGATCCATCCACCGGAACTCGAACCGCGCCTTACTGAGCGCATCATCCCAAGCCTGTGCATGGGGGTGGCGCTTCGCCAGATCAGCAGCATGTGCGGCTATCTTGTATGATATTACGCCGGTCTTTACGTCGTCTCTGTTAGGCAAACCGAGATGTTCTTTTGGAGTCACGTAACAGAGAAGCGCAGTGCCGAGTGCCCCAATGTTGGCAGCGCCGATAGCTGAGGTGATGTGATCATATCCTGGGGCGATATCAGTTGTCAAAGGTCCGAGTGTGTAGAAAGGAGCTTCATTGCACCACTCCAGCTGTTTCTGCATGTTCTCGGGAATCTTGTGCATCGGAACATGACCTGGCCCTTCATTCATCACCTGAACACATCACACCGATTTCAATACTTACCGATAATTTAGAACAAATTTCAAATCAACTACAGTTTGTAGCAAATTGATTCGCTTCCCAAAACCTTTTTTCTCAATCTAAACTAATGGGAATTAGTTCTTTAAAACTTACAATAATAGCTAAAATCCATCCATTGCTAAGGTTCGCCTATGTCTTAGTTAGGATTCAATAAAAGGATAATAATCATGACAATAATAGGTATTTTTGCTTCTCTTTTTCGGGTTTACCTGCACATCTTTTTCCCAAGCTCGACGGGTCAATTCTCCTTGGGTCAAGAGTTCGGCAAACTGAGCTGTATCATTTGCATCATATATAGATCCAGGCCTCAATCCATCTCCAATGGACAGTGATACATCGTACTGGTTGCAAATATCTAAGATATCGTCCCAATGCTCATATGCAAAGTTCTCTTTGTGATAAGCCAAGCACCATTTTGCATGAATCGATCCACCACGAGAAACAATGCCAGTCATTCGCTTAGCTGTTAATGGGATGTACCGGAGCAGTACACCAGCATGGATAGTGAAGTAATCTACACCCTGCTCGGCTTGCTCGATCAATGTGTCCCTGAAAATTTCCCAACTAAGGTTCTCGGCAATGCCATTCACCTTTTCCAGGGCTTGATAGATAGGCACAGTTCCTATGGGAACAGCAGAATTTCGCAGGATCCACTCACGAGTCTCATGGATGTGATGCCCAGTGGAGAGATCCATGGCAGTGTCAGCGCCCCACATTGTCGCCCATCGAACCTTGTGGACTTCTTCCTCAATTGAGCTCACGACAATGGAGTTCCCAATGTTAGCATTTACTTTCACCAGGAAATTTCGCCCCACTATCATTGGTTCCAGCTCTAGGTGCCTCTTGTTTGAGGGTATGATTGCACGACCACGAGCAACCTCGGACCTCACAAACTCGGGGTCAAGCTTTTCCCGAGCTGCACAGAAGGCCATCTCCTCGGTAATCATTCCTTGTTTAGCATAGTACATCTGAGTATACCTAGGTCCACCCAATTTTTCTCGTTTTTCAATCCATTCCTTCCTCAATTTGGGCAACCCTGTTCATGAAAAAAGGTGAAAAATGCTATATGAGCTGAATAATATAGATAATTGTAAGCATAGAATGCAGTGTGACAGGAAGAATTCAATCAAATGCATGAAGGTTCTAAAATTGAATAGACACTATGATTGCTCGAAGACGTGCTTAGTTTGAATGATTAGGCTTCCACATTTGTAGTTTAATTGAAACAAACTAAAACATTCGAGTGACAATGGAAATATATATATCTATCTACTCTGTCTAAATTAATGTTTTGATCCCATCAAGCAATACAAGAATGCCTCGAGATAAAGTCGATTCCATCGACTATTTTGAAATATTAACATAAGCTTACCAACAAGTGGGTTGATGTTTTGCGGGCCGCTGGTATCATAGGCGTCAAAATGAGGCTCGTCTCCAGAAAGGTGAATTCGACGAAAGGGAACTCTCAGCAGATGACCTGATTGCTCGTGTACAACTTCCCTGAAACACAAACTCGACATTAAACCTTTGTGGAACAAACAAACAAACCAACAAGTGACTAACAACACAAACTTTCTGTAATCAATCATACAGCCTGAAAAAGATTCAACAAACAGCTCACATGTATTCTTTTGTGCTTTTGGGGAAGCATTCTTCAAAGGAAGGAAGTGGAAGGAAATCAGGAGCACTAGGATCAGCAGTGTGCTTCTGTTGCTTAACCCTCTCTTTGTTATCAGCCGGGGGATCGAACGTGAGAGTAGCTTTCGGGCCGGAAAAGGCAGAGGGAATCATCATACCCTTTCTTTGAATGGTAGAGACATGAGCAGTCACATCAATCCCCCGAAAGAAAGAGCTGCTCAGAAATTTCGGCAAAGTCGAATGGTTTCTGTTGTTGCAAACAGCTGAAGCCAAACTTGTTTGCAAGGAAGCCATGTCTGGAATCTGGATCGAAAATGAGACGAATAGAAGTGAAAAAATTGCAGTTCAGAAACAATCCTAATATACAAATCCAATAAGAACATGGAGAAACTACAAGACGATGTGACGAATCCAACTGCCGAGTTTGATTCGGTTTCAGAATTTGAATACATAGTAAAGTAAGCAAGTCTGTATGTGTCGTAGTAGATCGAAACAGGAATTGAAAAGCAATTACGAAAAGAAATGTTCATAGATAGGAACAGTTCATGAATTTAGAAACTATCCAACCATGGTAAAATTCAAATTTGTTCATACTCACGTAACCGCATATGCGTTTGCTAAAAGTATAAATTAATCTCAAGTCACATCACCAAATTCTGGGAAAATTCAAGAATAAAAAAGTTCTTCGAATTACTACATTCAGGCAACACCAAATCTGGAACTGGAAGAATCACATACAGAAAACCTTAAAATTACATACAGAACCACAAGCACGCAAAATCAAATAAGCACCAATTATCCAAACAAATAGCGCCCAAACTGTGAAAATCAGCTCAAGCAGATTCAAACAGAGAAGTCGGAAACGAAAAGAGAGGAGGTGAGGCACAACCTTATCAGATTTGGGTATGGGAATGGGTATGGGTGTGTTGATTCTTTCTCTCTTTAATAAAGGGGGCGATGGCTATGGCTGTGGCGAAGAACACATGTCAGCAAAAAAGTGTGAAGGAGGGTCGGCCAACAAATATCTTTTAGAGTGAGAGTGAGAGTGAGAATGAGAGAGAGAGAGAGAGAGACAAAACGACGCCAAAAAGCCACTTTCCTACTACAGCTTTTTTCAGCTGGCTCGCCATTAACACATGACCCAACGCACTTCTTCTGTTCCCGAAATATAACTATAAATTAGTCTAAACGATGACATGCTGATCTTAAGGCGAAATTATGACCGTCAGATTATGATTCAAATCTCAAGTCGGACTGCAACTGCACTAGCAGCAGCTCCAAAATTCAGAAATTATATTAAAAATATAAATTTACGCACATTAATATACTATTCAAAATATCAAATTAAACACCTATTTTTCATTTTTTATATTATATTAAAAATCAATTTTACATTCAAAACATCACATCAACACCTATTTATATCACATCATACAACTATTCAAATTCAAAATTTTTACTATTCAAATCCCAACTCAAAAATTCAAACCTCAAGCAAACACACCCTATAGATATTATTCATTCATTAAAAAAAATAATTTTTTAATTAAAAATATTATATTTTATATTATCAATATAAAATTATTTACCACTTACAAAAAATAATTTATTTAAAAATACTGAATAATGAATTTTAAAAATAATAATAATAATATTTTAATTATAATAAATAATTAAAATTAATGTGAAATGATTTTAACTTTATTTTTTAATATAAAAGTAACAATATGATAAATATGAATGTTTATCGTATTAAATTTAAATTATATTTAAATTAAATTATATTTTTATAATTTATAATTTTTAAATTTTAATTAAATTTATTATTTATTTTAATATTAATATATAATTTATTTTTATATGTAATAATTTTTTATTAATATATTTTTTATTTAATAAATTTATTTTATCAAAAATCTGTTATGATATTATTATATAATTAGTCAATAAATATATTAATTATTATATAATAATAATATATGTATATATATGGGTATATTATGTGTGTGAGTTTATATATGTATATTATATATATGGCTAAATGGCGTAAAACCTGCGTGTGGCTTCAAAAAATTGTGCAATATATTTTAAAAATTGCGTCAAATTTTTACTATAGTTTTATAAACTTTGCGTCAAACCTCCTCAGTCATTCTTATTCTTAGTCATCCTTATTTATCAATTTTTTACTTATACTCGCTCAAATTACAAATGAATTTATAATACTCATTTCTAAAACTCCTAAAATTATAAATATTTTCATTTATCTTATATTTAGCCTTAAATAACAGTAAAAAAAACTTTTAAAATCAAATAAAACTAACTAACTATTTCCGAGTATATTTACTGCTTATTAAAGTTAAATAATAAGAATAATGATTATATTTATAATTGAAGTGTTTAGAAATAAAAATTCTCAAACTTATTCGTATTTTAGGCGGATGCAGATCAAACAACGTTAAATAAGCAGAATCGAGGGGATTTGACTTAAAGTTTATAAAATCACGAGAGAATTTAACGCAATTTTAAAAATATATGAGATTTCAAACAATTTCATAAACCACAAGTAAATTTTATACAATTTAGCATATGTATATATATATATATATAATGAGTAATGATCATGTTGAATGTGGAAAAGGGAGAAATAGTGAATTGATGTATGTGATTTTTCATTCATTCTTTCGGTTAGCGTTTAACTATAGGCTTTGTTCTTTCATTTTTTATTTTTTATTTTTTTATGTTTTTCAAAAAAATATTAATATAATACACACAATTATTATTTTTATATTTCATATATGATTCCTTGTACTTCACAATAATTTTTTTTTTTCAATATTATCACAAAACAAACACACCAATAATAATTAAGACGAATTGTATTATCTACGTAATATTACAAATATCATTCCGATTTATAATATACTACTTCCGTACAATTAGGAAGTATACATATTTCTATTTTGGGCGTCGAATTACAGAATAAACATTTCATTAAATACCTCATTTTTTGTACAAATATCTTTAATTTACATTACATCATTACTTTTACACAAAAAAATAAAGTCATTACATTACTTTTAACTACTCACTATAATAAATAATAATATTTCTTAAACACCTCGTCCAAAAGTAACATTTCTAAAATTCCGTGCAAATAGATAGATATGAGACATATGATATATTAAATTTATTTTAAAATAATCATATTATTAATTATATAAAAACTAATAAAATAATATCACAATTCACTATTATTAATTAATTAAATGGAATTTTTAAAATAATAAGGAATTGAGTTTGTTCTTTTTTATTTTTTTCTCCACATATTTTTAAAAAGATTAATATATTATATTATCCCCGTCTACAGTGTCATTTACTTTTTGCGTGTTTATCTTTAAATATTAATTATTATATCAAAATGTAGTACAAATTAAGAAAAAATTATAAAAATACTTTCATTAGTATCTTATAATACTAATAAAAGAACATTTGTAAAAAAAAATAAAATTATATAGATATTTTTAATGTCAAGTACATGATGCAAAAACTAAGGGGGTGTATTCAATTGGGAATCTAATGGATTTTTTTGAATTTTAAAAAGTATATGGATTTATGTGAATTTAGAAAATCCACATAGTCTTACGTTGAGTTTGATGAATTTTAGTAATTGATTTAGATAGATTTCTACGGATTTGATTGAATTATTTATGGATTTATATAGATTTTGTAGGGTTGTAAAATATTTTTTTTTTTTTGTGAATATATATTAACTATATAAATTTATACCCAACAACAAATTTTATAAATATAATAAATAATTATTAATAAGATAATATTTAATATTAATAAATAATATATACGTGTTTACTTTTTATGTAAAAAGGTTATATTAAAATAAATAAATAAATAAATTATGATTTTTGAAAAAAATATTAAAATAAATAAATAAATATAAATTAACGGTTCAACAAAAAATATACATTTAAATATCTATTTCACCGTTATCGTAATGATAATATAGTGTATTCTATAATTCAAAAGAAAAGACGACAGTAATATATATTTATTGTGATAATAATATTTTTTAAAATTATATTTATAATATAAAAATATATATTTTAAAAAAAATCATAATAATTTGCTAATATATTTTAGTTTTAACTTATTATTTTTATTAAAAATTATAATAATAGTAATAAATTATCGTATTATTGATCACATATACAACAACAACAATAATAATAATAATAATTTTAAGAATCCATCAAAATTTGTGATGGTCAAGAGAGATTCTTTCATATACAAAATTTTCACAAAAATCCATTAAATCCATAGACTCTGGATTGTTGAATATACAAGATTTTAAAAGACTTTTAAAAGTCTATACTGAATACATCAGAATTTTAAAAGACTTTCAAAAGTCTTGATTTAATACATCTAAATTTTAAAAGATTTTTAAAAATGTTGATTGAATACACCTAAATTTTGAAAGTCCAACAAAATCTTACAAAATCTATATTGAATACACCTCCCTAAATGTCAGTTTAGAGGTGGGCCAAGAAAATATACTCCCTCCATCCCGGAACAAGGTTGCCGTTTGCTTTTTGCACGTAGATTTTTTAATATTAGTATTATATTGGATTGTAGTGAAAAAGACAAAATATCCTTATTTATTGTGTAATATAAAAGTAATGATAATTGTGTAATATAATATAAGTTGAAAGGATATTTATTATATTAGATACGTGGTACAATTACTAAATTATGAAATAATAACCTTGTTTTAAAATAAATTAAAAAAAATGACAACCTGGATGAAGATAATATATTTATTATTTTTATAAAATTATGTAATTTTTTATATTTCACGTAAAAAAAATTATCTTTAAAAACTAAGTAATGCCAAAATCGAAAATTAATCTTGTATAAACAAAGCCAAGCCTCGCAAGACAAACACATATGGTATGTTTGTTTGTGGATTGAAGTTTTTAATAAGAAAAAATTAAATTTAAATAATTATTTGATGTAATATAAATAGATGATGCTGCGGATATTTTAAATTTAAAATAAATTTATAATTTAATATAAAAAAATAATATTTAATTTAATATTTAAAAAAAAAAGCTAAATATTAAAAACTTTTACACAACTATTGGAATATCCAAGGACCAATAGTCCAATGCCAATACAAAATTATTTCCCATAATATGTAACCTTGAAACGACGTCGGATTTGCTGGTCAAGAAACCTTTCCTCTCACAGGATTCGGAAACTACAAAATAGCCGCCGCCGCCGCCGCCGCCGGTGGGTTCTCCTCGAGTCACTTCCAAAGGACATCTGTGATTCAAATGGATATCGACGATAGCAAGCAGCAGAAGTACGAAAGCTTCGTCGTCGTGCACAACATAGCAAAGCGGCACAACGTTGGAACCCTCGCCCGTAGCGCCACCGCGTTTGGGGTGGCCGAGCTGATACTGGTAGGGCGGCGTGACTTCAACGCTTTTGGAAGCCACGGTTCGACATCACACCTCCGATTCCGCCACTTTCATTCTCTTTCTCTTGCCCGTAGTTTCCTCAAGGTTACAATTTATACCATATGTTTTTACATATTGAATGCCTTTTGCTCAGCATCTAATTTGATTACTTAGTATCTGCTTGCTAAGTTATTTGGTAATTGTAGATCTTTATCTGTGGTTTTGGTAAATCATTCCTAATTACTAACTTATAAGATTTGATTGCTTATGTTAACTGACTTTAAAAATAAAAAGTAGATTTGAGTCGTGCTGCATTGCTGCTTGTGTTTAAGTAGCTAAGTTTTGCTTAAGAAATACAATGCATAGGCCTGGATGCTGACAGATAGTCTCTAAGTTTAGTGGGCATTCTAATATACAACATCTGAATTTCTTGATGTGGCTATGACTTGAGTTTATTATTAATTTTTCATATTCAGATCATTTCAATCAGATAAAAAAACGCCTAATAATTGAATTACAGAGAAATATTCTTTCGTTGGAACTTCAGTGGTTTTGATGACTTTGGTGGGAATGTTTTTTCTGTTGATTAGGAAATTCATGTGCTGTTTCTGCAAATACTTCAATCTTAACTTAAAGTTTAAAGCTTAAATGTGAATTTGTTTACTTTTCTGGAGATTCAAAAGGGACAACTGTAGAATGTTTTGGGAGTATTGATGATAGAGAGCAAAATAAAAAAGAACATGAAGTTAAGATTATTGAGAAAGTAGAGCTCCAGCTGGTGCTTGTGTATCAACGACGGGGATAAGCTTAGGCCTGTTGTTCGCGGGTTTAAACTTTATTTATTTGCTTTTCTATTAAGATATTATAGGTGTCTTTGTTTTGTGTTTTGGTTTGAAGAATTTTTTTTTATGTGAGGTATAGAGAATTGTGATAGATAATATAAAAATAATAAGTGCGTAATATATTAATTTTTTGGGGAAATGTATTGGAATTTTTTTTTGCAAAAGAAGTAAACCCTATATTTTGATAGAATTATTTTATGTGTAGTTATTAAGGTTTAGTATAAGTAGACTATCTAGGGTTTGGATAACATTATTATTGATATTCGAAATAAGGAAGCCTGGTGGCTTTTGGGCAAATGATTGAGTTTTATGATTGTTCTTTGGGCGAACGATTGATATTGTTTGATTATCCTTTTTCTTTTATCTTGTTCTAACAATTGATAGTTTATGCGAATTTGTCATTGTTCTAATTTTGTTTCTTTATGATGTTTATGTTGGTTAGGAGAGGGATTGTGATATATGTGGAGTGGAGATTACGGATGATGCTGTAGCAGTGAATAAGCACCCCTTTACGAAGAGTACAGCGTTTCTTCTTGGCAATGAGGTTGAATCTGAATTCCTCCATTTGGAAACTCTGCTCAATCCATAAATGCTGATTATGAGTTTGATGTGCTGTTATGACAAAAATGTTATGGCTGATTAAAAGATTTGTGCTTCATCACATAAATCCTACAAATGCTTTTCTCTTCAATTTATCGATTTAACTAGAAGCATTAGTGTGTTTGATTAGGATATGAATTGGAAGTGCAGTTTTTCTTACATCTTTAGTTGGGATAGACTTGATTTGAAGCCTGCAAGTTATTTGCAGTTTCTACCAGCAACTCGTCACTAATGTTGCCTTTTTCTTTTACTTGACATAGTAGATATCTAATGATGGTGTATGGAACGTGGCTTTGATAGGGAACAGGGCTTTCAGCTAAGGAGTGCGAGATATGTGATTTCTTTGTCTACATTCCACAATATGGCGGTGGCACTGCTTCATTGAATGTTACTGTAGCTGCTTCCATTGTCCTTCATCACTATGCAGGTACTGTGTAAAAATTACGAAGTCAGCATTTATATTTGTGTCTATTATACTTCATGTCATAATGGAACCCTGCATGTTGCATCTGAACCATCACGTATGTGCTTATTTGTACTACTTTGATTCAATCGCTGGAATTATTGCATCTTCAATCTCGCAAAAAGTGTGTTTATTATTATATTTTTATTCACCATTCGAAATGGGATGTGGATAGATCAATTTTTAGTCATCTTTGGTCTTGTAGTTTTGGGGGTAGTTAAGATTGACGGAAGGATATCACACTAGCCTAGACATTTATAATGCTATGCATATTTTGTAAGTTTATAATGCTTCAATGTTTGTATGATGCTTTTAGAAAAGTGTTTCGTAGTGTTTGTTTTTTATCATGAGGTTATATTTTTCGTGTAAGGCAAATATTTCACTTCCGGTGTACTTTCCAAATTTATTTCAGTATGGGCTGGATTCCCAGAGAGAACCCGCGAAGGCAGCAAGTTTGTCGTGTCTGCAAAGCCTGCTCAACATATGAGAAGAAATTACTGCTCAGAAACAGCCGAATCAATTGCTGAGGAGCGAAAGCTGAGAAAAGAAAATGGTGCTAACGGTTTCTTTGACGACAGTGGAAAGGAAGAAGCTCCATCTAACCTCTTAGATACGTTATTTAGCTCGTGATTGAAATTCAAATTCCGCCAACAAAAGTGTCAAGTTCACCAGAGTTTTAAGCTATTATCAGAATCGAGCTTAGTTATCAGCCGCCAATTAAATTTGGTGCATCACATTTGTATGTTAGATTTTCAAGACTCCGACTGATTCCTCAAGTTTTTAACAATCGGTATAATTTTTTCCTTCAGTTGCTGGTTGTTTCCAAGGTTGGCATGTTCGAAGATTCTCCATCATACACTTAATATATATATATATATATGTATATTGTGATGCACTATGCATCCAGTATATTGACAGAATGTATTAGCTTGAATACTAAACTGTGTCCTATACAGGGATGAACTAACATGTTTGTCTGTAGTTGAAGATGTCAAAGTGGTAGAAAGTAGCTGCTGCTGCGTCAGTTATGGAGAAAAAAATGGAGCTTGATTGACTATCGCATGACAGCAACCATTGTTGAGTTGAGTAGGTAAGCATCTTTTGACCTTTTTCATTTTTTAATTTCTTGATCAATGCCTGAGCCAGAAACAATATGTCATATAATAATATTTCATTACCTTCCTATATATTTAAGAACTTATCTTGTCATTGGGTAATCATGAAATGAAATCATTGTTTTATTTTTATTTTTATTTTTTTGGCAAATAGCAAACGAATCCCTATAATTTGCAAAATTTGCTGAAAAGACCCTATGCCCTACAATTCCGTTTTATGTGCTCGTGGTTAAAATAATGTTGCAAAAAATATTCTTCCGTTAGTACTTAACAGAGATTATCACTAGAGTTGTTAACGAGCCGAGCCGAGTCAAATTTTAAGTGTTCGTTAACGTTCGTGTTCGTTCGTGAAGCTTTCGAACTCGTTAAGAATTTTTGTTGTTTGAGCTCGTGTTCATATTTGTTCGTCTCATTTTTTTAAATTTATATATAAATTAAAAAAAAAATTTAAAATTATTTTATTTATATATTTTAAATTAATATTTTATTTATTTATAAATTATAATTTTATATGTATATATAATATTTATAATAAATATATTATTTAAACGAATGTTCGCGAACAAAGCTCGGGCTCATTTCGTTCGTTAACCAAACGAGCCTGTTTATGCTGTTCGACTCGGCTCGTTAACGTTCGCGAACGAACTTTAACCGAGCTGAGTTCGCGAACGGCTCGGTTCGTTCAACAACTCTAATTATAGTAGACTAGTTTTATTAATATAGAGGATATTTTTGTAACTTTTTCCTATATTAACGGAAGAGGTATTTTTTGCATCATTATCTGAACCACAATTACGTAAGTTATAGGACTAGAGGTTTTTTCCGCAAATTTAGTGAACCACAATTACGTAAGTTATATAGGAATAGAGGTTTTTTCCGCAAATTTAGCAAACCACGAGGGGTTTATCTGCTATTTTGCCTTGGTGTTTTTGGTCTATGCTATATGTGACTTGTGTGTTCCTAGTTACAATAAAAGTCCTCTTTCACAGGTGAGAGTTGGTGAATGAGCTAATCCTCTTAACATTTTGGAGCAGTTGAGGTTGTCTTTATGTTTATATATATATATAAACCGTTTTCATCGAAAAAAAGCCACTCGATTCCTACTCTTGGATTACTCTTTAACTTTTGTAGCTTTCGATTCAAATGCAGTCAAGAAAGCTTTCCCAGCTTCAACATAGGAGCAGCTATTTATCTTACATGTTTATTCTCAGCAGGAGATTTCAACGCCTCTGCTCGACGCTTCGCAGTCTCCTATGGCAGCGCCCGAAGCGTAAACTCGTGATCCGGAGACTGCAACGAAAGCAGACTACAGTTCGCCAAGCTATTCCTATCCGCATTGCCTCTTTCAACGCGGCATTATTTTCGCTCGCGCCGGCGGTTCCGAAGGATGGATCGGTTACTCCACTTTCCGGTGTATCCAGTAAGCCGAAGCCGAAAGTGTCGATCAACTTGCCGGAGAACGAGATCTCGTTGGCGCAGAATAAGCAGGTGAGTGCGTCTGACGATTCGTTGTTTAGTTTCAGCAGCAGTAATAAGGTATTGGCTATGAATCCGATGAGGTCGCCCCTGTGCTTTCCGGCGAACTGGTTTGGCGACGGCGGAAGAAGCATTCTGGACGTGCTGAAGGAGGTGGACGCCGATGTTTTGGCTTTGCAGGATGTGAAGGCGGAGGAGGAGAAGGATATGAAACCACTGTCGGAGGTGGCGGCGGCGTTGGGGATGGAGTTTGTGTTCGCGGAGAGCTGGGCGCCGGAGTACGGCAACGCCGTGCTTTCGAAATGGCCGATTAAGAAGTGGAAGGTTCAGAGGATTCATGACGACGACGACTTCAGGTTCCTTTCTTCACCTTTGCTCTTTTTTATAAATAGTATTAGGAAATAGTATAATATGCAGACATTAGTACAATATACTTTTTATTTATTCATAAAAAATTAACAATTCAATATAAAAAATTATTTTTTATACTATTATTATACACATCATTCTTTCACACTTATCAAACAAATGCACATTGAAAATATAAGTCTAGGATACACTCGATTAAATGTATCATCATTTAGATTTGGTTGCATTTTACAGTGATGATAGTCTATCTATGAATAAGAGACAACTGACAATATAATAACAAAGTACCTTTTATATTAATATAATATAAATACAACTATTAAATTGATCATGATAAATATCTATACAGTACATTCTAATCATTGATCTTATTACAATAAATATGTCCACAGAGCATATTCTATATATATAAATTGTTAGGGTATGCATGTGTTATATGCTTATTTTAGCTACGAAATTGCATTTTTTATATTTTCAATGTTGCGTTAAACTTCTTCATAATTTCATTAACTTAATGTCTAATTCTTTCGGTCATCCTTATTTAATGATGTTTGACATGCACGTCGCGAATAAATTTCACAATTTTTATTTCTAAATCTTGAAATTACAAATATACTCATTATTTTTGTTATTTAGCCTATAAAAAATAGTAAATATACTCAGAAATAGTTATTTATCTGGTTTTAATTTTTTTTTAATGTTCTTTCAGACTAGATATAAGAGAAATGAATATATCTATAATTTTAAATTAGTATTATAAAATTCATTCGCAATTTGAGCGCGCATAGATCAAATACCGTTAAATAAATATGGCAGAGCGGGTTAGATGCAGAATTTATGAAATAGTAAGGGAGTTTGACGCAGTTTTGAAAGTATGGAAGATTTTGCGCAATTTTGTGAAATCACATGTGAATTTTGTGTAATTTGACCGCTTATTTATCTTTTTTTTTTTTTTTTTTTGTGTTGACAGAGAAAAATCAGTACTGAAATCCAAATAGATCAAGTTCATTACACTTGTTCTCTGATTGCAGGAACGTAATAAAGGCGACGGTAGATGTCCCGTTTACAGGCGAGTTGAATGTATACTGCACGCAACTCGATCACTTGGACGAGAGCTGGAGGATGAAGCAAATCAACGCAATCTTTCAATCGAATGATCAACAACCTCACATATTGGCAGGCGGGCTCAACTCTCTCGACTCATCGGATTACTCGCCGGAGAGGTGGAACAACATCATTAAGGTATATATATATATAAATTAATGATTACATTTAGTCGAAATACTTAACATTATCACTGTTATGTAAACAGTACTACGAGGAATTGGGCAAGCCGACTCCTAGGGTCGAAGTAACAAACTTCTTGAAACGAAAAGCTTATACAGACGCCAAAAATTTTCCAGGTGAATGCGAACCGGTGGTAATGATCGCCAAAGGACAAAGTAAGAAAAAACATACTCCTTCCGTCCCATAATTATGTATCAATTTGCTTTTTGTACCGAGTTTTAGAAATATTAGTATTATAGTGGGATGTAGTAGGAATAAAGTAGAAATAATTAAATAACCTTATTAGTATTGTGGATATAAAGGTAATGACATTTGGATAATATATTGTGAGTTATAAGGATATTTGTAAAGTTAGATAGATAGTACAATTACTAAAAATAAAAATAAAAAAATAGAAAGTTTGTAACGAGACGGAGGGAGTATGATTTACGAAAATTTGTTAAAAATTACTTTAAAGTCTAAAACTTCTCATGTTAAATTACTCCTTTCGTTTTATAAAAATGAGGCTCAAATTTTTTTGGTACCAAGATTAATAAAGTACTATTTTAATATTATTTTATATATATTTTTTTTAAAAGTAAAATTAAAACTTTATAGGGTTAATAATGTAATGTTGACTTAAAGTGTAATGGATGTAAAAAAATATAGAGGGTTCATTAGTAACATTTCTGTAAATAGATAGACTGATTTTAGATTTAAAAAAGAATTATATACTATGTCCGTCCACTGTCGATCTATCCATTTGTATTTGACGTTATTATTTTTAACGGTAAAAATATTCTTATATTTGTATAATTTTTTATACAAATGTTATTACATTAGTATTATAAGACACCGATATAAATATTTTTGTCGTTTTTTCTTGATTTGTACTACGTTTTGATATAATATTTAATATTCAAATATGAATATGCAAAAAAGTAAACGAATAGATTGACGGTGGACAAAGTATTTTTTTACTAAATATGGTATATGTTTGTTTGGGGGTTTGGATTTTGAGTTGGGATTTGAATAGTAAAAATTTTGAATTTGAATAATTGTATGATGTGATATAAATAGGTGTTGATGTGATGTTTTGAATGTAAAATTAATTTTTAGTATAATATAAAAAATAAAAAATAAGTGTTTGATTTGATATTTTTTTAGGGAAGAAATGGGAGGAATAATATATTTAAAATCCAATCTCCAAACAAACACAGTAGACAAACTAAACTGCAAAAGTGAACACACTTTTACAAGAGAAAAGAAGTATTATGTTACAATTCATTTCTAAGTTATTACTTTCTTTTTTTAATTATTATTATTATTTTTTTTAACTTTGTTTACCTTATATATTTTTTCAACTTCTCTATTATATAATAATCATAATTTTTTTTTTTTTATAAAAACATATTAATTTTATCTTACAAAACACATATATAATTCACTATTTAACAAAAAAAATTGAAAAAAAAAAAAAAACCAAATAAACACACACTTCATGTTTGTAAAGATTATTTTGTATGTTCCATCGTTTATTGCAGGATGCTAACATTTTTTTTTTTTCCAATTTTTTCTCGCGTCGACTTAGATGTGCAAGGGACGTGTAAATATGGAACACGGGTCGACTACATATTGGGGTCACAAGGGTTGCCCTACTCGTTTGTCCCGGGATCATACTCTGTGTTGTCGTCAAAAGGCACATCAGATCATCATATAGTTAAAGTTGACGTCGTGGGAGTTATAAATGCGAAGCAAAAGAGCAAAATAAGACGAAAGAAACTAAGGCAAAGAGTCGTCGTTGCGCTAACTACTTGTTCATCTAGAGGTATTTGGGAAGTAAATTCTTAAAAACTCATTTACACCATTTTTTTTTTTCCCGCTTGTGTGATTATGAAAAATAGATTGATTATACATACCTTCGAAGACTGATTTTAGAAGCCCTCGCCCTTTGAAGTATTTGAAGATCGATTCATATTGTTTACATGAGTTTGTCCTAGTGGTTATTTGAAGGTTTGTAGCAATTGACGTCAAATTTGAGTAGTTCTACGTGCTTGAGCCTACGATAGATTCATTTTTTCTCAAACTTGATCGTGATTAATATTAGAATGTGTGTATATCATCGTTAATTTAAACGATGGTTATATGTACATGGTCGCTACGACTTACACTTAAGTACTAGGGTGTGTTTGTTTGGAGTATTGAATGTTGAGATTTGAATAATAAAATTTTTGAATTGAATAGTTGTATGATCTGATATAAATAGGTGTTGATATGATATTTTAAATATAAAATTATTTTTACTATAATATAAAAAATAAAAGTAAATATTTGATTTGATGTTTCTGAATTTTTATTATTATTTTTTTTTATGAATAGTAAAAAATATGAAAAATTTTGATAAAAGAATACAAAATGTACATAGTCATGGTGTGTTTGTCTGTGGATTTTGATTTTTAAATAGTAAAAAGTTGAATTTAAATAGTTGTTTGATGCGATGTATTGAATGTAAAATAAATTTGTAGTATAATACTCCATAAAAAAAAAAAAAAAAAAAGTAATTGGTTGATATGATATTTTTTGAGGAAAAAAGAATTTAAATAGTAAAAATATGTGATAAAATCCACAAAAGAAAGATTGTTTATCTAGTTTGGATTTTTATAACATAAATTTGGAGCCTCCATTTTGCCTATCAATCTATTATTGTATGACAAGATTTAGTACATACAACACAACTTGAGGTTTTACAAAATTTTATTTAATCCAAATATTTTTCTCTAGGTTTCTATACTCAGTTTGTTTTTTAGTATTTCAAATCAAAATCAATATTATTCATCATTTATAATTTTTAATAAAAATATATTATTTCTTCTCACAAAATATAACATTAAAATATCATTTAAATAAAAATTCAAATTAACATTCAATTTCAAATCACAACCAAACAAACCCGTTAACATATCATAAAAATAATTATTTTATATATTATACTAAAAGAAAATTAAAATTTAATAATTTTAATTTTTAATTTATATGCTATATTTAAATTAAAATTAAAGTATATATAATTATGGTATCAAAATTTTAAAATTATAAATTTTAGTTATAATAGACAATTTAATATTTTTTATAATACAATTTATTTAAAGTTAAATTATATTTTTACATTTTTTTATATTATAATTCAATTAAAATTTTAAATAACATATCGATATATAGAATTTAATAAATATATTATTAATTATACCAGATAATTTAACTTTTAAATATATATTATAAAAAATTTCAAATAAATTATAAAAACTTGATAAAAACATACATTTATATTAACATATCATTTGGACTAATTTTTTCAGTTTAAAAACATTTTTAATTTTATTACATTCAAATATATACATATATATTTTTTTTACAGAAAGTTGATTTTATAAGAATTTATTTAACTATAAAATTAAACTATTTTTATTTTTAACTTCTATTTATCTTCTTAAAAACAAATCAAACTAAGCCTTAGACATATATACATAATATATATATATATATCTCAACTAACTTTTTCTTTTTCTTTTGGTGCTATGAATTAAATCATTCCATACTTCATTTTTTTTTCTTTTATTTTTTATTATTATTATTATATATATATAATAATATATTATATATATCGCCGGAGATGCCCGCGTGGCTCGCCGGAAGCCACATGTCCGCCGGGTCAGCGATACGTAGTGGACACGCAGATTTTATTTTATTTTTTATTTTTATTTATTTAATTTTTTTTCAATTGGATCAAATAAAAAAATTAAAAAAGACAAATAAAATTAAAAATCAATTTAAAAAAATTTAAAAAATGAAAAAAAAATAATAAAAATCCACGTGTCTGCCAAGTATTGCTGACCTGGCGGACACGTAGCATCCGGCGAGCCATGCGGGCGTCTCCGGCACCGGAGGACTAAAACAACGAAAATTTCTTATTTCTGGGACTAGTTTGCGATAGGCTCCACTTACGGGACTAAAATAATAAGGGGATCCAATTACGGGACTAAAAAAGGAATTTACCCTTAAATAAAATAATTAGTATAATTATTTAAATTAAGCAAGCATAAGCACACATGTTGAATTATTAGCGTGTGATCATGCTGGCAATTGTATGTGTTGTACTTGTATTAAAAAAAAAAAAAAAAAAAAAAGGTATATTAGTAATGGAATTCCGTTCCTAAAGTGTGTAGTTAACGCAATTCCGTCTCTAATGTCTTTAGTAACAGAAAAGGGGATTTAAAGACAAAAAAATTTTGCTACAAATTTGTAGTGCCAAAAAAAAAAAAAAAAAAAAAAAAAGAGGAAAAAAGAAAAACTTCCATGGTTATATCATAGTATATGAGTAGTCCAAATAAATAAATTTCCTAACAGATTCACATAAAAAAACAAGGAAAAGATGATGTGTTATTTCCCCCAATTATTGCAAAAGTTGTAACAAATAAATTTCGTACAAACATAATCAACTTCTAAAATGAGAATTTGACATAAATTCCATTCTAATTTGTTTTCTGTCATAATTTGGCAAGCAAAATATAAAATAATAATAATATGAGTATTTATTTATACTACTTCCCTTGTCATTAAAAATACGTCCACTTTCTTTATTTGTCCGTCATAAAAAAAAAATAAAAATATTTGTTTTGTATTTTAGCAAAAAATTATATTACTACCATTTATCATTTTTAACCCTTCTTTCTATTTTCTTTCTTTCGTAAAACAATTATAAAGGGCAAAAAGTATATGTCGTGTTAAAACTTGTGCTTAAACTAAATAAATTTTTTTTTACGTAACGGATGGAGTACATTATATATGAGTTTCCAACATGAATGACAATTGGTGGGATTTTACCCCGAATTCATCTTAGATTATATTGTTAAGAAAATGAGTTTGAGTTCAAAATTTTATATCCGAACCAGATTAATCTTTAAAATTTTAAATTCAGTGACAGATTATGAATTTGACAACAAACTTCTAAAAAAAACAAAGTAATATACACAATTATTTTATGCGACACATACACAATTATTTTAAATACATCCCATGCATCCTCTAACACATCACAATTATTAAATAATAGTTCATTCTAAAATAAAATCAAATACAACATCAATTCCAACGATAATTTTCATAAATTCAAAATAATTCGACCCCAAAACCCTCAAACATGTTCAAAACAATATCAAATACACAATCAATCACATTTCATTGGCATATTATAGACACATACATTTTACAAAGTAATAACCTAATGAATAACAATACTTCAATTTTTGTTAGGGTTATGTATATAACCCTCCACACAACCAATAACATATACTCTTTGGCAAAACAACCAAACCATAACACAATATTGTACAAACTCATAAGAACAACAATCCAAATTAACAAACCCTAAATCAAGCATTAGATGTAGAGGGTGGCCCTTGGGTAAGTGGGTACCCGATCCCATGGCGGCTCGATGGAAACACGGCGAAAACCGAGGCGGAAACCGCCCCAATGACCGGGGGCAAAGCCATCAAGAGCATATTCTCGTTTGACTCGAAAGAAGGATAGAAACATTTTACTGAATCAGTATCCAGAAGAGAAACGACGGCAAAAATAATCAGTGCAAATAAAGCATGGACAAAGTCCGCAACCCTAAGCTTGTAGGATGACAAATCTTGGGACTCGGGATTAGGCCAAAGCCCGGTGCGCGTGGCTATGCCATAGCGCGTTTTGCCTTGGCTATCAGTGTAGCTATCGGTGAAAGAGGCGAATCCACATGAAGCGCCACAAATGGCAATGAGAATTCCCGACAAGAATTTATTGATGACGTGGCATTTACCGTTGTTGGTTAGGACCGGGTTGAGGAATTGGAAGAGGAAGACGGTCCCCGTGGGGAGAAGCTTGATGAGGTTTCCAAGGCCGGTTAAGGTTGTCTCGGGAATGTTGCGAGTCGAGCTCGAGCTACTCGATTTTGAAGACATATTTTTTTTTTTAGGGATATTTAGGGTTTTCTTGTGTTGTTGAATGAATTTTTTTTTTTTTTTTTGTGTTGAGTTTGAGGGGTTTATATAGTTTGAAGGGAAAGAGTAGATAAGCTTACTTCACTTGAGCTCTAAATATTTTTATGTTGTAGAAATCTTTAATTTGTGTCAAATAATATTAAAACAATTATTTGCCATATTTGTTTAATTAATTATATATATAGGAAGATTTAATGATTTGGTTTTAGTTATATTGCATTTTGTGGTAATTTCATGTGTAGATGAGGTTTTTATTGATAATTTGGATATTGTTTGTAAGTCAAGAATTGTAAGATTGCTTTAAAGAAGGATATGGCTTCAATGAAAAGGCAAGTGTGACATATTTATTTATTATTTTACGCTACTCCTAAGAGTGTTTTTTTAAAAAAAAAAAAAGAAATGAATTTGGATTTTGACCATTATCTACTTCTATTAATGTATATATTTGTTTATCCTAAAACCTTTAGATATGTCAGCCAAAATATTAAAAAATATGCTTAGGTTGGCTTGTGACATTATCACAATACTGAATTTTATTCTAGTGCATCAATTACATTTAACAAAATATAAAAATAAAATAAAAAAAAAATATTGATATTGTACTTGTATGGAAGTTTTCAACATTTGAAAAATAATAACTATAAATTTTCATATCATATTATATGAATATAAATAAATATTATTGAGATATTTTTAATAAAAATAAATATATATAATATTTTAAATATAAAATATATCCATTATATATGTGTAATATTATAACCAATAAGTTTGTGTATGTGTTTGCATAAAATGATGATGTAATCATGCCGTCTTTTACTTGTCGTTTGGGAAACAAAAATATAATTATATTTATATATATATATATCTATTCCTTTGGCCATATCTTAATTATAATAAAACTATAAATTTATGATTAATTGACATTATAAATATAGAGATTCTTAACATATTATTATTATTATTATTATTATTATTATTATTATTATAGTATAAAAAGTGATGTAAATACTTGCATTTTGTCCATCTCAAATCAATTGAGATATAATTTTGTGACACTTGATTTAAAAAAATATCAATATTATATTGATAATATAGATCGTTGTTTATAAATATCTTTTCTATTTGTAAAATTAAAAATAATAAATATTAAGTAATAATAATGAAAAATAAGAATTATTTTATAATGATACCCAAATATGCTCATATAAAGTGAATAACCCTTACTTAGGCCATGTTATAAATACCCTCGTAGAGCTGAAAATTTCATTTGGAATGGATAGAAATAGTCATTAATTTTTGTTCTCATTATTTTGATAATTTACGAAGGGAATAAAAAATAGAATTGAACGATAATTTGGATTAAAAAATAAAAATAAAAAGGAAACAAGAAGAACAAAGAAAAATCCGTACCGTAAAAATTATACACTCGGTGGTTCATTATATGTAATTAAATTAATTACAAGATACCCACACATATATATATATATATATATCTAATCACAAATAATTAATTAATTTAGATATAGGATGGTACACTACACTGCACTACAACACATAACTAAGGCTAACACTAGACTATATACAAACAACCATTTCTACGTATCAAAACCAATAATCCAAACACCAAAACTATATATATATATACCTAATTAATTGCAGAGCTATATGTATATATATATTTTTAATTACCCCCACACACTCACCCAGGATCGAATTCAGGTTGAAACTTCCAAACAGGATGTTTCGCTGTTTGATCTACAAGAACTTGGCGCATTTATATGTAGAGAGAGATAGAGAGGTGAAGAGAGAGAGGAAACTTAAAACCTCAATTCACATCAGTGTCTGACATCTCCTCCTCCTGCACTTTGCCACTGAGCCTCATGCATGCTTTGTTCAATGGGAGAGCCCGGTATGTATGGAACAAAGCCGCGGCCTCCGAACACCGGTCGCATGAAGGCATTGTCGAATCTTCTCCAATAATAATGAACCGTGCGAGTCGGGGTTGTAAGCAACATGCGTAGGCTGTGTGGCCGGATTATGTTGTGCCCGCTCCCTTCACCACTCGTTCCTCCGTTTCCAGCAAACAGCTCGTGATATGAGTCGTGGCTGCTCCCTAGGAGGGGCACCATGAACGATCTCGACATTTCCTCCGAAGAGGTATTCGTGCTTGAGTGATGGTGCTTCGATGGTGATGGCATTAAGCACCTCACTAGAGGCTTTGTCATCAACCCAAAAACCTACACATACATTAGAATTTTTGTCACTATTTATTGATAATAACTTTTTTTTTTCTCACAAAATCATGTCAAATAATTCATTTTGTTATCGGATCTAAAATTTTAAGAAATTCGAGTAACACACCATCTCCTTGTACAAATCACACAGAGTAATTAATTTGCACGAGGTGAAGGAAAAAATATATCTTACCACGGTGCTGAAGAGGACGACGGTTATGGTGCTGGTAATCATTATAGCATTGCCACGCAATTGGGTGTGACCTCCCCGAGTGAACTATATATAATAAATACAATAAAAATTCAAGGCTTATATTACTACAAAATTATATAATGTATCGAGGGTAATATTGTGTTGAATTTTATAATTTAGCATGTGCTGACAGCACTACATATAATGACAAACAACATCTGATATAATGACAACAAACACTGAATTTATATTAATATAATACAAATGCAACACAACATATTATATAGTCTTATAGATGTGATTGATGACAGTGAAACGTACTTTATTATAAGCAAGAGCCATTGAAACTGCACCTCTCATTAGACCTGCCCACCATATCGTAACCTGAATTCAAAAATGACAAACAAACGAGTAAGCAAAGGCAGATCGATCCATCTTGTAGAGTTGAAATACCAATTATTATAGGGCTCATACTTGCTGCTTAAAGCCAATTTTCTCTGTTGGAGACTTTTTGGTTAGATTAGATAAAAATGACAAGGGGAATACAAAGGCTGCTCTTCCAACAAGGATCAATCCTATTAGAGTTGCGCTCACTGAGATGGAAGTTTTCGGGCTGAAAAATAATTTGCATAATTTTAGCAGGACAATACTCAACTGAGTGTGTAACAACTAACCTACACGAATGAAGAAACTCTTACCTGTCACTTACAACTCTCCACTTTTCAATGTCTAGTGCATCCATTCCCACATAAAGAAATATGAATGTCTCAGCAACAAATGACAACGTCACAAAAGCGTGCCTATATTATAGTTTGAGACGTTAATAAAATCATGTGATGCATATACAATTAACAAAAAAATCGAAAGCAACAGAGTTATTTAATTGGATTAAGGTATTGAAACAATCCATACTTGGTGGTAATTCTAGATTTCTCAGTGACATTGTGCCAGGTGTAGTGTGACATCACAATCCCACAGAAGAAGACGGTGAGAATGCCACTTAAATAGAATAGCTGCAACATGACAAACCCCTTATATAATGAATTCTCGATTCAATGATTTACGTTTTAAATGTAAGACAACTTTGACTTGAAGTTTACCTCTGCCAGCATGTATGAAAGGTAAGCCATAAGCATCATAATAGCAACCTCGCGATCTGTAGAATGCCTAGTCAATGAAGAAATTCACAGGGAGATAAGGACAACATTCATCAGTTGTCATTTAAGTATATTGAATCAGGGAAATAGAGGCCAAAATAAAGATAATAGCATGGAAGATTTATTTTTTATATATAAAATGCATTGTAATATTGGAAATGTGCATAAATATTTGTTGTTTCTGTACCAACCTTCCAAAGTAGAGTTTCTTTATTACAAATGCACTGAGTAGTCCAACCTGAGGTAGAATAGAAATATGATTCATATTTAAGTGAAAAATGTTACTTAGAGAAGTTTTTTATGCATTCCAAAGAAATAGTGGACAAGAAAAACTTACAACAACTCCCAACACAGTGCTTGAGAAAAATAAATAGGCAAAGTTCCCAACAAGACCGAGAGCCACACTAGTACTGATACGAGTTGGGTCAATATCCTCGACTGCATTGAAAAGCACTACTGATGTTGCATCATTTACAACACCTTCTCCAAATACCAGACTGTAGAGTAATGGTGTCTCATCCTGACTTAGAACCTGTAGCAAGATTAATATCGTGTGAGGCTAGAGCTAAAATGGGAAGAAAAGTTTCACATCAAGATATTTAACCAGGAAAAACTATTTGTGGACCTGCAACGTGCACACAGAATCTGTTGCAGCAAATATAGCCCCAATCGCTGTAGCCATGAAGTGCAGTTAGAATCAGAAATAAATGAAGATTATGTTGTGATGTTTATTTGTGACAGAGGGACATTTTTTGTCGAAAAATTTTACCGAAATAATCTCCAATGGCAAGTCCAACATCCATTTTCTTATAAATGGTAATAGCACCTGCGGAAACAATTAAAAGACTTGAGTAACAAAAAAAAAATCATTTATCTTATAATCTACTTCACATAAGGAGCATGCATGACAAGCTAAAAAACATTTTCCCTTTTCAATAGAGATTTAATTTCATTTTAATCATACCATAAGGATTAAGGTAATACTAAAGGACTGAAAAAGAATTTAAGAAAATAGATGAACACAATTTTCTTTATACTTGGTTGAGGTTATAACATATGGAACAAAACATGGTAGACAACCGTACCGATTGATATGATAGTGAAGGATATCAATGTACCAATAGCTCCAAATAACATTATTGTCATGAAATTGTGAAAGAACTGTTTCTTCTTAACCTGAAAACTGATTAAAAGATTGAACAAAGAATAAGGAACTTAAAATCAACAATGAAACCGTTTAACATCACCAAGGACAAAGTAATATATTCTAATTTTCGACATGAAGTTAACAACTACACTGAATTGTGCTCCCAATAAACTTAAATATCGTATATATTGAAATATTGTCAATAGACCATGATGGAGGACCACTTCTTGTTTTCAAGTTACATAAATTTATAGCATATATATCGTTATGAAGTAGTAGAAAAAAAAAAAAGATCTAAAGTGGCTTTTATTTAAAAATTTCAATGACAAATACTTATATGTCATCAAAGCAGGTGACTGGGCAATTATGTGTTTCCTTGGATATCACTAAAACTGTTTCATCTTCCTGTTAAGATTTGCACTTTCAGCGGCTATTCATAATTAATTTTGCTTACTTATATACTAACAAAAGTGTTAATGGAAAGAAAATGCAAAATGATATTTAAAACTCACACACAAAAATTTACTCTTATATAGCTACTAATAGTTACACTAAGGGTAGGTTTACTTTCAAGAATTATGTAATCTTACTGTTATGATTACCCACAAATATTATATAATCCTTAAAAGTAAACATAGGCAAGAAGTCACATGATAGTTATATCTCACTGCTTGTCTTCAAAACTATAGATTCATTAAAACTCAAGGTTCATCAAGGATGGTTGGATCCATATGTTTGTAATCAAAATATTATGAGGCAGAACATAGTTTACCCAGCATTAAAAATGATAGGAGGAAGCAAGTAGATGAAGAAAAGATCCTCACTGAACACCATGAGATGTGAGCTTTTCCCTCCACTCACAAGTAGAATTAGAACTCCTGAGCTTAAACCCTGCCATTTTGCAAGTTGTAATCAATTATATATATGTAATATCAAGCTAACTTAACCCTTAATAAAAGCGAGAAAACAAATTAGAAGCTAAGAAAAGACATCCTTATAATGAGAGACTTAACACATAAAATTTACATACGGTTTCCATAAAAAAAATATAACGTAATTTTCAGTGTTTATACTTACAATTATAAGGGCCGTGGTTGATTCATTCATCCATCGACTTTCTTCTAATAGATGACCAATCACAATGCATGTGCACAAAAGGGTGACAAATACAGTGATTGAAACCACTGAAGCATGGTCTGAGGTTGATAAACCAAGAGTCTCTATCAAATTCTTGGAGCCAAGCCCCATTTCTTTTATAATTCAAACGGCTGACTCAAAAGATTCAAGTGGTAATTCTCAAATATGCTCTTATTTGAGGTAATCCTGCAATAATTATGGAAAACACCTTAATAATTTGTTGCTACATAACTAAAAAAGTTCTGAATTACACATATCTTTCTCTGTATGCATATAATTTATTTCTACTCACAAAAAGTATATAACATATAATATGAATAAGTTTTCATATTATTAGTTCATAACAAAATTTGTCAACAGGTTTCGAGAAAACTAAACAAAACACTGTAAACACCTTAATTACAATATATATATGTATATCAGATGTTAAAATCTTACTACAATTCATAACTCAAAGACAATTCGTTCTACAATTCTATAATGACTCACCTAAGTCATGATTTTTTAATTTGTTCACATTAAGGTAGGTAGGTTAATCACAATTTTATTCCTTGTTCTTTTTTAAGTAAACTTCCTCATCCACAAATTAGCCAAACTTCAACCATAGCTTTTAAAACAATCACGAATAAAAATCTCACACTTTCTCCCATATTTCATGTTGTTGCATTCAAAACTACACTTTTGCGAACAAATGCTTCAATAAATGATCAAAATAATCACTCGAATGTAAACCTTCAGTAACAACTAACATCCATCGTCATATAATAACTTACCTATTAATATTAAAAACACCACAATAAATTCAAATACCGAATTCTGCCCGCGATCACATCACAGCTTGCAAACTCCAAATAACAAACTAAATTACAAAATAATAATAATAATAAAGAAATGATTCAGTTAGGTTTCTTTTGCCAAAAATCTCAAGTTTTTACTATTTGGACTTTACGTTTTTCGAAAAAAATATTTCCTCCGTCCCAAACACCGTGCAACATTTCTTTTTTGGTATGTCCAAAACACCTTGCAATATTTTCAAAATAGGAAATAATTAATTATACTTAATCTCTACCCCACACTTTATCCCATCGCATCACCCAAATAAAAAATAACATATACATTTCTCTATCCATCACATCACCTAATTTCTAAATTATCCTACTTAATATTACACACCTAAAAACCCGTGCCCAAAACAAATGTTGCACCTTATTTGGGACGAATGGAGTATAAAAAATATGAAATAGGTGTTTGATTTGATGTTTTGGGGAAAAAAATAAAATAAATAGTGTATTTAAAATCCAATCCCCAAACAAGCACATCCTAAAAAGAAAAATAAGTGGGTTAAATATTATATTTTTAAAAAATAAATTTCTTGATAAATCTACGTGTATATTTTTTTATTTAGATAATTTTATAAGACATTATAAAAGTGTATGGAATATTTTAATATGGTTTAAAAAATTCTAATTGATTATTTATAGTCATTATCTCGAATTGATCAAAATAAGGATGAGTTGTATATAAAAGAGAGTTTCATTTGTATAGTTGTATATGACATAAGATGTATTAATTATTGAAATACATTCGAGCAATTTATTAAATAAATCATGACGGTTATAAAATATTAAAATAATTTAACTTAATTATATTTTATAATAATAAATACTAATAAATTAATTATACGTAGATATAATTTATACTTAATTTCTACCCCACACTTTACCCCATCGTATCACCCAAATAAAAAAATAAAATATACATTTCTCACTACACCACATCACCTAATTTCTAAATTATTCTATTTAATACTACCCACCTAAAAACTCGTGCCCAAAACAAATGTTGCACCTTATTTAGAACGAATGGAGTATAAAAAAATAAGAAATATGTGTTTGATTTAATATTTTAAGGAAAAAAAATAGAATGAATAGTGTATTTAAAATCCAATCCCAAAACAAACACACCCTAAAAAGAAAAGTAAGTGGGTTAAATATTATATATTTTAAAAATAAATTTCTTGATAAATCTACATGTATATTTGTTTATTTAGATAATTTTATAAGATATTATTAAAGTGTACGGAACATTTTAATATGGTTTAGAAAATTCTAATGGATTATTTATAGTCATTATCTCGAATTGATCAAAATAAGGATGAGTTTTATATAAAATAGAGTTTCTTTCGTATAGTTGTATACGACATAAGATGTACTCCCTCCGTCCCACCGGAATTGAACCCTTTGTTAAAAATTAGGTATTTAAGATGAGGATATTTAATTAGTTAATAATTAGTTATGATATTATTATACTACTTTTTTGTATAATTAATAATATTTAAAATTTTAAAGTAAATTTAATATATATGATTAAAAAAATTAAAATATATGTTTAAATATTTAAAAATTATATAGCAATTAAAAAGTATATGGAATATAGATATCATTTTGTAGAGAATAAAATCTTCTATAATACAAGTAAATAAAAAAATATTTTTTTATTTATAATTAACATAAATCAATTTTATAAAAAATTTGTAGTTTTAAATATAGATAAAAATATTTATTTTTTTGATGAGAGAGGTATAAATTAAATGGTTTTGAGTGGTCCTACATCATTTATGATGTTGTATGTTATGAAGTTAATTAAGTTGATTTATATTTGTTAAATATGTTTTGTTTTAATAATTTTTACAAAAATAGAAAGGTGTCAATTGTTTCAGAATATACAAAAATGAAAATAGTGTCAATTGTGGTGGGACGAAATGGAGAATTAATTATTGAAATACATTCGAGCAATTTATTAAATAAACCATGACAATCATAAAATATTAAAATGATTTAACTTAATTATATCTTATAATAATAAATACTAATAAATTAATTATATGTTAGATATAATTTATACTTAATTTCTACCACACTTTATCCCACCACATCACCCAAATAAAAAAATAAAATATACATTTCTTTCTCCATCATATCACATAATTTCTAAATTATCATACTCAATGCTACCCACCTAAAAATCCGAGCTCAAAACAAATGTTGCACCTTATTTGGGACGGAGAGAGTATATTTTTTCCTCTCACAAAACATTCCATCATATATTATTTTAATATCAAATCCAAATTAAAATTTTTCCAAACCCATAAGAAGAAACATATCATTTTAAAATAAAAATAAAAATAATAATAATAAATTTTCAATGAAATGCATTCAAACTAAGGGACTCACAAAAGGTGGAGCTGCGGCCAAAAACAACATCCGCATTTCTTCTCCGATTCGCGCAACACAAAACAACAAAATTTGAAGAAAATTCGAGCTTACATTCGACAAAATTCGACAAAATACAAAAACAAAAAGCGTCTATGGTGAAAGGAAGGAAAATTCGACAGACATTTGTCCGGTTTGAGGAACTAAACGGCCTCTTACACACGCACACGCATATATATATATATATGCAACATCCGTACAATTGGTGGATTCCTCTTGTATTTGATTTGGCCGTTATGCTAATTTTAGAAAATTAGGAATGGTCCGTTCGCTATTTATATTCATTTGATTCTAAATATTGTTTGCATAAATATTTTAACATTATTCATTAATAATATTATTTTTTAAATATTATATAAAATATTTTTTTTCTTGTAAAAGATTACATTAAATGCCTAAATTTTTGTACAATTATAAAAAATTATACAATTTCAAACTTATTTAATATAAATAAAAAATAAATTATATATAATATAAATAATTATTAATACAATATTTTATATAAAAAAATACTTCTTCCGTCTCATAAATATAGTTTTAATTGAGTTGGATACGAGATTTAAAAAATATTGATATTATATTGGTAGTTAGTAAAAAATATGAATAAAAGATTTTTTTACCCATGCGAGTGTATTAGTGTAAAAAGTAATGATAATTGTGTAATAAAAATGAAAAAGTATGGATAATTTTATGGTGATATGGTTATTTATAGAAATAAGACTATTGTTTTGAAACAGACAAAAATGGTAAACAAGATATTGTATTAGAAGGGAGGAAGTATTACTTTTTTCTTTTTTTTTTTGTTATGTAATTAATGAAGTGGCGATGTAAAAGATTATATTAAATGACTAAGATTGTGTTTGATAATTAACTGATAACTGTTAGCTTATTCGATTAGCTGATTTGACTAGCTGATTCGATGAGATATTTGTATTAAAGTGCTTGGTAAAACAGCAGTTTGATATTAACTGTTTATATGATAATTAAAAATATTTTATATTTTATTTTCAAAATATTTAGTTGAGTTTTTTAGGTGGGTAAATTTTTTTAGAATTTTATTATTAATTTTAAAGATTAGAAAAATTTTATTAAGATATTTATTTTTATTATTTTTAAAATATTTTGTAAATAATTAATAAAAACTTATTTAAAATATATATATATTTTTTTTCATTAGAAATATTATAGATATAAAATTACAAAAATTATTAGCATATGTATTTTTATTAGATTAATTTTTAATTATTATATATTTACATTAATTATAATTTTAAATAAATATATTCATATTTAATAAAAATATTATGTGATAAAAAAATACAATATAAATGAATCAATAATATTAATATTTTTATATTATCTTTATTTAAAGAAATTTGAAAAAAAATTATAAATAAGATAATTGACATCTAAAAAATAATTATTTTAAATTTATAAACATGAATTTATAAGTTATTAAAAGAAAATAGATCCAAATAACTAATAAATAATGTATTAAAAAATATATTAATATAGACGAAATAATTAATTAATTTTAAGAATAAGAAATTTTAAAATAAAAAAGATAATCTGAAACGTGGGATATACAACTTTTTTAAAATTAGCTTTTTGGACTCAATAAATTAATTGAAAACGCTAATTTAGTGAATATCAAAATTAGCTGATTTACTGAGTTCTTCGATAAACTAAAAGCTCTCGCAAAAACTGTTTACCAAACACCTCGAAATTTTTTTACAATTATAACAATTTTCACAATTTCAAACTTAATGTAGTATAAATAAAAAGTACGTTATATATAATATAAATAAATATTAATACAAAATTTTATATAAAAAATATTTTTTTGTTTTGTTATGTAATTAATGCAGTGACGATGAAGGGATGTTTTCATTTAAATTTATTTACTTTAGCTATAGATGTTATCAAATTTATTTTGACATTATTTATAAATACATATATTTTAATATAATATTCAATACTTAATTTTTTATTTTAATTATTATATAAAATTATTTAGCACCTTCAATGTTTATTTACATTATCTCAAAAATATTATTATTATTATATTATTATTATTATATCTAAGTTACTTCTATTTTTAAATTAAAAAGTACATCATTCTTCCTATTGAAAATTTGTCATTTTTCATTTTCGTCCGTCCTAAGGTTATCATTTTGTAATTGTACTATCTACCTAACATAATAAATATTCTTCCAACTTACAATATATTACACAAATGTCTTTACATTTATATTACACTGTACTAATAATAGAGATATTTTTGTCTTTTTTATTACAATCCAATATAATATTAATATTTAAAAATCTAATTGCAAAAATCAAACGTCACTTTTTCACCGGAACGAAAGGAGTATTTTCTTCTTTTTTTTTTTTTTTTTTAAGTTGTTAATGTGTCAATTATATTCAGTACAATGTTGACAATAGATAAAATAAATAAATAAATAAACCAACAGTTGAATTTTTGTCATAAATGTATGTAATTGTGTATTGATATCGCACTCTATATCTAAGTGATTCTAAATATTTTTTATATAATTTTTTTTTTATAATGTGAAAATTTGGACTGTTATTCAAAATATATAATTTTTAAATAATAATTTAAATACAATACTAGTATTTTTATATATATAAAAAAAAAAGAGATATTATTGTATAATTAATTATGTGAGAATTACATCATTAAAATAAAATTTGTAGTCCCAACAAATTAAATAAGAAGATCTCACTAAAATTAATAGATCTACAATCGAATCCCAACTTATACGGTAAAATAAAATAATAACAGTACCATACATTTTTTTTTAGTTTTCCAAAAGTAAAAAACAAAAAATAAAAAATTGGACTCGCAATTTATTTTTATTTTTTAAATAAATAAATAATCAAACATAAAAAATAAAAATAAAAATAAAAGGGAAAAAGAAAAAAGGAAACCCCATTTTTGACTTGCAAGAAGAAGACAGTGTTAAGTAAATCAATTTCAGTTTCTGCTCTGGTCAAAATCATCCCACAGCACTTTTTTGGTGCTCTCCGGAGATTTTGCTCCCAACTTTTTTGTTTTTTTCGATCAAATCGTAGACGCGCAAGCGCAGATCTGCTGTTTGATCGAATTCTGCACTCGCATTTTTCGATTTTCAACAATCTTGGTTTTTTTTTTTTTTTTTTTTTTTTTTTGAGGTTTGAAATTGGGTTTTGGGAAGATTTGATTTGCTGGTTGTGTTTTTGGGCTGTTAATCTGGAAGAGAAAGATTGGCAGAGAAGGAAGGCGCAATAAATTCCATTAATGATAGTTCGTACTGTATTGTAGGTATGTTGTTGTCTTTGTTAGCTCTTGACTTCCTTGATTTGCGGAGGATTCAAATCATTGCTGCTTCTGCTTGTGCAGTGAGCTAGGGTTTCTGTTTGTAAATGTTGGAGATTGTTGCACGCCTGAGCGTTTTTGACTAGGTTGTTTGATTATTTCTCGGCCTTGTGACTGCATTTATTCAGGTGGTCAATTGAGTGAGTGAGTGATGAATTGATTGATCCGCGGTGGAGCTTCAAAATTTTGGAATGTTTTCGAATCTGGTGGAGCTCTTGGATTGGTGATCTTAGGGTTAATGGTTTGGATGAGGTTCAAGAGTATGCTTTGTCGTGAGAAATGAGGTTTTGTGTTATTGAGCAATGGGGTGTGTTTTTGGGAAAGAGATTCAGTCGGCTAGTGCGCTGAGGAGGAGTGAAGCTGTAGTGAAAAATGATGGAGGTAAGGAAGGGGAAAAGGATCTCACGGATAGGTCAGGTAGGAAGGAGAAAGTAGTGGTTGGATCAGCGAGTAAATCACAGGAGGATGATGTTGCTGCTGGTGGAGCTCTGAATGGTGGCGAGCACAAAGATGAGGATCGAAAGAAAGAGCATTCGAGGCGTCCGAGGGGGGAGAGGAGACGGTCCCGAGCAAATCCACGGCTAAGTAATCCACCAAAGCATATCCATGGTGAGCAAGTGGCTGCTGGATGGCCTTCCTGGCTCTCTGCTGTGGCCGGAGAAGCTATCAATGGCTGGACGCCTCGTCGGGCTGATTCATTTGAGAAAATTGACAAGGCAAGAGGTTATTGGTTTAGTTCATTTCGATGTTTTTTTTTGTTTGTTTTTTCCTCCCAATGGTAGTTCATTATGGCCTAATTGTTTCTGCTTATGTGTTTGTGTTTAGATTGGACAAGGCACTTATAGCAATGTGTATAAAGCTAGAGATACTATCAGTGGAAAGATTGTTGCATTAAAGAAGGTTAGATTTGATAATTTGGAACCCGAGAGTGTGAGGTTTATGGCAAGGGAGATCTTGATTCTGCGCCGTCTGGATCATCCGAATGTTGTGAAATTGCAAGGGCTGGTAACATCAAGAATGTCGTGTAGTTTGTATCTAGTGTTCGACTATATGGAGCATGATCTGGCGGGCCTTGCTTCGAGCCCTGGAATAAAGTTTACCGAGCCTCAGGTGGGAATCTCGCCATTCTTTATTTTCATTTTGTTTGTATTTTTCTGTTTATTACTTTAGAATATTGGAAATGGCCTTATGTTTGCATAGTCTGATTGATCTGGCAGGTAAAATGCTACATGTATCAGTTGTTGTCGGGCCTTGAGCATTGCCACAAACGCCATGTGTTGCATCGTGATATTAAGGGGTCGAATCTACTGATTGATGATGGAGGGGTTCTTAAGATCGCTGATTTTGGCTTAGCTTCCACCTTTGACCCTAATAACAAGCAGCCCATGACTAGTCGGGTTGTTACCCTTTGGTATAGGCCACCCGAGCTGCTTCTTGGTGCCACTGAGTACGGTGTGGGTGTAGACTTGTGGAGTGCAGGATGCATTTTAGCTGAGCTTTTTGCTGGGAAGCCCATCATGACCGGCAGAACTGAGGTACATGTCTTAAATAATAATACGATGTTAATTGAGATTATTGACAGCCTTTTTGTATCCAATGTGCGCATGTTTGGTAATAGCGTTTGTTCATTTGATCGCAGTGAAACATACGGCACTGCTGTGTGTGTTTGTAGTATGTCAAGATCTGATGTTTTTCGAGAAAGTATTTGTTCTTTACTTTTTCGTTAGCCTGTTAAGTCTTTCCTGCATGTAAGCAGCTTTTTCACTCTATTCCTGCATGTGAAAAGTTACGGTGTTACAATATATAGAATTCACATCAATTTGTCAAGAAACATATTAGTCCTATATTTCACGATTCATGGAAATAGTTTCTTCATATCACCACATTGTATACCACACCTTTGCATCATCTGTTGCATTAGATAACGACCACTTGAACAATTAGTTACCTGAGTGCAGAATCGACTCGTTTCCTTAATATTCATGTCTGCAACAATGGTCTCTTTTTCTATGGGTTATTTGAAAAGTTCTGCTGTCAGAGTATAGTTTCAATTGGCTCTTATCTTGTGTGTGTGTGTGTGTGTGTGTGTATTATATATCTGCAGCTCAATGTGATAAATGGCATGTAGGTGGAACAGCTGCACCGGATTTTCAAGCTCTGTGGTTCTCCATCAGAAGAATATTGGAAAAAGTCGAGGCTTCCTCATGCAACTATATTCAAACCGCAGCAATCATACAAAAGATGCATAAGGGAAACATTTAAAGATTTTCCTTCATCTTCACTGCCTTTAATCGATACTCTCCTTTCAATTGATCCTAGTGAGCGCAAAACTGCCACAGCTGCACTAAGTAGTGAAGTAATCTCTCTCTCTCTCTCTCTCTCTCTCTCTCTCTCTGACATAATTTTAAATAAGACACAAAGCACTGTCACCGATTTCTTTTGCCACAAGTATGGTCTTGTGCTGGCTTAACTATGATCCCCACCACGTTGATTTTGTTTAATGTCATTCAATAGATGGGGGTTATGCATTATTGATCCTTTTTTGATCTATTACAGTTCTTCACAACCAAGCCGTATGCATGTGATCCCTCAAGCCTCCCAAAATACCCACCTAGTAAAGAGATGGATGCTAAACGCCGTGATGAAGAAGCTCGGAGGTTTGGAAATTCATTGCTCTTCTCATATAACTCCACATTTGTTCAGATTTTGCTACAAGGTTCATATTGAGTATTAAAATTTCTATTTAAATCTGACTTATGTTATGGTAGATTGAGAGCAGCTGGTAAAGCTCAAGCTGATGTGAAGAAAACAAGAACACGCGATCGGGGATTACGTGCCATTCCTGCACCTGAAGCCAATGCAGAGCTGCAAGTCAATATTGATGTATGTTTCTTAAATATGCCTCGCTTGATTTTTTCCATTGATGATTAAAGTATAGAATAATATAATAAACTTGAATTTTTCAAATCAGTCCTTAGAAATACTAAATGATAAAAAAATCCCTTGGTAGAAAGAAAATCCATTGAGAATCCCATCATGTTTTTCTAAACTATAGTTTAAATTATCACTCCAAATTTTTTTTCAAAGTCTTAGGTTGTGTTCTTTTGTGGGTTTTATCACGTATTTTTACTATCCAGATTTTTTTTTTCCACAAAAAATATCACATCAAATAATTATTTATATATATATATATTATACTACAAATTTATTTTACATGCAAAACATCACATTAATTTATGTTTATATCACATCAAACAACTATTCAAATTCAACTTTTTTATTATTCAAAAATCCAAAACTAACATCCCAAACCCATAAACAAACACACCCAGAGTTTTTGTAAAAGCATAGCATGTTATTTAGTTTTGTGATATCTCACATGATGTTTCACATTTGAAGTGTTTTCATTGTGTTCTTGTTGATTTTGATAGCAATTAACATTAAAAAAAAAAAATCAATTAGTATTCGATTTGATATAACACTTTTATATATTCATTGGATTTAAGATTAATAATAAGTTATAGATTACATAGCATAGAGTTATGTGCATATGAATAAATCTGAACTTAAATTTGGTAAGACCATTCTTAAATTAGAGTTATGTTGTTCGGCTATTAAGTGTCTATTGCATAGGGTAATTTGCAATGTACCTTAAAAATGAATTTATGGTGAAGGGGGCGACTTTTATGTTTGATTCTTCGACACTGATGCAACTTACTTTTGGCCCTGTAAATTACAGAGACGTCGCCTAATCTCACACGCGAATGCAAAAAGCAAAAGTGAAAAATTCCCCCCACCGCATCAAGATGGAGGAATTGGTTATCCTTTGGGGTCATCTCAGCACATTGACCCGACCTTTGATCCTCCCGACATACCATTCTCTTCCATGAACTTCTCATATGCCAAAGAGCCTATTCAAACTTGGTCTGGCCCATTAGTTGATTCTGTCGGGGGAAGAAAAATGAAGCAGCCGAAGAAAGATCATTGGAAAGACAAGGGATCTAATATGTACAATGAGAAACATGTGTTATAATACTTTATTAGCTTATACATGTCGGCAGATCAACCACACGGAGGTGCAGCGACTGCAAGTTTACGCTGCTGTTATGACTGCACCGGGAAATATTACCGAAATCATATCAGAGGTAAACATTCGAAAAAAAAGAACAAAACTTATCTATTTTTCTCCAGAATTCCTTGTTTCTGCTTATGGGTTTTACACGATCATGACAGGCATTATTTTTTTCTTATTTCTTTCTGGTTACAAATGTCATTTTTTCTTTAAGCATTATAATTACGAGCTGAACTCGATTTCTTTGTTCTCTGCTGTTAATGGGAGAATTTCTTGCATTTGGCTGCTCTCTTTCCTTGTTCGTTTCTTTATTATTTCGATAAATGCATATATAGGGTTTGGTTTTGTGTTTTGGTTTGAACTGTGGTTTGAATGTGATGTTTTGTGAGATAAAATACTACTTAAAATACTACTTCCTCCGTCCGGTTAAGAATATATATTTACTTTTGGCGCAAAGTTTAAGAAATAATAGTATTTTAATTATAATGTGTAATTAAAAGTAATGTACTGACATTTTTGCCTTTTTTTTTTTTGTATAAAAGAAATGATGTGATGTAAAGTAAAAATATTTGTGGAAAAGAAAAGGGATATTTAATGAAACAGATATTTTATAATTGAACGTCTCAAAATAGAAATAGCGTATACTTTCTAGCCGGATGAAAATAATATAATTTTATTAAGAATAATGAGAGTTGCATAGTGAAGAAATTGGAACCAAATGTATGTATAGGTTTGTTGATGCCATTTTGTGAGGTATGTGATGGTGGTGAAGTTTGGGTTATTTTGAATGAATGAATAAAATGATAAGAGGAGGTTGGCTCTTGTTTAAAGACATTTTGTACTTTGGAGTTTAAGAGTTTGTTTACATTTTAGCAATGATTTTACTATTTAAATTTTTTTTTCTTTAAAAAATATCTAATCAAATACTCAATTTTTTTTTTAATTTTATTATACTAAAATTTAATTTTACATTTAAAACATCACATCAATATATATTTATATTATATCAAACAACTATTTCAATTCAAAATTTTTCTATTCAAAATAAAAAATCAAAATCAAAACTTCACAAGTATAACTATTTTTTAACACTAATGTATTAGTTCAGTAAGGAATAATCTGTTGGTGTGGATGGATTCTTGATCACGAGATTAAATTTCCTGAGGTTTTTAGATTTTTTCTGCAACATATAGTTCCTGCGTCATGAATAATATACACATAATGGTGTGTGTAATACTATTGTGTGTAGACCGGATAAGACAATGGACCGAGGATCTCGTACATTTTTATTCAATTTTATAGTTTTCAATAAAAATATAATACTATTTTTGTTCAAATTCTATTGTTCTAAATCATATTTGCATAATATTTTAGGTAAGTATTTTTTTGTTATGAATTGATAATTTTACCATTTGTGATAAAGTAGAGAAAATATGTTCAAATAAAAATGGTAAATGAATTAAAAATAAAATAGCACAATTTTCTTATAAAATATTGTACTAAAATACCATTTTAAAAAAAAATCAAATCAAATCATAGCCAAATAAACCTCTCATTTAAGTTTAAAACTACTATGTCAATACATTAACTTGTAGCCACACTTTTTAATGTTTTTAAATCCATCTCTATAGTTACATATAAAAATTAGTAACAATTCAAGGTTTTATTTACTTGAAAATTGTTTTTATTCTTTACTATTTAACTCTCCTAATTTTATATAAATTATTATATCTAAATTATTATTTAAAAAAAAAATTAAAAACGAAAGAATATGAAGATATATTCCATGTTGAAGAATTTTGTTGAAATCGAAAATTTAACCTTATTATTTTGAATGATATACATGGTAAAAATATATATTTTGGCGTATTCGATCAATATAAAAATATCAATTTTGTATGAATTATTTTAAATTAGTCGGCATTATAATTAAAAATGCATCAACAAATATGGCACAAATTATGGCTCGGGAGACTGGAGCCCCTTTGTAGCTCCATTAACAACTTTGTAATGTGTGCTTTAATTTGTATAAAATATGCATACTTTGATAATGTACATATAGGTGAGCCGATACGATAAAAATTGAACTCACAGATAAACTATAATTGCAAAAATATTCGATCAAATTTATCAAAGTATCACAAATTAACTTATGCTCTTTCAATTTCGTAACGTTTATTAATTATTTAATTTATCTGTAACTGGTATAATTTAAATTGTTTATAATTTCTCATAATTTTTTAATTGGAATATTTTTGTATGAATTAATAGAATCATATAAGAATATATTAGTATTGCAAAAATTATGAGATATTTCTTATACAAAATAATAGAAAAATATTTAGGAGATAGATATTGGATTTGTTCTTTTATTATTTTAAAAGTATTTATTTAGACACAATTTTTAATAAAAATATAATTTTCTCGTTTCAAAAGAGATGTCTTATTAGGAATTAACACGAGATTTAAAGAATAATATTATCAAATTGAGAATAATATGAATTATAATACAAATGATCAAATTGTTCTTACTTTACAAAGGATTAATAAATAAATTAAAGTAATAATTGCAGTGAGATTTGTGTAAATATTGTAAAAAAAGTAAGAGTAGTGTTGTTGTATAATGGAATCCATCGTTACTAAATAAAAATAATAATTAAAATGAAAAAACAACACAAATTCTTTTGGAACGGAGGAGTACTATTTATTCTAACAAAATATCACTTGTAAGTTACTATTTAAACAAAAATTTAAATCAAATAATCCTTCCATCCCACTTCTCGTGTCCACCTTTTCATTTATATCAATCCCACTTATTTTGTCACTTTCCTTTTTGAAAAATAATTATGTCAATCACACTTATTTTTGTCACTTTCATTTTTGAAAAATAATTATACACTTTAATCTTATTTTTAAAAATTTAATCTATAATTTTTTTAATTTTAATTATAATAATCAATTATTTTTATTTTACGATAATTATTTTCACTAATAAATTTTTAATTATTTACTAATTATACCCCTCTTAAATTCACGTGTTTACAGTAACACGAACAAATGTTCGGGACGGAGGAAGTATCATTTTAATCAATTTTAAATCACAATCAAACAAACTCAATATTTATATGCCTTTTTTGACAGCCGAAAAGATAAAAATGCAAACTTTTTGGTTGAGTCACAGTTAATTAGATACATTAGGTTATCAGCTAACTACTCCATAACAATAATAATAATAATAATAATAATAAACCTAATGATCAGAAACTTGCAGTTGGAGTCAAGCATGTGCTATTATTATTATTATTATTATTATTATCCAATTATTGTTATTTTTTAAGTATCTAAGATCTGGAAAAAGTAAATAATGGAAGTAGCACAATTATCGGAAGATGAATTAAAAATACTTGTTTTATCACTTATGCATTAATCCAAACTTGAATCCAAGCCTAATTTATTGAATATTAGACCCGAAATTGGATGGAGTCACCATTTTTTAAGTTCCGACGGATCCTAAAATTGTAAGGAAAGATTAGATCCGGATATGAAACTTCCGGATCCGACTTATTGACGGGCCTACGAAGGATCCTAAAATTGTAAGGAAAGGTTAGATCCGGATACGAAACTTCCAGATCCGACCCATTGACCGGCCTATGAATGGGGCATGAGTGAAATACAATAATGCACAACAAAAATGAAAAATTTTAGATGTTCTTTTGAGGATTTTTACCCAAGATTTTAATATTCACCAAATTTTTTCTCCCTCAGAAATATCACATCGGGTTATATCCCATCATGTAACTATTTCAATTTAAAATTTTACTATTCAAATTCTAAACGCATAATCCAAACTCTAAAAAGAACACATCAGAGGCAGGAAAGGGAAAAATAAAGGATATAGATTTGATAGAATTGAAAGAAAACAAATGTTATGACTTATCATACAAACAGACAAATAGATAGATAGATAGATAGATAAAAGATTAGATCCAAGAAACTAAAGGGAATAAAAGTCACCTGACCTGTTTGTTTGTTTTTCCTGTGATCATCAATCAATCCCACCATCTCTACAGATTCAGATTTGTATCTGCCAGCAATGGAAATTCCTTCAAAAATGCAATATATATATATATATACAACAATGTTAAATAAAGCAACCATTTTATTTGAATCTTGCATCCAAGTTGAATGAATAAATATGCAAGCAAAAAACACAATAGTACAACAAACCTCCAGAGTAACACGGCTAGCGGCGCATCCTCTGTAAATCACTAGCCACCCGAACAGCAGCTTCAGCGACACCCTTTACGCTCGAAGACTTAAGATCCGAGACCAACGCCTCAGTCTTGGCTAAATCCGAAGTAGATATGGATAGAATCATTGCATGTAACATATATTGGCGACAAGAATACCCGAGAGCATGCAGGATGTGGTCCAGCACCGTGTAGGAGATACCACCACGGCGCCCGGTTTCGAGGATATTAGAGACCTTGTTGAGATTCATGAGGAAGTTCATGGTTGCTTCTCTTGGAGCTGCCTTGAACAACAGGGTCAAACACTGTGACGCCAAATCTGCAATATTAACCTCAGACGACGAGGTTAGCTCAAGTAGCACCCCTACATTGCCGCTGAAGTCTACAATGTCTTTTATCCATTGCTGTGGATCAGCTGCATTTTCAGTATAACCGTCGTTGATGAGGCTCGGCTGCTTTGAACAGATGACATCAGCGTTAGAGGGTACGGCGCGGAGAAGGAATGCTTTGCATAGGCCAAGTGTCGGCTCGATGAAATCTTCCATCTCTTTGGTGCAGACAAATTCTAAAAGATTTCCGATCTTTCTCACTACTTTTAACTGGGAAAGAATCTTGGTTTCTAGTTCGGGGGCGGATGCTAGAGCCAGGCAAAGCATTACGTTGCTTGCATTTAGAGTCGAGAAATCACCCAGTAGGAACTCGAAGCACTGTGAGACTGCTTTCATGTGAAGTATGTCCGAGATCTTTATGCAGTTCGACTCGATGAGCATCACAAGCAGCTTTTGAGCAAACATAGGAATGGGGTCTTCGTCCTCGATTAAAGATGGGTAGAGTGGAAGGAAGTGAATATTAGACACAGCCTTCAGATCTTCTAGCCTTTCTTCATCTTTCGACGTTTGGGTCAGGAAATGGATCATCACATCGGAGAAGATCTTCAGGCATAAACAGCGGGCATCTCCGTCTTTGTTTCCTTTGTAGAGGGCAACGAGGCCAGGAAGAACCTGGCGGATGAAGATGACAGGATTGTTGCTGATTGCCGTGGGTTCCTCCGAGATTGATTCCAAAATTCGCAGAAGAGTAATCTGAAAATCATCCCTGCCCTGTAATCAAACAAGAGATAGTAAGTTGAGAAGTTCGGATTAAAATCGTAATACTGCTGATAATAAAACTTGATAGGTAATGCAATGATAGATGTAGAAACACATAAACATGAGCATTAAAGGAGCTTTATAAATTACAAGACAAATGGCAAAAATTGCGATTCACAAATAATGCATACTACGATACTTTATAGTTATTGAAACTAACCATAAAAAAACTATGCGATAATATAGATTAGTTACGGCATATGGCAAAGGCATTATTAATGAAAACAACTTAGACAAGTAGATAGAACAAAATATGGTAGCAGATAATTTAACAGCTTCAACATTCATTTATTTACCTGGAAAGGCGACTCTGTCAGCTTAAGCAGATTCGAGACAAGTTGTAGAATCTGAGGAGTGACCACCAAATGCTTAAAAGAAAAACTCCCTAAAAGATGGAGAACCACAGGAAAGAACTGAACACTGTTTTTTGGAGTACTTCGGCTGGCGCTCTGCCCGTGACGTCTGCCTCCCATAAGCTGCTGAATATCTCCTGTTATAGTTTCTAATAAACCTGGTAACGTTGAGACCACAGTTTTGACAAATGCATCCAGGCACTGCTGCACATATTTGTCTTTCTCTTTTGCAAGTCTATCAACAGCAGATAGTAATCGTGCATTGCAAAAGAAATGTGATAGACACCTTTTTCCATTTTTGCAAAGTAAAGCCACAAAGAGGAGTGCCTTCCCCCGCAGGACTTCACTTCCCTGCTCGATAAGAGACAAAAGATTGGATACAAGATTCTTATCTTCAATTAGAGTAACAATGTAGCGCCCGACATTTGCCAGAGAATTGCTCCCGAGTAATGCCATGTTTAGAAGGTTCAAGCATATTTGCTGCTCACGCTGGTTACCCTTGAAAAGACTTGAAGTGATCTCCTTGAGAGGAAGTTTCTCTATAACATGCTGTATACAAGTTTGGTTGAAACGAACCAGTCGGGCCAAACATGATCCTGCAGTGAGTCTCATGCTTTCTTGTTTTCCTGAAGCCCTATATATATAGCAAAGATTGCTAATTACATCTTGGCTTGTAAAGCGAGTTGCCCAATATCCACCATGACTAGAGATGTTCTCTATTGTTCTTAAGGCATAAAGCTGGGTGAGATCATCTTCTCCTTTCCTTAGTACAGATGAGATGAGAGAGATTAATGAATTCGGAACCTGAAAAAAATAGAATAGTAAATGCAGGTTCCTTGAGATGAACAAATGATTACAGCCATATCAGATATATTAGATACTTATAGCAATCGAGAAGAACCTAACCTGCCAGCAAGAAGAAGGGCGGTTGTCTTTTGATGGAGACTCCTGAGAGTAATTATCCTTAGCAGGATCATTGAGAGTAGATATGTAAAAGAGCAACTCACCAAGAGCAGCCATAGAAAACCTTCTCACTTTTTCCTGTCTATCTCTGAGTCCATCAGTTAGAGCACCTAAAATTCCAGAAACTGCCAAATCATCTCCAATGAAAGTGGAATGTCGAATTAACAGGCCTACAAGTGATGAGAGCTGTACACGTAAAGCCAAAGCCTTGGACTGCCTCAACATTTTGACAAGAACAAGCATAATAGGTCCATTGGTCAAAAGATTTGCAGCATCAGCATTGGTACTCAGCATCTCAAGATATCTGATCACATTTTGCTTCTCCACATTAACATTACCATTCATGATACTCACAATTCTACTATAAAGCACATCCAACTTATCTTTAGGAGTCTTCGTAAAGTCAGACGGGAGAATTACATGAAATGGAAGAGAAGGAATTGCATCTAATCCTTTGTCAAATTTTCTGCTCGGCATTACAGGCCTAACAGACAGATCAGACTGATGCCATAGAACTTCTGAAAGGTCCATAGATGATTTCTCTGTCCCAAAGTCAAGGGCACGCCCAGAGACGTCCTTAGTCCTCTGTGTTTTCTGCTGAAGACTAGCACTGGGTGGTGTAGCTGGGCTCACTTCCATGTCGGAGGACGAATCATGGTCTTGTGCTTTTGAATCATCCAAAAGAGGTGTGCCATCCACATTAGAAGTGTCCAGCTGGTTTTTGACATTGTTCGCCACATCTAGTTTCTCCTCAGTCTTGTTTGGTGTTGATAAACTATCGTCGGTGGTGGAAGATACATTATCAGGACCTTCGGTTTCATCAGGTCCTTCATCTTCTGTGCTCTCATTGAAATCAAGCTCCATGTCATTGTTTTCAATTTTGACTTCTGCATCATTCTTTGAGCTATTGGGTAATGGCCTTCGGTAGTTCTCTTTCTCATTTTCTCTTTGTAGGTTGGATTTTGCTATTCTTGAAAGCCTCAGGAGATGCACCCCGCTTGTATTATCTCTGTTCTTTTTATCTGGTGTCCTACCTGATTGCTTGGCCTGTGTTTTACGACCAATGATTGCGCTCTTGATAGGTGTTTCTTCTCCTTTGACTCCAGCAGCAAAGTTTTCATCTTGTTTACCATGCACTCTTGAATCTTTTCCATAAGTTTTAGGTGGAGTCTTGTTTCGAAGAGGCCTATTCCCATTACGCTCTGTAAGTTGTGGCTCGGAAGACATCTCTATCATGTCAGCAAAAGCAGGCTGGGGAGGTAAAGCCAATGGAACAAATTTCAATCTCCAAAAAGCATGGTTGCAAAGTTCAGGCCACTGGATCCTTTCGGCAGGATCTTTGATCAAGAGGGAATTTATCAAATTTACAAATGGACGGGATGGAGTTCCAGGAAGTTCAGGGACTGCATCTAAAAGAATTGCTTTTGCTAACTGAGTGAATTCCTTTCCAACAAATGGAGGCTTTCCAGTATAGCACTCATATAGCACACATCCAAGAGCCCAGAAATCAGATGCATATGAATGGACACCTCCATCTTGGAATAATTCCGGAGCCATGTAACATGGAGTTCCACGTTTTGCTTGTGGTAACTGCACATGCAAGTGAAAACATACATTCAATATTTCAGTAGGAAGAGAGAATAATATGCAGAATAAAATGGCAATCACCACAATAAATTAGAATTATCTGATAATCCACCTGGGAAGAAGGTGCTGCAGATATATCACTCAGTTTTCTTGCTAATCCAAAGTCACAAAGCTGCAGTAAAAAACATTGATGAAGCTCTTCATCAGGAATTTTCTGAATTGCAGTTGTCAAAGAGGAAAAGAAGATGAATGATACCTTTGTGTGTCCATTTTCATCCAGCAGGATGTTGGATGGTTTTAAATCACAATAAATAATTCCCTTTGAATGCAAGTACCTGTTAATTTGGCCATGAATAAGTGATAAATGCTTCTAATAATTTGCCATAATGAACCAAAAGGATGGACACAGTTTGATTCTTACTGCAAGGCATTAACAAGGTCATGAGCCAAATCATGGATGGATTCTTCAGGAAGCTTACCATCCTGCCATACACCCAGTAAATTGTAAATACAAATCAATGATGATGTAATTGAGCAACTTGGGCATCCGATTCCATGTGATATATTACACATTGTAAAACATAGGAAGTTAGCAATGAACACCTGCTGCAACAAGGTCAATAGATCTCCTCCAACACAGTACTCCAAGACTAGCCATAGATGAGCTGATGTCTCATACCTACAATGTCACTTGATGAGAAAACGAATGCCAAAAAAAAAAAAAAAAAACAAAATAATATGCTATTTGGCAGCCACGGCTCTTACCATGAGTAGAACCTAAGCACATTATGGTGATCAAGGGTGTGCAGAACTCTTACCTGAAACCAAAAATTGATCAAAGGATGACTTACACATATATACACAAAAGTAAAGCCCAAAAAAGAAAAAAAAAAACAGATCTATTTTTGTTAATGAACTCTTTGTGCGTTACATTTTGTCTCTAATATTTACCTTTTTCCTCCTCTTCTCATTTAGTTTTTCTCGCTTAGCTTCCTTCTTTTCATCTCTTTGCTGTTATTACTAAACTACTACTAATCTAATTATGCACCACTCGGAAAAATTTAACCATAATTTGGCATCATCTATAAGCACACATATAGGTGAGCATTTTAGCAGACACTTGAAGTGCTAACTGAAATGGAACAAACAATATATGTGTTTGTTATAGGCCAGTGGCGCCACTTTGCAAAAACTTCTTTCTGATAACTGATTATACGTCTCTACAAGTCATCAGTGGAATCATGTGTGGATAGATTAGTCATCCTACTTGAGCAAAGAACAAGAATAATCATGTTAAATACTTGCATTACTTGCGTGTGGCGTCTTCAATTAGTAAAAAACACCGTGTAGGTCGTGATGTATGGTTCACGTACCATGGGCAGCTCGCGTTTTGCATTTTCACTCACTTTCAGTTGAAATGTAAACGGCATAGCTTCAAATGACAAAATTATAATGCGGGAAAGAGAATGCATAGATGAACATTTACATACAAAAGGAAAAGAAGTTCAGCTAGGGATCCGTTCAATAACAAATCCGTTCACATAAAGCTCAGGTTGCGAGTTCTTGGAAAACTAACATTTAGATTCCAACACTCGTTTCAATCTTTTACTAGGTTTTGAGATTTAAACAAAACTAACACACAAAAAGATTTCAGCGGACCAAATAACTGATTAAAAACCTCACCGAAACTGTTAGTACGAACGCTTACTTCTTGAAGAACCTTGGTCTTATGAGATTTATCCACGCTCTTAATCGCGAAGTACTCGATCGTCTTCTTCTTCCTCCCTTTGTACACAGTCTGCAAAGCCACAAAAATCCAATCAAGAAGCCGACAAATCGGAAACTTAGACTACAAAATGAACTCAAAAAAAATTACCGAATATTTGCCGCGACCAATGGCCTCATAAATGTGGTAGTGATTCATCGCCGAGCTTCTTCAAATCTGAGGCGATCGACGACGTTGAGTTGAAGAGATGACTGATGGAGGAGAGAGCGGGGGAGAGAGAATAGATTGGAATTCAAATTTGGGAGAAAGACAAAAATGTATATCAAACAAAGACATTTTTTTAAACGGTCTATTTAAAATTTATTACTATTATTATTATTCTGCTATTTGCAATTTAGTCCATAAATTTTTAGCATTCAGTCCCCAGGGCATAAAATTTGAATCCCATCAAAATTGGGCTTGGTTTCCGACGGAAGTAATAAATACTCTTTCTGGCTCCGTCTCATTTATATTTTGCATTATTATACTTAATATTAAAAATAATTTTATATTTATATAATTTTTTGTATTTTTTCGTAATTTTTTTTTAATTTGTACTACATTTTAATATAATAATTAATATTCAAATATAAATATGCCAAAAAATTTCCCACATTGGATGTCTGGGTGGGTCACTGCAGACACGAGAATTTAGGATATATATAATTAGTAGATAATTAAAAATGTATTAGTAAAAATAATTATCTTATGATATAAATAATTATAAATTAAGATAAAATTTTAAAAAATTAAATTAAAAAAATTAAAATCAGATTAAAATGTGTAATCATTTTCCAAAAACGGATGGAGGGAGTAATTAGAAACCCTTGAGCCGGACATAAGTAGTATTACATTGGATAGAAGAAATATAATCAGTTTGCTCACGTAACATTTTTTTTTTAGGGTAAACTGTTTTTTAGTCCCGTAATCGGACCCCTTATCATTTTAATCCTGTAAGTGGAGCCTGTCGCAAATTAGTCCCATAAGTGAAAAATTTTCGCTGTTTTAGTCCTCCGACGCCGGAGATGCCTGCGTGGCTCGCCGGAGGTGACGTGTCAGCCAGGTGTCGCTGACCTGGCGGACACGTGAATTTTATTTTATTTTTTTCATTTTTTAAATTTTTTTAAAACTTATTTTTAATTTATTTTAAATTTTATTTGTATATTTTTTAATTTTTTTATTTGGTCCAATAAAAAAAATAAAAAATAAATAAATCCACGTGTCCGCCAGGTGTCACTAGGTCAGGGACACCTGACGGACACGTCACCTCCGGCAAGCCACGCGGGCGTCTCCGACGCCGAAGGACTAAAACAACAAAAATTTTTCACTTATGGAACTAGTTTGCCACAGACTCCACGGGACTAAAAAACAGTTTATTTTTTTTTTTTTTAATATAACAATTCTCATAAAATATTATTAAAAATACAAATATATACACATTAATATAATATATATTAACAATTCATAAAATAATCAATTATTCAATACAAAATATTATTTGTTATATTACCACCAATACAATTACACATAACCACACACAAAAAATTAATTATTCCAACAGACGAAATATATTTTATCCATTTATTTTTAATATGTATATATTTTATTTTTATTCGCCCAATTCAAATGTTTATATTTTTGTTTTTAGTTTTTATGGACTCAAGCCCTAATTATTAATATGTTTTACACATATTTACCATTTTACTTTCATTCATCCACTTATATCTACCATTTTTATTAAATATTTTATCCAATAAATGTTAGAGCAAAAGGGAGTATAATACTCTTATATTACCTATTTTTTAAAAATAAAAATTAATTTTTTTTTTCTATAAAATGTCTATTATTTCTATTTATATTCATTTTATATAATTTATCGTTTTGTAAAATTATTATATATTTTAATCATATTTTTAAATTTTATAATTTATAACTTTTTAATCTTAATTAAATTATTTAGTTATTTATTTATAATTATTTTTATTAATGTATCTTTTAATTATTATATTTTAGTTAAATTTTCGTATTTATAATAACATAAGCTGGATGAGGGCAATGAAAAATATTAAATAACTTTTTATACCTAATATAAAAAAATTGATATTTTTGTTTAGAGGTTTGAATGTTAAGTTTGAGTTTAATAATAAAGATTTTCAATTGAATTAATAGTATAATAGTGGTATAAATAAATATTGATATTATATTTTAAATAAAATTATTTTTAATATAATTGTATAAAAAAATTTTAAAAATATTTTTTACTATATATTTAAAAACAAATTAATAAATAATATTTACTCGGTCCATTTGAAATGATTCATTTCATTTGAGATATATTTTCAAATAAGTAGTATTGCTAGTAGTTTTAAAATAAGAATTAATATATAATTAAAATAATTTTAAAATATGTGTTTAAATATTTTAGATATTATATCTCAATAATATATTTAATATGAATATTATTTTGTAGTGAATGTAATTTTAAATAATACAATGAAATAACAAAAAATTTATTTATAATTAAGATTAATATAGGTAAAAAATACTCCCTCCGTAAAAGCAAGAAGTATATATTTATTTTTGGCGGTAAAGTATGACTATTTGTGAAAAAAAAATGAGATATTTAATGAAATGATTGATTTGTAATTGGACGTTTCAAAATAAAAAATATATATATATATATTTTTAAGCGGATGGATGAAGTATTTGTTACCCGGGAGAGATGAAAATAAAGAGTTTTGAGTGGTGTTGCTTGTAATGTTATACTATTTTCGTTCAGCTCCGAAGATTTCATTTACTTTTTGTATGTTCATATTTGAATATTAATTATTATATCAAAACGTAGTACAATTTAAGACAAAATTATAAAAATACTTCTAATAGTATTTTATAATATTAATAGAATGATATTTGTATCGAAAAAATATATTATAAAATTAATTAAATTTATTCATATTTATTAAATATATTTAAATTTAATAAATTTTATGAAAAATAGAAATATACCGTAAAACAAACGAAAAAGAAAATGGACACTATTATAATGGTATAAGAAAATGGAGAGAGGTAAAATTTATTAAAATCCTTCAAATTAATACTCACTCGGTTCTACAGGAATTTGAACTCTTATTAATTAAATTAATTTATATTTATTAAATATATTTTAATTTAATAATTTTTATAAAAAATAAAAAAATATTAATTATTATGAGACAAATAAAAATAAAAATAATATTAATTACGGTGGAAATACATACTTTTATTTGAAAAACACTCTTAAAAAGAGAAAAGAAAAAAAAAACCAAACAAAAAAACACTCGAAGCCGAAACGAAGAAAACTACACCCCTTTTAGGGTTTTTGCTTTCCCTCCAAAATAATATCGCAGATTCGGTACTTCCCCAACGTTCCCTCCAATTTCGCTCTTCGTCGTCCGCATCGTCACTTTTATTTTCACTACGGTCGAAATCAACCACCATTGTTGTTCTGTGCTGTGCTGAGTGCTGTGAATTCTTAGATTAGATTTTATTTATTTTTTTAGTTTCAATTGTTTTTGGATAGTTTTAAAAGATAATTCTTTTCATTATTTCCTTTCGCGTCCTTAGCGGATTCGAGGGTGATAAAGATAATGGGTCTCTGGTTCGATGACGAAAACCGTTCAGATTCAAGGAGGAAGAATTCGAGTGTGGATATAAGAGAAATGGAAACACAACGAATTGACAGTCAGTATATCCCGGCTAGGCTTCTTTGTTTCCTTATATGCTATTGATTATGTTTTGATATTGCATTTGTACTTTCTTTTGAGCCGCTTAGCGCTGAAAGTATATGAGGCCTTTTGATTTTCGGTGTCATTTAGGGTTCTTTTCGATAAATATATCTATGTTTTACTTCTCATAAATAAAAATGACTCATCTTTTATATCTTTTGACGATAAATAATGTGCTAGGAGACATTTTGTTTATATTTTTAGGATATTAACTTTGCATAGCATGATTGGTAGTTTGTTGCCAAATTATGTATATAAAAGGATCGGTTGCTAGAGTTAGCTCTGGTGGTTAATATGAATCTTGTTTATCTAAGACTTGGCACATGTGCACAAAATTGCTTGCTTTACTTTAGGGTTTGTGATTGAAATGACAGCCCATTATTGAGTGAAAAATCCCCTTACTGTTAAGCTTCTTTACTTTCTTTTATTTGTGGCCTCACACATCAAATTAATCTTCAAAGGAGACAAGTCTTGGGCAGTTTAGTGCTACTTTGAATCACCTAAAGTTTTTATTGAGTGATAGTTCGTAATGTGGTGATTGAGAAATACAGGGTTCATTTTCACAGGCTTTCTAGCACTAATTAGTAAAGGAGTGTTTTCTTGTTTTCGTAACTGCTAGGTGATGATGTGGAAGATGGTGAGCATGATAATTTTCTTTATCTCTCCGATACAATGCCTATTGATGATGCTTGCTCAACGGAGAATTCTCTTGAAGCCCAATTCGGGGATCTTGCAGGGGAAACCCAATTGGTGGACCCTGTGGATGAAACTGAATTGGCAGATCTTGAGGGTGAATCTCAATTGCTGGATCTTGCAGGAGAGACCCAATTGTTGGATCTTGTTGATGAAACTCAAGTTGTTGATGATCCTGATTGTGTGGAACATATGCCACATGAGTTTTTGGATGAGATTACTACGAAAAATAGTATGGAACAGTGTGAGACCCAAGTATTATCTCAGAATGGCAATGATAATATGGATGCCTGTATTTCTGCCACACTGAAGGACAGAGTGGACAATCAACCTCCTAAAGATGGTTACCATATTTGTATGACACCATCCAATACAGTCGTCAATTCAGAGCATCATTCAGGTACTTTCTGTTTCTATGATGTCTCATTGTGATTGTGGTTGTAGATGTGATTTTTATATGTACTTTTAGCCTACATATGCTCCCATATTTTGACACTACTACTCGCGATTATTTTTACAATGTTTCCATCTTCTCATAATTGGGGAAACATCTTTCAGGGTCAGTTTCCAAAGGATTCACCTCAGTCCGTGCTGCATCAATCAGGGCCTCTGGCTTGGCTGCCTGTGCCCGGGGATGTATTGGTATATCATTTTGCAGCAGTAAGGATAAAACTTCTGTAGAACGAAAAAAATGCAAGCTGGATAACTCATCTCCTCTGGGATATTGCTCGGAGTCTGAAAGACACCTTGGGAATAAGAAGATTGAAAACAATGGGGAGCTGAAGGATGCAAACAAATGCAAGACTGGCGGCACGGCCATGAGGAAGCTTTTCAGAGAGAATGATTATACTGATCTTAATTTGTCAGGAGATGATGTTGACCATGCGGTTGATAATCCCAACATGCCTGAGTTGCCTACTTCTGACAACTGCTTGGCTGGGTTAAGCTATGCTGATTCTCAGGAACCTGGAGAGCTATCACAAATCCATGCACTTGAGGTAGTGGATAAATTTCTTGATCGTAATGCCATGGAACTTGAAGAAGGCTTTGGCTCAGGATTTCGCAATACAGAAAACTTGAATTTCATCTCTAGTGCTAAAGGTTCTCTGAATTTGGTTAAAACTTCTATTGGCAAATGCACTGATAGAGAACACCGGATTTATGACTGGGATAATATTCGTGAAGATGATGGTGGGGGAGACTTTTTCCAGAAGAAAAAGAAGCTTTTCTTTGACAAGGGAGGTACTGAGCCTAGGAAAGGCAGGCACAACAATGCTGGAAGTGTTGAGCGCTGTGGAAATGTTGGAAATAAGGATGCACAATGCAGAAAGGATAAGTTAGGGGATACAGTTTCCTTGGATTCAAAGTTGATGCTGCAAAATCTAAGAGGAAGAGGAAAATCACTTGAGTGCAGGGATGATGTCTTTGACAAGAAATCTGTAAATAATCTGGATGAGCAGTTACAGAGGGTATCTGGGCACGATATGGCAGATAATGGTAAATGTAATGATGGTTTGGAAATGAATACTACTATTGGTCCTGATACTCAAATGGCTGCTGAAGCGATCGAGAATCTGTGTTTTGTAGTGCAGTTGGATGACAACAATAATAGTGCATCCGACAAAGGCAGACTCGCCCTGGCAAAGCAAACTACTCGAAAGAGAAAAGAGAGTGCTTCTTTGGAAGAACAGCCAATAACTGAAACATTATGCCCCACTAGGGCTGCTGTTTCCAAAGAAGCCAAACAGTCTAAGAAAATTAAGAAGAACCATGATGCAATGCCGGAAGTGGCAGAGCAGAGGAAACTGACTGGAATGGAAGCAACCTGTCAAAGATCAGCTGGGCCGAGTGATCTCAAGGAACAGCATGATGTTTCTATCCCTGTTGCTAAGAGAACAAGAAAATGCTTAGAGTTAAATAATCCAACGGTAGCTACAAATTCATTTGATCCTACGGGGGAGATAAAGGATTTGATGAGTTCACCGATCCTCAAGAAAAAGAGGACAGGTGCCAATGTTAGAAGTGCCAGAATTGTCACCATTGAACAACTTAAACGGATCGGTTTAGCTGCACATAATCAATCAAAGAAAAGACTTTTTAGTACTGTCAATGCTTTGAATGTTGATGTCATGGACAACGGACAAGGAAAAAAATCTGAACAAGAAATTTTGACTGTTGGAAGAGCAATTGACACCTGTAGTGGAGAATTTGAAAGACCCAGAGTTGCCCCGAAAAGTGATAATGAGAAATCTGGTGAAAATACAAAAGGAAATAGCAATCTAGAAGCATCGCCGAGCACTTCTGCTTGCAGAACACCTGCTAGTTGTGTGAAACCAGTGAAAAATGTTTCTCCAATTTGCATGGGCGATGAGTATCTCAAGCAGTCCTGCCGAAATAGCCTATCTAAAACGTCCCTTATTAAAGAAATTGACAGCTTGGCAACTCCTTTACCGGGACATTATGACAGAACAATAGAGTTGAGAAAGAGGAAAGACATCACACAGGTTAAAGTCTTGTTTAGTCAGCACTTGGCAGATGATGTTGTCAAGCAGCAGAAGAAGGTATCACCGTTTTCATTTTCTTTTTTTATTGATTGCTTTTATCACCAAGTTATGGATCATATAGCTCTGGTCATGGAACAGATTTTGTGTCGCCTAGGGGGTGGTGTTGTGGCATCTATGTCTGAGGCAACACATTTTGTGGCTGATGAATTTGTTCGCACTCGGAATATGCTAGAAGCAATTGCTTGTGGGAAGCCAGTGGTTACTCACTTATGGCTTGAAAGTTGTGGACAAGCTAATTGTCTTATTGACGAGAAAAATTACATACTCAGAGATGCTAAAAAGGAAAAGGAGTTTGGTTTTTGCCTGCCTGTTTCTCTTTCTCGAGCTTCTCAACATCCGCTTTTACAGGTAAATATTTATTGGTGCATATACAAATCTTTCAATTGTTTGATTATCTCACTATCTTAGTGCAGGGACAAAAGGTCTTTATTACACCAAATACGAAACCCGGGAAGGAAACTCTTGTGAATTTGGTAAAGGCTGTTGCTGGATTGGTGAGTAGTTGTCCTCAAATTGTTTTATTTTATTTTATTTTTGTCTATGATTTTCAAAGATATGAGAATACTCTATTAATGGATATTAACACACTAATGAATGGTGATGTTGCTCTTCAGCCTATTGAAAGACTCGGAAGATCCGTATTGAATAGTGAGACGCCTCCGGACAATCTTTTGATTCTGACTTGTGAAGAAGATTATGATCACTGTGTTCCTTTTCTGGAGAAAGGTCGATTTCTTTCAACTTTTATGCATTGCTAACTTATATGGGCATACATCTCACAGGCTAACTATTGCAGGTGGCGCCGTCTACAGCTCGGAATTGCTTTTGAATGGAATTGTTAAACAAAAGTTGGAATTTGAAAGGTTTGTTCTTTGCTTAATCTTGCTCCACTTTTTATCCGAGAGATAACTTCTTTAAATTGTTAAACAAACATTGAAGCATCAAAGTTTCTTTCTTTTGTTCGTTTTTTGTTCTTTGCTTTTGCCTAATTACACATGACGATCCCTTTTAATCGATATTTTGAATGTTTAAACTACACGAATTAGTATAACTTTTTGTTAACTTGGAAAATGTAGGTCCGTTTACAAGTTTACATTCCATTTAAATGAAGATTCATAAACTGATTGATTGATGCAATTGAACCAGACTTGAGTTTGCATTTAGATGTAGGAAAACGATGATTGTTGGTTAAATTGTTTATTTCATTTTTGTCTGATTTTCTGTAGTTATGTTAGTAGACAAGGAATACCCGTTCTCATATATTATTATGGCAAAATTACTTATTATCCACCTGTGGTTTAAAAAGTCAGTATCATACATTTTTTGAAGCTCACTCATGTTTTGTAAAACAATGTATAGGATTCTTTTGTTTCAAAAAACATGTGTGTTTGGTACATAGAATTAACAGCCGATAAATGAAAATGATTCAATTTCTCTTGTTTATTTGAGTCAGAGAAATGGAAGTTGAGAATTAAATCATTTTCATTTCTCTGATTTTATTTTTCTGAGGAATGAATCTTTAGTATTATTTTTTTAATTTTATTTTTATTTTTTTTGTACTATTTAATTTTTTTATAAATTTTTAAAATTATATTATTTTAATTTTATAAAAATCACATTAAATTTATTTAATTTTTACAGTTTTTAATTTTTACAAAAATATAATTTTACAAAACATAGTATATTATTTACAATTTTTTTAAAAAAATCAACAAAAATATTTCTTCGTAAATTCTCATTCGTTAAAACTCTTTTTTTGTCCGATTAATTATTTGTCCTTGTTCGATTCATTTAGAGAGTTGTATTTTTTTAACTCTCTTTTCTATTTTAATTATTTTTAAAACTCTCTTTTCTATTTTTCTCTCTACTCATTTAGAGAGTTGTATTTTATGAACATGAATGGTGCAGACTTTTTAAATCATAAACGTAGCATAAACAATTTTGCCTAGGAAGATAAATGTAAAGTTAGACTGTTGTCAGTATATTCGATTATTCTTGTATCGCACAATTCACTGGTGTCATGTGATCTCCAGCCTTGTGTCAATGATAAACGATAAAAATGGCGTATAAGAGTAAGTAATGTGGTTCTTTTGTATGGACAGACACCTACTCTTCTTGGATCAGTTGAAGAGGACGCGATCGACGGTGTGGGTGAAGAAGAACAACAGGTATGTTGCTGCTACAAAATGCAAAGTAAAGTAAGGTTCAATGTGTTTCCATAAATCAGAATAATGTGTTTGTAGGAGTGAATAATCAATGTATGACCTTGAATATGGAATGAATCTAAGTTGTAACTTTTGCAATTTTTTCTTGTCATTTATCTGTAGCCATTTTAGTTCTGTGTTTGTCACCTTTTTTATCGCCAAAAAGATTGAAACATGTTTTGAATACTCCCTCCGTCCTAAGTAAAGCTGTTAAACGAGCCGAGCGAGCTCGAGTATTGGTTGTTCTAGCTCGACTCGAACTTATTAACGGTACAGGCTCGGCTTGTTAAGAGTTCGAGCCAAAATAGTGCATCGAGCTCGGCTCGTTAGGCTCAAATTCAAGCTCGAGTTCGAGTTCGAGCTCAGTTTGAATTTCATACCTATTATATATATATTTTAATATATAAATTAAATATATTTAATTTTATTCATATTTTTTTATAATAAAATATTTAAATTTTAATAATAAATATAAATTTTGATATAAAAAAATATATATTATATTAATATATAAATAATATAAATATATTATCACTAACGAGCTCAATTGAGCTATTCGTGAGCCGAGTTCGAACTCGGTTCGTTTGTAAAAAAGATAATTTTTGAGTTCGAACTCAATTCGTTTTTCTTTATAAACAAGCCGAGTCGAGTTATTAACAAGTCGAGTCAAGCTTAGCTCGCAAACTCCTCGATTCGTTTAACAGCTTTAGTGCTAGGGCATTGGGGGGTGAGGGCCCACGTAAAACCGCCCCCGCTTATGGGCAATGAGTAGAAGCAATCAATAATCAGATGGAATTTGGATGAACTAATGAGGACTTTTGAACTACCAATCATTAAATTGAATTACGTAATTCATTTAAAACTAATAATATATTTGTATTGGATAAGATAAGATAATAAGTAACTAACGTGTTCGATTAGGTTTCACAAAATTTAATTAAATAGCTTCAGTTGTACTTTTGTATGCACATACATGTCCAATGACTAAGGGTGTATTTGTTGGTACTAATTTAATATAATCAGAGGCTAATAGTGCAATAATATATTAGATATAAATTTACATTATATTTTCCAAATGTATTTATCATCCAAAATAAATATTGATGTAATTAACCACAAATCAAAGCACAATATGAACGAGCTTTTTGGAATTTTATAGTAAATTAAAAAATAATACTAATATTTTATTGATCAGTGAGAATGTATAAAATGGTTTTGATATTCTTTTTATTTGTACTTTTGGTTTGTTTTTTTGTAATTTCAAATTAGAATAACACTATTCATTTTATACATTTTTCAATAAAAATATACTTCTTCTGTCTCGTCGTGTTCCGTTTATCGTAGATATGCGAATTTAGTAGGGGTATAATTAGTAAATAATTAAGAATGTATTAATAAAAATAATTATCTTATAATAAAAATAATTTTAGATTAAGATAAACAATTAGTCTAATTAAAATTTTAAAAAATTATAAATCAAAAAATTTAATGCGTGAGTAAAGTTTATAATTCTTTTTTTTTAAAAAAATGACAGAATAAGTGGGACTGAAATAGAAAGATGGACATGGTAAGTGAGACGAATGAGGTATTATTTTTCTCATAAAATATCATATCAAATTACTGTTTAAAAAAAAACTCAAATTAACGCTCTATTTCAAATCAATTTCAAACCATAACCAAAGAAAAAGTCATTGCATGTGTAATGGTATATTTGTAATTTAAGTAAAAATTAAATAATAGTATTTTAATATTAATATTTAATTAATTTTACTATCATAACAAAGAGATACTTAACTCATTTAGCTTATCAACCAAACAAAAAATATTTTTACAGCTCTACATTTATTTTCATTAAATTTCATTTTCAAGACTATCAGATCCAAAAATTTGGTGCTTCATTTAATAATGAAATTTTCATTTCATTCATTCAATAAATTAATGAAATAAATATATTTATAATAGTAGTATTTGTTAGCTATATATGCAATAATGGGTTATCCTCTCATGGTCCATCGATCTTTCTTACCAATCTTTATAATTTAATTCGTTACTTGTCACACAATCTAATTTATATAATAATTTTCGAGATCAAGAGTGTAAAAATAATAATGTATTTCTAGGTCTTGCCAAAAGAAATAAATATTAATTTGTATTTAAAACATAAATCAAATACATCGAAGATTTTGGTATACCCGAATTTTATTGTATCAAAAAAAAATATTGAATTTATCGACAAAGTTTCAGGTTGTAGTACAATTTTTATTTTTATTTTTTATTTTTACATATTGGTATACTATTTTGAAATCTTAGGTATACCGTATCATACCGGTATATAATTTTATTTTTATATGCATTTTGGTAATATATATTTTTCCGGTATAATGTTGGAAAAAAAATTTATATACCAAAAGAACTTCTATACAATATTGATATGATTTTTTTGCAGATTTATTAGTCCAAATAAAAAGAAAATGACAAAATACATCTATTAGTCTCTTATAATACTAATACAACGATATTTGTGGAGTAAATTATACAAATATAAAGATAATTCTAATCTTAAATAAAATGGCGCAAAAACATGTGTTTACTTTCTAATTGGACGGAAGTAGGATTACATTATTCAATTCAATCATTTTATTTCAAAAATAAAATATAATCATCCAATATTCATCTTATTTTATGTAATATCATACTTTTTTTCCTTTGTACTGAAAATATTATTTTTATTATTTATGTTTGCCTAACTCAAAAATATTTTTTTTATATATAAATTACAGATATATAATTATACATACAATTAATTACATAATGTACAAAGATAAAAATGTCAAAATCATCCTATACACTTTTACTATCAATAAAATGAAGTATTATTTTTTAATATATTACAAAATTCCAAAAAAAGTATTTAGATTAAGGGTATGTGTCTTTTGATGGGTTTGACAAAATTTTGATTTGTGTTAGATATTAAAAATAATGAATGATGAGATATTTTGTGAGAGAAAAAAATGTACTATCTCCGTCCGGCTCTAAAGGTCCCATTTACTTTTTTGCGTATTGATATTTGAACATTAATTATTATATCAAAACGTAGTACAAATTAAAAAAAAATTGCAAAAATACTTCCATTAACGTCTTATAATATTAATAGAATGATATTTGTAAAAAAAAAAAAAATTATACAAATAAAGTAGATTTTTAATGTTAAGTACAATGACGAAAAAAGTAAATGTGACATTTAAAAGAGGACAGTAGCCATATATGTTTTTCTAAACAAAAAAAACAAACCCTAAGACTTGTGAAAATTCCAACCAAACACATCAACTAAAACCAACACAAAACATTAATGAATCCATTTCTCTATATATATACTTAATTTCACAACCACAAATTAAATTGCACACACAACACTACCTTGAGTAATTAATTGATTTTATTTTAGTTAATATTATTATGGCCACCACCGCCACGGAAACAGCTCCGGCGGCGGCTCCTCCGGAAGAAACTCCGGCAGCGGCGGCTCCGGAAGAAACTCCGGCGGCAGCGCTGCCGGAAACTGCAGACACAGCTGCAGCAGCCTCGACGGAAGCTTTGGATGTAGAGAAGGCTGAAGAAACAACGGCTGATGTGCCTACGGCGAACAAACTTTCCGATGAACATTTCTTTGCCATCGCCGACATTGTCTTGAGGTTTTTACTATTTTCGGCATCTTTGGTGGTCGTCGTGCTTTTGGCGACCGGAAAGCAGACCAAAGGCGTCCCGACTCCGGCCAAATTTGAACACTCGCCGTCACTCATGTAATTTGAGTTTTTCCTTTTTCACTTAAAATTTTAAACTGATAAAAAAAATGCATCATTATTTATATATTACTGATTTAATCTAGTCAGCATATATAATTAAAACTGACAATCACATCTTTGCTATAGTACATGATATAATTTCTAAATGGACAAACGAGTCGATTTTGTGTTAATCGAGTCGAGTTCGTGTCGAGATATTAATGGATTAACGGATCATTTTCGGATTAGTCAGGTTCGGGTAGGGTCTTTTGACCCGTGTAAGTAAACATGTCGATTTTGGATAGGACCATTTAACCTTTTTAAAAATTCAATCCGACCCAACCCGACACGACTCCCTGCCAGCTCTAATTTTATTTTTTTAAGCTGCAAAACCGGACCAATAGTAATACATTGGTTGTGTTTGATTATAATTTTAAACTGAAATCAATACTATTCATTTCGATTCTCAATAAAAATATACTACTCTGTATTATTTTTTATTTTCATAAAATATCGTATCAAAATAATTTTACTATTTAAATAAAAATTTCAAATCCACCCCACATTTTAAATCAAAATTTTAAACCACAGTCAAATAAACATTTGTTATTTTTATCGGTAGATCTTGCATTTTCGAAGCTCTAATAAAATTTTGTACAATTTTTTTTTTTTTTTTTTTTTTTTTGAACAGATACGTTGTAGCAGCATTCTCGGTTGCAGGTCTCTACAGCATTATCACATATCTCCTCTCGCTTTATGCCATACTAATAAAGCCAGGATTTTGTCCAGAAATTTTGTCTCAATTCATCATATTTGATGTGGTAATAACATTACTTAATTAAATAATTAATCTCTTATTATTCTATGTTTAACAAATCATTTAACTTTAGGGTAAACTATTTTTTTAGTCCCAACCTTCTTATCATTTTAGTCCTGTAAGTGGAGTCTGTTGCAAACTAGTCCCATAAGTGAAAATATTTTGTTGTTTTAGTCCTCCGGCGCCGGAGACGCCTGCTTGGCTCGCCGGAAGCTATGTGCCCGCCAGTTACGGGACAAAAAAATAATTTACTCTTAATTTTAATGTTAAAAAATTGTGACATAAAAAGGTATACATTTAACCAAGGATCGGAGAAAACAAACATCCCCTGAATTAACCATTTTTTTAATATAAAAATAAATTGAATTTAAATATAGAAGAAATTTCATTATTTATGTTTTAATCTAAGTATATAGAATAGCTTATACATATTTAATTACACAACAAACTTTGATTTTGCTAAAAAAATATGCACACAACTCATATTTTGTGCATAAATATATACACTGTTTTGATTAACACAAATAGTTTTGTACTAAAATTTAAACATATAATATTACATATATTTATGTTAAAAGAGAGAGTTTGTTTTGAAAAAAAAAAATTCCAACACATTATTCCAAAAAAAAAAAAAAACTAATATAATACACATCTTCCTTATTTTTATATTACCTACACAATTTCTTATACCTCACATAGAATTTTTTTCTTCAAATCAAAACACAAAACAAACAGTTGCCGATATAATTTATTTAAGCATCTAAAAGAAATAAACATATATGTATATATATATTAAAAGAACTTGAGCAACAACAAGGCTAGGTTTATATAACATTTTTTTAACTTTTGAATCATAAGTAATATTTCAATACAAACGTAACATTATTTTTTTTTTCTTTCACAAAATATTTCGTCAAATATTTAATTTTTTTATTATTCATAAAAAAAATTTAAAATTTCTATGTAAACGGAGCCATTACTTACAAGAATAAAGGAATTGTTCATTCCTCAGATACTGCTCGGAATTGTAGCCGTAGCGACCGGAGCAATAGGAACAATCGGGTACCTAAGTCTTAAAGGAGATTCCCATGTCGGTTGGAAAAAGGTTTGTAGCGTTTACGATATCTTTTGCAAACATGTCAGTGCTTCTGCCGGTGTGTCTGTATTTGCAAGCGCCGTGGTTGCGGTATTGGTGTTATTCTCGATTTTCGCCCTATTGAAAAAGGTCCCTAAATAGAGGGATCAATATAATGTGTCCCGAAGTAGATGACCGATCAATCGATCGATCGATCTCGGCGTAAACATCATTTCTTTGTTGAATTTCTACGCTCAAAATTGTTATGTATAGTGAATTGTGTTTGTTTCACAAGTTTGTAATTAATTTTCATGGGAAACAATTTGTTTGTACGATGTAATTTGTGTATATTTGGTTGTGGATTATTTGTGTGTTTGTTTGAATCTTGTATATATGACTATATGTATTGTCAATTGTTGGTCATCTTTAAATTTGGGGACAATTGCAAATTTTGTTTTTTTTTTATACGAGATAAATTATTATTTTTAGATATGCATATTTTTTTCAATTTTGTATTTTAGAACAATATATTAATCTAAACTTTAATTTTGTTATCCGACACTGAAAAATGTCATATGATCTTATGTGGCATTGCCGGCACTATAGGCACAGTCGGAGCTGAAGTAAATGCTAAGCTCAGCATCCACTCAGCGCAAACAATGTCAAATATAATAACGTGTCTAGCGTTGGAGGACAAAATTAAAGCTTACTATTTAAATAGTGTCCTAAAATACAAAATTCAAAAAAATAAAAATAAAAATAAAACATGGAAAAATGATAATTTACCTCAATATATATAAGACATAATTTCTAATTCATATTCACTCTATAGGGTAATCTTTTGATGTCATTATTGTATAAGTCGAGTTGATTCTATATAATGTATATAATAAATATATTAATATGATCTTTTGATATTATTACAGTAATACTCCCTCCGTTCCATTGGAAGGTTGTCATATTTCATTTTCGTCTGTCCCAAAATAAGGTTATCATTTCTTAATTTAGTAATTGTACTACCTACTTAACATAATAAATACCCTTCCAACTTACACTATATTATACAAATGTCATTACTTTTATATAACACAATACTAATAGGGGTATTTTCGTCTTTTTCATTATAACCCATTATAATACTAATATTAAAAAATTTACGTGCAAAAAGTAAACGGCAACCTTGCACCGGGACGGAGGAAGTATATTAATTTTATATATTATATAAATATATTATCATCAACAAATTTAATTAAGTCACCCACGAGCCGAGCTTCATAGAAAAAATAATTTTTTACCTTGAGCTCAGCTCGTTTATCTCTATAAACGAATTAGGCTGAACTATTAGCTCGAGCTCCATTCGATTATAGAAAAAATAATCTTCAAATTCAAGCCCAACTCGTTTATCCCTATAAATAAATTGATCACAAGTTGTTAACTAGTCAGATCGAGTTGAACTCGCAAACTACTCAAATAGTTATATAAACATCTCTTAAAAAGAAATTAAAAAAAAATCTAATTGACAAAAGCCTATTGTTACGCACAAAAAATAATAATAATAATAAAAATAAGGATAGCAGGATCTTAAAGGAAGTTAGACACAAAGTCGGGTGGAAAAGAAAAAAAATTTGCGCTCAGGTCGGTTGGGTAGGTCGGTTGGTCCTCGGTCAGTTGGTACGGTCGGTTGGTCCGCAGTCGGATAAGCAGGTCGGTTGGTCCTCGGTCAGATAGGCAGGTCGGTTGGTCCTCAGTCGGTTGGTCCGGTTGGTTGGTCCTCGATCGGATAGGCAGGTCGGTTGGTCCTCGGTCGGATAGACAGGTCGGAAGGTCTGCGGTCGGATAAGCAAGTCGGTTGGTCCTCGGTCGGATAGGCAGGTCGGAAGGTCTGCGGTCGGATAGGCAGGTCGGTTGATCCTCAGTCGGTTGGTCCGGTTGGTTGGTCCTCGATCGGATAGGCAGGTCGGTTGGTCCTCGGTCGGATAGACAGGTCGGAAGGTCTGCGGTCGGATAGGCAAGTCGGTTGGTCCTCGGTCGGATAGGCAGGTCGGAAGGTCTGCGGTCGGATAGGCAGGTCGGTTGGTTAGCGGGTCGGATGGTCCATAGGTCGAAAAAGTCTGCAGGTCGGATGGTCTACAGGTCGGGAGGTTTGCGGCTGGACCAACAAGTCGGAAGATCTGCGGTCGGACCAACAAGTCGTTTGGTTGGGGCGACCATTGAATCATCTGGAAAGACCAGAGGGTGGTCGTTTGATGAGGCGACCAAGGAGTCGTTTGGTCTAGCAACCAGTTAGTCTCTGATTTGGTCGGACGGGTTATGCGGTTGGCGAGGCGGTTGATGTAACCGACCAGATGACGTTTCAAAACGTTTCGTCTTGGGCGGTTGACGGCGGTTGCTGGCGATGGTTCCAAAACGTCTTTTCAAAGAATATTTAAGGATTTGGATCAACAACTGACAATCATCTTCAATCATTTTCAAACGACATCAAAGTCAAGAGATTCGGGGATCACCACTTTAAATTCCAGTCTTTTATTTTCTAGTTTTTATTTATGTATCTGTATAGTGTTTAGAGATTCCTAATCTCATGCACTAATTAATCAAGTTCGAAGATAAATTTCTATTTTCGAATTTTACTTTTTGTTTGTTGAAAAACTACATCAACACCTATAAAAATTCATTTGAAAAAAATAAAAATAAAACCACACTAATATATATATATATCACCGATAGCTAAAAATTTGTGTTATTGCAAATTGCATACAAATCCACGGGGAATTTCATTTGAAAATCGATGAGTAGAATTTTATAGGGAAACGATCAGATATAGCAATTTTGTGTAGTTGTAGACCTTGAGTAGTTATCATAATTATTTATACTCTTTTTACTGGTGAGTTTCCAGGTCGAACACAAGGATTTTAAGTCATGAATTTCAACGGTGAAAATCTTGGAGAAAACGACGAAAGATACAAGAAAGAATCCGCTTGCAGCGGATCCGAAATTTAACTACTGAAAGCGGTAAATAAAGCAGTAAAGATGAGGTGAGCGGAAACGAGCGAAGCGAAAGCGAGAGATGGAGTGCCTCTGGTAACCAGATGATCGGGACATGAGCGGAAGTGAGGACCAGATGATCGGGGCATGGATGAATCGCGGTTACCAGAGGATCGGGGCATGAGTGAGCGGCACATTATATATATATATATATGTATATGAGCGAATTAGAGTGAAGGAGAGGTGTTGTATCTGATCTGTGCGTTACTAAATTGATAGGATTCCCTGGATGTAGTGAGCGAATGATGTAAGTGTGTTATCGGAAGAGTATATGTATATTATGGAAATGATGGGAGAAATGTGTTGTAATTATATAAACTAAATTTTAAAGAATTTATCACACTGGTATTTTTGGCCTGGGGGATTTACAACAAGACTTCAATGACACCCAGAATTAAGACATTATAAGAAAGAAACCCTACTGTCACTAGGAATTTCTGCGACCTAATAGACACTGTCTATGTCCTGTTAATTTTCCCAATTTCTGCCTCATTAGTGGCTTTACCCCCTGATGTTACTACTATTTAATCAAAATCGAATTTAGCACAGCAGTTAAGCAGGTCGACAAGGCTCCCACGTACTTAACTGCATTGAACTACCTTGAGACCGCTTTTGGCGCATAACAAGGCTTAGATAATAAATTCTTCTCTCGTTCTATACCAGTGAAATGAAAATCTCTAAACTTGATTTATATAAATATGGAAAAGTGTGAAAGAATTTTGTTTGAAGAAGTAAATGATATTTCTTTATATACTATGAAAGCGTGAAAGATTAGAACTACAAAGCTGTAAATGAAAGCAGTAATCTAATCTAAGAAAGCAGTAAAGACGTGGCCAAGGGAGAGGGAAGACCCCTACTCCCTTGGCCATTCATGTGGAGAACTCCCTTACAGGGTTGGAGCTCTCTGAAACAGGAAGACGACGAATGCTAAGTATGTAGAAATCCAAAAATTCGATTCTTTACATAAAGATATCTGACCCTATTTATAGCAGGTGTAAAGAGACGGTTGCAAGTAGCTGTTAGGCAGTTCTAACCGCTGGGCAGTTAGGCAATTGCTGGTAGTTATTCTGTTGAAGCAGTTGCTGGCCATAACTCCCAGGGTGCTCGCTTCGCTTGCGTTGAAGGTTAAGGGCATAGATTTTCCTCGCTTGTTGGGGAGCTGGAGGGCATCAGCGCAGCTTGACTCGCTTGTGCTGGCTAGAATTTGAATGGCTGTCCCGCTGCAGCTGAAGTACTTAGTTGAAATCTGGTGATAGTCTGCAGCGGTGGGTATCTGGACTGTCGCTTGCAAGCGGGAGAGGTTATCGCTTGCGGGCTGTGACGGTGGCCGCTTGCCTCTCATGCCTTAGTATTTCCAAGGTGTGCTCTGGGCGCTTGCGAGCGAAGGTGGCTGTCGCTTGCGGCGTCTGACTTAGCTTTTCTGGTTTCAGATTACCGCTTAAGAAGGCGAAAATCGTTAATAATCTCAACAACGAATTCTGGATCATGCCTAGTGATATAAATCAATATTGTATGCCGATTACGAATTATTTTGATGGTTTTTATGCAGAAATTCGAGTAATACACATTTTTGTCAAGCTAAGAATATGCTAAATTTTGGAGTCATCAATCACTACAACATGATTATTATTGTCCTCAATACATGAATACAACACAAACAATAAATAAAAATGGAGAGACGAAATCTAGCCGTACATCTTTAGAATTCAATTATCCGGCGCCGGCGCCGGCGCCGGCCGTTCTTTGAAGGGTAAAAACTCCGACGAGCGCGACGATGACAAAAGCAACGCAGGCGGCGCTAGATAGGCCGACGGCAGCGCCCCCTTGGTGGCAGAAACGGTTGTAGACGGTGCAGACCTCCTCCCAGCCGAGGCGCTCGACCCCTTGATAGGCGATCAATCCAACGGCCACGGTTGCGCCGAGGCTGGAGAAGAGGATCGCCACGACGGCTACGTCGAAAACCACGACGGCTGCCACAACTCCCTTGTTACGACCTCTATTGATTAACACGACGATGGCCGAGATGATGGCGTACCCGGATGCTAACGCGTTCGCCACCAAAAAATAGCTGGAAAATATTCGACATTCAGTAAATTAAGAAGTATTTTATTGATTAATGAAAATATGGAAGATAAATTTGATGTTTTTGTCTTTAAAATATAAAGGAAATGGATATTTTTGTAAAAATTATGAGTATTTTGGTATTTAGATATGATTACTTTGACTATAACTAAAAAGAGAGTTTTTTTAATAAGACGTATGAAAATGGTAAAAAAAAGTACATATGAAGCTATTTTTGTTTCGAATTTATTTTTTATTATTCAATCCTCAAATATTCTAACACGGTAATGGCCGAGATGATGGCGTACCCAGATGCTAAGGCGTTTGCCACCAAAAAATAGCTGACAAATATTCACCATGAATTAAAAAATAATACTACCTCCGTTCACCGTCAATCTATTTATTTATTTTTTACATGTTAATATTTGAATATTAATTATTATATCAAAATATAGTATAAATTAAAAAAAAATGACAAAAATACTTATATTGGTGTCTTATAATACTAATGCACTGACATTTGTAAAAAAAACTTATACAAATATAAGAATATTTGTAATGTTAAAAACAATAATGCTAAATGCAAATAGATAAATTGGCGATGGACGGAGATTTTGATATTTTTATTTTTATAATATAAAAAATAATGAATATTTTTGTAAAGATTGTGAGTATTTTGATACTTCCTCCGTCTCGTTTCTGTCCGTCTCACATCTTATGTCACTTTCATTTTTTGGAAAATAATTACTGATCTTAATTTCATTTTAAATTTATTAGTTTAATATTTTTTAATTTTAATTAAACTAATTAGTTATCTTAATTTTAATTTATAATTATTTATATTATAGGATAATTGTTTTTACTAATACATTATTAATTATCTAATAATTATACTTATCCTAAATTTTCGTATTTACAGTAATACATACTTCCAATGTGGGACGGAGGGAGTATTTAGTAATAAATATTTTTGTAAAAATTGTGAGTATTTTGATATTTAGATATGATCACTTTTTAGTCTTTTGCTATAATTGAAGAGACTTTTAAATCATAATAATAATAATATAATTATATTATTATTATTATTATATTCAATCTTCATTATATTTATAGAGACGTACTTTTTTCATCAGTCAATTTTTTATTTTTTTTTGTTTTACTTCATTATTATATTTAAAAATGTCAAAAAAATTGTATTTTCTTTTGTAATTATTATTTTTATTTAATTTACCAAGTATCGTCACTATTATTGTTTAACAAAAAATGTAAGCACGATATAAAAATGTAAATGCATACACAAACCAAATATTATATTCATATTTATTTTTACAAATATTTTCACATTAAAAATAAAATAAAGCAAATCTAAAGGGTGTGTTTTGTGGAGTTTGTTTGTTTATTTAGTATTAATTTGAATATGATATTTTATAAAATAAGAAGTATTATACTTTTGTGAAAAATCACATGGTTAAATAGTATATAAAAAAAAATTAAAAAAAATTAAAAGCACACATCCAAGTAAACCCAACAAATATATTTGTTTAGTATTTATAATTTTACATGTTCTTATTGTAAGGAATAAAAAATTAAGAAAGTACTCTAAAGTATTTGATATAATATTATATATATATGAATGGAAAATAAGTAATGAACTAAAAAAATCAAAATGTATTCATTTGGCAAATTTTTCAAATTGTTACTATTCATAACAAAATTTTATCTCAAAAATATCAAATCAAATACTTAATTTTTATTTTTTTTTACTTTTTATATTATACTAAAAAATCAATTTTATATTCAAAACATCACATTATACAATTATTTCAGCTTAAAATCAAAACCCTCGAACAAACACATTAATATATACATATGTTAAGAAATAAATTAAAAACAAAAATCAAGAAAAAAAAAATTTCTTTGGCAAGTGTATTTCTCTAAATATATACATACATATTATTCAACTTTTACCAATTTACATAAATATATATATATATTGGCTTTATTTACGTAACACACTTTCACTCATTTAGCACTATTTATTTTTAAAAATACTCAATTCGTCCAAATACAATAGTCTAGTTTACCATTTTTTTTCTATCTCAAAACAATAGACTCATTTCCATAAATAATCATATCACTGTAAAATTATCCCTACTTTTTCATTATTATTACACAATTCCTACTACTTTTTACACTAATATAATCACAAGGGCAAAAAAATTATTTATTCTTACTTTTTATCCGCTACGAATATAATATCAATATTTCTTAAATCTCGTACCCAATAGAATAAGATTATACTTTTGGAACGGAGGTAGTATCACATTAAATACATTTTTACTCTCATATATCATCAAATCAAATAGTAATTTTTTATTTTTATTCTTAAAATTTTTAAAATTTCAAAAATTTTCAAAAACCTCTATCTAAACAAAGCAATTTATATTTAAATTATTATTGAAATAAAATTAAAATGACATGTATACTTACAAAAGAGCAGACAAATAATGCCACTTTGCAGAGAACGGAAAACTGAAACCGGGGAAGCCGGGGACGACGGCGATGTCGACCTCCGTCGTCTCCCTGTCGACGCCGATCACCACCGCCGCCGCCACGCAGAGCAGCACCGCCAGAACCCTAAAAACAAAATCACATGCTGTGATCATTTTAATTAATTAATTAAGTAATTTCCTGATGATACGATGATGTACGATCACAACATACATACGTATTTAATTTCTCACACACATATGTATATATAACTGTTAATGGAAATTAAATTAATTAATTAATTAATTAATTAATTAATCTGGTCAATGATTAATTTGTTTGACTAGTGTAATAAAAATGTGTATATATATAGGTGGAGTTACATACACATTCAATTTAATTCAATCCAATAATAATAATAATAATAATAATGAGTGTAGGAATTATTACGTAGGGTGAGGTTGGGAGATAATTAATTAATTAATTATAATCGTTTATTAATTTTTTAGTATTAATTAAAAGATTATGCATAATTATGTAACGTATAGAATATATATAAATTGTGTCAAAAATAAATTGATTTGACAAACAAATTGAATTTAATTGCCGATGTTAAATAAATGTACTAGGATACCTCGTATTTGAAATATTCATGATTTAAAACCATTTTTTATTTTATTAAATGCCACTATGCTAATTTGATCGAGTAAATACATTAATTTCAAGCAATATACGTTCAAATACAAGACAAATAATATAATGATGTGTTATAGAAATAGCTTATATATTGTACTGTACTGTATAATTATATTTATTGTCTAGAAAATTGATAGTATATTATGGTGTATGTTGTATTATCATATATTGTAAGATATATATATATATATAATTGTATATTATATTACCATATATTGTTATTTATGTATTGTCTACTTGGTATATCATTTATTTAAGTATTTGTAATAACATAGCATTGAATAGTATTCAATTTGAAATATCAAGATGAGTGCATTTGAAATCCATGTGTGATTCTATAGATTTCAAATTCAATGCTTTTAAATACACTGTTCATCTCATTTTTTTTTCCGAAAACATCGAATCAACATCTATTTTTTATTTTTTATATTACACTAAAAATTAATTTTACATGTAAAATATCACATCAACACATATTTATATCATATCATACAATTATTCAAATTCAAAATTTTTACTATTCAAATCTCAACTCAAAATCCAAACCCTTAAACAAACACACTTATTTTCTTGAAATATAAAGATATTTCTTGGATAATATAGTACATGTATATAGATAGAGAAAAAGAAAAAGACATCTATGAAGTTATAGAAACAAATTCATAGGAAGTATGTATGTGTGGGCAATTTGATCCCATATTTCCTAAATATTTTCACAAACTTTACATAATTAATTATGCGCGCTTTGGCTCTCGTGTTGATTGTGTCAAATTCAGTATAATTCAATAATTAATATATATATATATATTAATATATAACACATATTTCGTTTTTGTGAGTGTAAAATTATGAGTTCAAAACTCGACTCATGCTGATCAAATTAGCAGATTAACCGTCGCCTTCAATGTGATATTTATCTTACATTAAAATATTTAGAATTCTCAAACAACCAAAATAATAAGGGCTATTATTGAATTAATGATTACAAACCAAAATAATTGTTAGGGTTGTTTCATATGGTTTAGATTGTCTAATATAGACTTATTATGCACTTAACTTTAATTTGCTCTTGAGACAAAAGTCTTCATTGGATCAGGGCCCCCATTTTAATTTCTTTAAAAAATTAAACCACTTATTTGTGCTAATTTAATGACACTTTGAATTTAATTTAATTATATATATATATATTATAGTTTATAATCAAAATTGCAACATTAACCCATTACATTTAGTGCAATTGCTGAATAGTACATGTTATAGACTTGACTCACACTTATGATGTCACAGAATAATAATAATTTTAAATTAATCCAATCAAAAAATTCTTGCAGTTTCAATAAAAATGCATTATTACCATGCAATTTTATATTTTTGTTTAAAAACATCACAATTTGGATGAGCCAATAAAATGCCAAAAATACTAGGGGTGAACAAAATATCCAAAATCCGAAAATTTGATCCAAACCAAACCGAAATTTAAAATTTGGTTCGGATTTTCGAATTGGTTCGGATTGAATTTTTGACAAATTTCGGATTTTCGAATCGGATCGGATCGGTATACTTAAAATTCGAACCAATCCGAAATCCGAAATATAATATTTTAATATATTTTTTATTATATATATTTAATATTTTATTAGAAAATATTATATTTTAATATAAAAAAACTCAAAATTATTAATTATATTTTAATATATTTACTTTTATATATTATATATATTTAATATTATAAAATAATAATAAAATATAGAAGAAATTTACAAATTAAAAATATTTAGAATTTCGAATTTTTCGGTTTGATTCGAATTTTTTAGTTCGAATTTTGAATTTTCAGATTTTGATTATTTCGGTTCGATTCGAATTTTCAAATCGGTTCAGATTTGATAAAATCCGAACCGAAAATCTGAATGCTCACATCTAAAAGTACCCGACAAGATCAACCAAAGGCCAAATTTACAATAATTATTAATTTATATAATAGTCCTTCCATCGGCTTAAAATATATATTGTCATTTTTTATTATTCAAACTTAAAATATTTATTTCATTTTTTTTTATAAATATGTATAGATTCATTATATATTAAAAATATTCTTACATTTAGAGTTTTATACATCATAAGAGTAAAATAATATTTATTAATATTAATATAAAAATAAATATTTATATTCTAAATAGCATAAAGAATATATATTTAAAATCCCATTTATAGCCAAGCCACCAGGCCCACCCTAGGCAAGACTATAAGGAGCGCCAATCAAAACCCAAACTTTAAAATAGAGCCCATTTCAATGTATAGTTGTATTAATGGGCCCAATAGACAATCTATTTACTTTATTCTTAGTTAAAAAAAAAATAATAATAATAATAAATAAAAAAAAAAAACAACTTATTGTCTTTTTTTTAAAAAAAAAAATTGCATAAAACATCTGTGTTTTATTCATTACGTGAAACTCCTTATGTTAATATAAAGTTTGTATGAAACTTTTTTTTTTTTTCAAAATTGATATTTGGTTTTAAATAAATACCTAAATTGTACAAGTTTTATATGTAAATAAAAAGTGTAAAATATTTTAAATAAGTTTTTAAATAAAATAAATAAATAAATAACTGATTAAATCATTTTTTTTATTTTTATAAAAATAAGATAACAATTTGTCTCCCAAAAATTATAAAACGAAAAATTAATCCATTATTTATTTATTTATTTTATTCAAAAAATTTATTTAAAATATTTTACTTATATAAAATTTGTGTAATTCTATACAATTTTTTTAAAAATACATGTGAGTCTTGCAATTTTAGAAAATTTTGTACATTAATTTCTAAAATGCGATTGAACCTTGCAATCTATAAATAATAGTCTTTCATCTCACTTACCATATTCATTTTTCTATTTCCTGTATCCACTTATTTTGTCATTATATTTGAAAAGAATTATTCATTTTAAATTCAATTTAAATTTTTTAAATTAATTATTTATTTTAATTTTAATTTATATTTATATATATTATACGTATAATTATTTTTACTAATATATTCTTATTAATTACTATTCTTTGTCAAATTTACTCTCATTTTCTTTTTTAGTCTGTCTACTAAATTTACCACATTACTAATTTGGCAAAGTCAACAAATCAACGTTTAACTATTATCCTCCATCCAACACTTATTTACAACAAATGTCTTCACTTTTTAAATTTCTAACTTACTTTTTCCAAAAATACCTCAAACTATTTTTTTTTTTTATTTTTATCATTTTTTTAATAAAATATTTATTTTTTTAATCCTCGTGTCGGATCTAAACGTTCTAATTTTTGCTGACGGAGAGAATATATCTTTTTTAAATTCATACGTCTTACGATAAAATAGACACCATAGCCGAAACAAAAGAAATATGGTGCGAGATATAACTCTATGGTATGTTTCTTTAGCCAAGTTTCTCCAAATTTTATTATTTCTACTTTGCGTTTTTCGAAAAAAATATATTTTTTCCGATCACAAAATATGCCATCAAACATTTTTTCATACCAACCTCAAACCAATTTTTTTCCAAACTCGTGGGAAAAAAAAAAATAATAATAATAATAATAATAATAATTTTGTTTTAATTAATGATTTAATTCCTGGTGCAGATCTGGCATAGGTGATTGGCCACCACAGCAATGGCTTCTTCCTCCTCCATCTGCATCTTCAACCTCAACTCTGCAACTCTCTTCCTCATCTTCTCCCCTAACTTCCCCACAATCGCTTCTCCAATGGCCTCCCCAATATCTTCCCCTCTATACCAAATAATACCATTAACATCATCATCATCATCATCATCATCATCTTCTTCTTCCTTCCTCGAACCAGACACATAATTAACCCTCAGACAAACCCCATTATCCACCATCATTCTTGCATCAACAAACATATTAATCGCCATTGGCATCCCCACAATCGGAACTCCAAAATACAAACTTTCCATCACAGAACTCCACCCACAGTGACTCAAGAACGCCCCGATGCTCGAATGCCCTAAAACTTCTGCCTGTGGGGCCCAATCTGTCACCACTAACCCTCTGTCCGAAACCCTATCAAGAAACCCTTCTGGAAGTGACAATTCTTCAATTAGGGTTTCCTGTTTCTCATCATCTTCCATCAATGGCGGCAGTAATCTTAAAACCCATATGAAATTAGCCTCGCAAACCAAAAGCCCTTTTGCTATTTCCTCGATTTCTTGCTTCGACAATCTGTGTTCGCTCCCGAATGAAATGTAAACTGTCGAATGTTCTTCTTTCTTGCTCAGCCATCGGATTATGTCTGAATTCTTGCTGTTCTCGATGACGTCATATTTGGGGGGTGTGACGAGGGGCCCAACGGGTAGTAACTTCTTGTCGAGGGCAGAAGAAGCGTAGGTTAGATATTTACCTTCGAAAGCTTCAGTGGTCTTCAGCAAAGCGAATTCAGTGGACAGCTTGTAGTTGAGAAAGTAGACATCTTGATCGTGTCCGAAGACATTTTTGCGAAGGAATTCGACGGCGTGATCGAGGGTTTGCCTCTCGAAATTGTCCAGACAGAGCTCTGGGAATGGGAAATTGTCGTCGTGGCGGGAGTAGCGGTGGTGAAGATAGGATCTTGTGGCTGCTCCGACGACGGAGAAATGGACGGCTGGGATGCCTTTTGAGGAAGCAGTCGTGGCCGCCCATGGCTGGAAAACATCGAATATTACCTGTTAAGTACATTAGAGAAAATGACAAAAATATCCTATTATTAGCATTGTGTAATAATATAAAAATAATAACACTTTTTCGAAATACAGTGTAAATTAAAAAAATATTTATTATTTTAGATAGATAGTTAAATATTTTAATGTGACGGAGGAAGAGGGAGTAGTATTATGTTAATACGAAACTCAAACCAATTTAATTTGCCAAACTCAACCATAAGAAAACACAAATAGTAATAGAAATTAAAGATTACCAGATTAGGGTTTAGAGTGTCGAGGATGTGCGAAAAGCTGGTTTTGGCAGTCTGGAAGGCTTTGATTAAGGGTAGAATGAGATTGGGTGGGAGATTCTTGGTGGTGTGGTAATGGGGAGGAATTAGTTGATCAATACTATTGTCTGCAGATTGTTGTTGCTGCTGCTGCAGGTGAAGCTCGATGAGGTTAATGGAGTTCTGGAGATTGTGGGCTTGCAGGAAATGGTTGATTGAGGTGAAATTAATGGGCGTGGAGCATAAGTGGATGTCGAATGATGATGAATTTCTTATTTTGTAATTGAGGAGGCGTTTGGAGAGTTCGAGGTAGGGAAATATGTGTCCGTGAGCCAGCCATGGGAACATTAGGATTCGCAGAGAAGATGATTTCTGTGAAGAAGACGACGACGACTCCATGGATGGATGGATATATGTGAAGAAGAATGGTTTGGGGTATTGGAGGAGACAAACTCTGATCTCGATTATATCTGTATATATATATAATTAGGCATTTGTCTTAAATTTTTTTATTTTAATTTATATTTACGTGCAAAAATATTCTTAGTACTCTTGGCAGAAAGGGAGTATTAAAAAAATACTTTTTGGAAGTTTAATTGAAGAATTTCAGAATTAATTAAACATTTATTTTGTGAAATAATTTTTTAAAAAGATTCTCCCTGACTTGATTTGAAATTGAATACTATACTACTTTTTAATAATTAATGCAAAAAAGCTACACGACAAACAAACAGACAACATCGTTTATATTTAAGAAAAGGTTCCTTTTCTTTTTCCTTTTTCTTCGTTTAATTTGTTAAAGAAAACGATATATAATTACCTAAGAGAACAAATTAGTTTAAATGACAATTATCATTTACATATTGAAACGTCCTTCTATTATTATTATTATTATTATCATTATTATTATTATTATAAGATTTTAATTAAAATATCTTTATAATTTTTTATAATTTATATTAAATTTTAAATATTAATTAATATTAAAAACTAACACATGAAAGGTAAATTAGATCGTATAATTTAATTTCAATATAAAAGTATATATTAATAGTTTATACAAAAGGCAACATGATTAGTTTCAACTTGTATACTTTTATTTTGTGTTTCAAATTATGTTATCAAAATAATTATTAAATATAAATATCAAATGTAATTTATAACCATCTTTTCCTTATTGCATTTAGGTCCTAATGATTTTTACCATTAAGCACAAACTATTTGGTGTTATAATTTAGGATTACAACTTCCACAGAATTAAGATAAGCAGTCATTCATAACATTGTAATATCAAATTAGATGAATATGAATAAGATGATTAATATCCACAGCACACATATATACATAAATAAATCAAGAAAATATTTGAATGAACAATGGAACAGGAAACCTTACTTGCTCAGTCTTCTGCTCAATTTTGGTGAAGATCGGCATGGTTCTGATCCGAATTCAGTTTCAAATAGTTAGTCGTCGACGACAACGGATCGCGGGACAAGACAAGATTGCCGTTGGAATCTATTCGGCTGTAACCAACCAGATGTTCATCCATGATGATCTTGCATTCGCTCGACGCATCGCATCCCATTTTAACATCGTAGTATTTCAAGTGATCGACGATGCTGTTCCCTCTCACTGATCTGCAACGCTTTTATTGTTAAATTTAAATTTTCGCCATAGTTTAGACCCAAAAAAGATCGCCAAAAATTTTTACCTGCTACAAGTCGGGTCTTCGCCCGAACCATCACAAACCTTCTCAACTGTGTATATCAAACTACCAAATCCAACATTGTAAAGCCAGACCTACAAGATGAGGATCTTATATGTAAAAGTAAATAAACAGATTCGTCGAAAAAAAAAAGTGACTAATACTATCAGCATAGTTTAGACATAATTACATCAAAGAGATCATGGGATATACAGAGTAAGTCCTGTGTCGAAGACTAAAATGGAATGATTGAATAATCGATTAGGTCTGGTTAAGGACAACGAGCATGGTGCTTGAATTAAAATTAAATAGACAGATGCATGTAAAAAATAAAATCATTACCTCCCTTGGGAAATGGCGGTATGTCTTTTGGGGAAAATAGTGGTAATAAGGCGGCAAATGAGGCACAATATCATGTCCATTTGTGACACGAATGGTATTTGGGACCATCTGGCTGTAGTAAGTAGCGAAAGCAGCATTGCCGATTCTCGGTTGCCCAAATGTCATAACCTGAACGTCCTGCTCCTTGAGGTTGATCTGAGAATCGGGTAAGGATTCCAGTGAAAAACTTAAATACAGATCAATAAATATTAGTAAATGATTGGTTCACATCCAGAGTTTCGATGGACATGAACACGCAAAAAATGCCAAACATATAAATCAGATACCAAAATCAAAACCCAAACACCCAAAATTGTTTACACCTAAAACAATATGCTTGAGTTCCTTATTCATTAACATCGATTGAACAGGCAATTGTCAGAAACATTGGAAGATTTTAGATTGACTCGAAAAGGAAAGAGCTCTTCTAGTAAAGAGAGACAGAACCAAATACATATACACACACATATACGTGTTAAGCCAAATGACTCAAATTTCATTTTAGACAATTACCCGAAGATCAAGGCCACAAAAAGCTGCCATTGCTCCGCCCATTGAGTGCCCAGTTACCATAATTTTACCATTCCCATACAACTTCTTTATTTTCTGAACAGCACTGACAATTACAGGTCGTAATGACGTGTTATGGTAAGCTGAATAGAAGCCATGATGCACCTGAAGAAAAGAGAGATCACATGAATGTCGATATCAATATTTTCTGGGGTGGAAAATAATATGAGCTTGTGCACGCACCATTGCGCCATCAACTTCAGGGTAATCAATATCAAGCTGCTTCCAGTACAAGTCTTCCACCCAATTTTGTATACTGCAATAAGAAACACACGAAGACAATAAATTCCGACAGAGACAACAGCACAAAACATAATCATAGTAGTTCTTCATCTCTTTTAAAATAAAAATTACTAATTGAACATCAGATAGTAGTGTATCTTTATTTGTGAAATAATGAATGGTAATGTAGTGAATTATGAAGATGTCGAAGATGGATTGAACCTTTTTTCTTGAGTTCCCCGAAAGGCAATCACAGTGGCATTAAGGTCGGCTGCAATACCAACAAATGCCTGTCTCAGGCAAACAATAATCCCAAATTAGGGCCTGTGACAAGAAAATTGATAATCGAAATAGAATCCACAAAAAAAATCCTGGAATAACATCTCAAAAACCTGTAGGCAGCGTTTTACGTCAACAATCAGCTCAACTACTTCAAAACCCTGGATCCAAGAACACATAGCAAAATCAAAGCCTGCTATTAGGAAAGAACTGGTATAGTTCATATAGCATCATCAATGTTGGCGCCATGACACAGTATCACCTGACCTCAGTTAAACCATCACATCTCGAGCAGGTCCAGGTGAATAGCTCTGACAAATCTGACATATATACCTAAAAATTTCAAGCATTGAACAACAGCAATCACTCAACTATGTCAATGAGTTTATCAGGAACAGTGCTACCATATATGTGAAACATCAAAATTAACTTATAAATAATGTAAATCTAAAACGAGCCAGTTACTAAGTCCCCATCCACATACAAGTGGATGCCTCTCTCATTGCAAGAACTTGTTCGATATTCCAGAATATTGACACAAGAAGCTTCATCCTATTAAACAATTTAACCAAAACTCACAGCTGATGCATATTGCACCAAAATTCTTGCGAGCTTGGGATTATATCCGGCCTCCGGCTGTTGACTCTTGTAACTCAAGTTCTGCTCTAATTCTGCAGGGAAAACGGTGCTGTAAATTTTAGAATCAAACTATAACATATATAACATGTAATCCTAATCCAGTAATATAAGTATATTATAACATATTACTAAAGATGAAAAGCCTTGAAAGAATCAAACTGAAAATCAATGGAGCTTCATTAAAGAATTAGCAAAGAGGGGTTTTGAATCATAAAATTGATACAGCAATACACAAGCCTCCATAAATGTAATAGATGACTAAATAAAATGTTCGCTCATAAAATCAATTGAACATGGAATAAGAACCCTAACCGCCATTGAAATAGCTTCAGAAATTATCAAAGCCAGAAACTTCTACAAATTCATACCTCTACCAGATGCAAGAGCAAGAGAACATAATAATACAATCCCAACGATCAAAGTATTCCTTGCCCCCATAACTGTAGGAAAGCAAAAACAATAATTACTGTCGTCCAAAGTCCTGAATCAATACAGCACCGATTCGGAACAATCACACATACAATAATTTTAAGAACAGAAGAAAAAATCAGCATATGGAAGCATACCTAATCGATTCGCCGGATTAATTCGAAGTTTCAGGAAGATGATTCCAGCGGTATATTCCGACGACCTATATAACGCCGTCGGTTACAGCATTCTGTTCGGACGGCAAGAGACTTTAGCCTGAAGAAAATGAACTCTTATTACAAAATACTACTATATATATATATATATTCTGTATTTTTTAACTTCAGTTTAGATTTAACTATTTATGGTCAATTGGTTTGGATTTTAGAAGTCGATTAAATAAAATACTATTATAATATTAAATCATTATTCTTTCTATTTTATTATATGTAGGGTGTGTTTCTGGCCGAGTTTGGGCCGGATCAATAAAATACTATTATAATTCCCAAAAATAAGGTGCTACATTTAAGTATTAAGTAGGATAATTAGTAATTAGGTGATCCTCCGTTGCTATATTTAAGTTGGGCACGATATTTTAAATGAAAAACAGTAATTAGGTGATGTGATGGAGAGAGAAGTATATATATATATATTTATTAGAATGATGTGATGGGATAAATTGTGCGGATATAGATTAAATATAATTAATTATTTTCTAATTTAAAAATATTGCATAGTGTTTTGAGACAGAAGGAGTTTAAAATTATTAATGGACCCGAGAAACACACCCTAGATATAATAAAATTATCCGGCCCAAATTTAGGCTGGATGGCTTGGGGGACAGGAGCTGTTTTTTTTTTTTTTAAATAAATTAAAATTTTTATAATATATATATATAATTTAATAAAATATATGCTATTTGGTAAAAAATAAAATATTTTATAATATAAATAAATAAAAATTTAAAAAAATATATATGTAAATAAAATATACTTTATAATTAAATTATACAAATTAATATATATTTATATTATTATACTCCCTCAGTCCCATAACAAAGTATCCATTTTTTTATTTTAGTCCGTCCCATAACAAAGTATCCATTTCCTTTTTTATTACCTGTACTTTCTACCTAACATTACAAGTACCCTTACAACTTACAATATATTACACAAATGTCATTACCTTTATATCACACGTACTAATAAGGTTATTTTAGTCATTTCTACTTTATTCCTACTATATCTCAATATAATAGTAATGTTTCTAAAATTACGTGTAAAAAGCAAATGGATACTTAGTTTCGAGACGGAGGGAATATTTATTGCTAATAAATCAATTATATCAAAACTCCTCAAATCTCAGCCGAACCTAAATACAAAAGAAACATCAAATTTTAAATTCATCTAAAAATTCAAATAAAAATAAACCCAAACTCCCTAAAGAAACACGCTCTTAATTCTCGTAAATTAATTATAATTTTGTATAAGAATGACCATGAGTTGGATAGATTTGAAATTCTACCTATTTTTTGGAGTTGAATTCAATTATTTTGACATTGAGTCAGATATAAATTGAATATTTTCTACCATAATCAAATCTTGTCGGATCTAAATTTAATGTATTAATAATATATCACTCGTTAACATATCACTCCTTTATATGAAAAAAATAAATAAATAAATAAAAACTAACTGTAACTCTATTTAAATATTTTTATTTTGATTTATTTATGTTTTAGTATAATTTAACTATAATATTTTTAAATAAAAAATATAAATAATATATGTTGATCCGGATCCAAGTCTAATTTTATGTTAAATGTTTAAGAATTGTAAATGTATTCAATATTATGGGTCTAGGTCCATTGGGTCTTATCATATACTTCCTCCGTTTTGATACAATATTCATATTTATCATTTTTGTCTTATTTTTATAAATAATCATATCACTATAAAATTATATTTATTTTTTCATTATTATTACACAATTGTCACTACTATTTACACTAATACATTCACAAGGGCAAAAATAATTTTATCCGTACTTTTTATCAACCACCAATATAAGATCAATGTCCCTTAAATCGTGTCAAATACAACCCAGACTATAATTTTGGAATATAGTTTGGGCTCGATTTGCGTATGATCTGATCTGGATATAGTATAGGTTTGATCTGGTATCGGACCTAATAATATGCAACTGATCAATTTCAAGTCCTATAGATTCAATTAATTGATATACTTAAATTTTTTCTTAACAAAAAAAATAAAATAAATGTGTATTAAAAACTTTTTATTTTTTTTATTAATTTAATTTATAGAAATAATATTTCCGTTGTCCCAGCTAATTTGTGTCATTTAGTTTAGGCATTGAGTTTTAGTTATTGTATAATTAGTAGATAATTAAAAAAATATATTAATAAAAGTAATTATGGTTTAATAAAAATATTTATATATTAAAATTAAGATGATTAAATAGTTTAATTTAATATTTTTAAAAAAATTATATATTATGAATTTTAAAATATAATTAAAGTATATAATTATATTTTTTTTAAAAAAATACAAATTATGTGAAATGGATGAAAATTAAAATAGTGGAAAAATTATGTGGGACGGAGAGAGTATAAATTTCTTCTATTTTTCTTTGAGGTCCCTTAAGTTTACCAATTTTGAAAAAATATAATTTTTAATATTAATTATTATTCTTTATTCAATACTTATCTACTGTAAGTGTCCTCGATCATCATTAATTAATACTACTAAACTTCCAAAACTACTCCCGACTAATTTTTTTTTTTTTTATTTATGTTAATAAAATATTAGTCCTTCCGTCTTGTTCCATTTACTATAGATACAAAAATTTATTACGGATATAATTACTAAATAATTAAAAATATATTATTAAAAGTAATTATCTCTTATAATAAAAGATAATTTTATATTAAGATTAAGATAATCAATTAAAAATTTAAAAAATATATATAAATATTAAAATTTTAATATGAGAATAAAATGTATAATTTTTTTAAAAAAAATAAATGAGACAGATAAAAATAAAAAGATGAATACGATAAGTGAAGCGGAGGAAATATTTTTAAAATTTTGTGCCAGACCCAAATAGACTATTTTAACTGAACCGAGGAAATAGTTTTTTTACTTATATTATGCTCCCCCATCCTACTCTTTTTGCTACTTCCACTTGTCCAAAAATAAAAGGTATTCGTTTAAATTATTTTAAAGTAAAAATATCTATCAACTAAATACTAACATATTTATACTTTTTGTCGTTACTTTTGACTCGGATGGAAGAAGTATCCATTAAAGAAAATATACATTCATTTTTTCAGGGAGTTTAATAAATATTATATTTTAATGATAGTTTATAATAATTTGTATACAAAAAATGTTTTACTTTCATAATATGTAAAGTTAATATAAACATATTGATGTAAATAAGTATAAGTGTGATATATTTGTGATATGTAGCGAATTCATACATACTTAAAATTGGAATATATATTTTCTATTTAAACAAAAATAATAATAATTACAAATTATTTTGTAATAAATTAAGAAATAATAATATTTTATTGATTAGTGGAAGTGTGTAAGAAATTTTGACATTCTTAGCCTTTGATTTTATGTATAAAATAATTGTATGTGTGTGATGATATATTTTTAATTTAAATAAAAATGAAGAATATTTAAGTATTAGTGTATGATTAATTTTTCTAAAATAAAAAAGAGATACTTTAAAATGAGACGGACAAAAATGGTAAAAATAATATTTTAAAATTTGACGAAGCGAGTATATACTTACCATATGAACATATAAAATATTGCGGCGGCTAATTCAGCACTGTATTGAACAACAAGTAAATAGTTAGCGAATAGCATACGGTGTTGTGAATTTATACCCTGAATCTTAAGATTTATCGAACAAATCTCGTATATAAAATGCGAAAATAAATTAATAACGGAAACAAAATTCAAATAAAGTCAAAATTAAACAATAGCAAAATAAGCACAATTAAGCAAAGACACATTCACGCTCAGGTTCAATTCTGTTTCCAACTGATGGATCAATCGATGGAAGACGATCCCAATTTCTCCGATGACAACGACGGACGGCGGACGGCGGCAAGGTGCGGCTGGATAGCGGCGGCGACGAGCAGAGTGCGACCTCCGTTCTCCGATCAGCTTTCTTACATCGGTTCTTCTTTCACTGAAACAACTCATATTATCTCACCAGCGAAGGGACGGATGATGTTCGGCTCAGCCCCATGGTGCGAAGAATGACCGAGGTAATCATGACCGCAAGGTGGAAGCCGGCTTTCACTCTAAGACTCTTCGACATCCACCGGAATCGGCAATCAATCTCACCAGAACACTCGTTGATTCTCCCCCCTTTCTCACTCTCGGTCTCACCCTTTCTCTCTCTTCGGTTCTTGCCCTGACTCTCCGAATCGGTTCTGAATCTCGCAGATCTCTCTTAAGAAAAACGAACCGCCTCAAAACTCATTTACGATTATAACAAAACCAACAACCTGGGGGTTTAGGGTAAAATGAATTTGGACAAACGGATTGGGTTAGAATTAAATAGTTGGGCCGATCCGGTAGGCGAGGCTACGGAGTAGGCCAACTAATTTTTATTTTCGAGGAACTTGTCGAATTAGGCCTCGAACGGATTAAAATTCTTAACACACGGTAATATTAGCGACAACACATCATTTATATTAATATAATACAAACAAAACACATAAATTAACAATATATGCAACAGTTGATTTCAGCATATGACATACACTTGTACATCACACGTGTAATTATAAACAAACAATACGTGTTATTTTTAATAAAACTTGTGATATTTTTATATTTTATAGATACTGATTCGATTCTAATTCTTTCAAATCAGCACTGTAACCGTCCCGTAAAATATAAAATTGTTTTTATTAGTTAAGGGAACAATTATAGTTTGATATATTTTATTATATATTGTATTAATACATTTTGCTTAGTAAAATCAATTATAATAAATGGTAAATTGTTTTCTAATCTTCTACATTATCCTTAGGGTGTGTTTGTTTGGGAGTTTGGATTTTGAGTTGGGATTTGAATTGTAAAAATTTTGAATTTGAATAGTTGTATGATGTGATATAAATAGACGTTGATGTGATGTTTTGAATGCAAAATTGATTTTTAGTATAATATAAAAAATAGAAAATAGATATTTAATTTTATATTTTTTAGAGAGAAAAAACTGAGATGAATAGTTTATTTAAAATCTAATAATAAAAAAAACACAATAATACAATTTAACTCTATATGAAAATTGTCTTCCAATTATTATTATTATTATTTAAAAAAAAAAAATCCTCAAGCACCAGAATTAACAGGCTGGACAGATGTGGGTCATCGGAGCTGACGTGGCGTTTATCGGTTCAAGTTATCAACGACACGTAACGACACGTGTCCTATTTTATTTATTTATTTATTTACAACTAAAATTCTATTTTGACCAAAAGTCAAAATCAAGCAAAAGAACCCTCCTCCTTCTCGTACCATCTCTACTCGAAGAGATTTCCTTCTATTTTTAGGGTGGGGAGAAAAAATTCGCTCCAACCCACCATGTAACTTTTTTTTTTTTTTTTTTTAATTTTAATATAATTATCTATTTATTTATATAATTATCTTTTTTTAATATTATTTATTTATTTATGTAGTTATCTATTTTTTTATATTTATTTAATTTTTAATTTTTTAAATATCATCGACAAAATAAAATTTTGTATTAATTTTTTTATTTTGTTTATATTTTATATTTTATTTATTTTATTTTGTTTTAAACTTTTATTTTATATATTTTATTTTATTTTATTTTATTTTATTTTTGTTACTTTTAATTTTATTATTTTTTTATTATAATTTTGTAATTAATATTTATAGTAAATTATTTATTTATTTAATATTTATTAAAATTTATAATTAATTGATTACGGTAAAATAATTATAAATTATATATATTAAATTTAAAATATTATAATATTTATAAATAAAAAATAACATTAATTATAAAAAATATCATAATATTAAATAAAAGATAAATTTAAATATACAATATAAAATTATGCGTACAATATTATTCAAAATTACTTAAATAAACTTAGAAATATAATATTGAATTAAACATGCAATATCTATTGCTCATCTATATTGTTTGGATTCTCATCCAAATCATTGAAATATTGGCTAAAATTCCACGGAGCATCTTCCGGTGAATTTCGCATCCTTTTGTGCATAATTTTAATAAATATAATTTTTTGGTATAATATTTAAAATATTAATTAAAAATATTATTATAATTTAAATGTATAAAAATAATAAAATATTAAATTTTATTTATAATTTTAAAAATTATATAAAATAAAATATAAAGAGAATATTTTTTAACTCTACAAAAATAGAGTGTGTGATTGAAGAAGAGACCCTACAACAAAAATAGAGGGTATGGTTGAAGATTGGTTCCTGTAACAAACCGTGCAAAAATGGTGAAATGTATTGTACACCATACGAAAATAGTGTTATGGGTTGGAGATGGTCTCGATGGTCGCTACATTCACCGCCATGGATTCCGACGATAGCGCCGGAAAGACAAGCCGGCACCACGAACAAAAAACTCCGGCAGCAACCTCCTCGCAGTAGCCACAACTTCCGATTCAATTCCTCATCCTCTTCCTACTTCGATCAATAAATTAAATAATCCCCAAAATTCCAACAAAAAAATTAAACAATCCCAGGTCGACCCTCCACAGGTCGCCGGCGCCGGCGCAACCCTATTCTTCATTTTTTTTGTCGAACCAGTCGAGAATCAGCAGGTTCGGTTTCCTCGCGCGCAATTTGTTAAACAAAATCGAGATTAAGCAATAGGAGGAGGATTTTTCCGATGTGCTGCGATGCGGCGGCGATCTGCGCCGGTGACCCCAATTGGCGCCCTTAGGGCACAATTCGCGTAGCCGACGGTGAATTTTGGGGGCTCCAGCGGCGGCGCCGCCGCGGCCTTGGGTTCTCTCTTCTTGTTTGATATTGCATTTCGGTCAAATTGGACCAAATTGTAAATATTAAAATTATAATTTAGTCTAATTGGATAAAAAATTAAAATAGAATTTTAATTGTAAATAAAAAAATATATTACACGTGTCGCCATATGTGACAAGTCGAACAAGTAAGCGCCACATCAGCTCCAACAAGCTGTGTATGGGCCAGCCTGTCGGTTCCCTTGTCGAAAAACTTTTTCTGTTAAAACTTTTTAGGGTGTGTTTGTTGTGAGTTTTGGATTTAGGTTTTGGATTTTTGAATGGTTGAAAATTGAATTTGAATAATTTTTTATATAATATAAATAGATGATGATGTAATATTTTAAATCAAAATAAATTTGTATTATAATATAAGAAAAATATTAATTTATTTGATATTTTCTTTTTAAAAATAATTTGAATACTAAAAACAATATAAAATCCATAAAAAATAAAAACCTTAATTTTCAAAACAATTTTTATATAAAATTAAATGCTATGTTTACTTGTGCGTGCTTGAAAATTGAATAATAAATTTAATAATAAGAATTATATTCTCTGCATCCAAATTTTCTTGTTACCATAAACAAGTAAATTTAGGAAATGTATGATTAGTAAATAACTAAAAATATATTAGTAAAATTAATTTCAATATAATAATAATTATTATAAATTAAAATTAAAATAACTAATTAATCTAATAAAAATTTAAAAAAATTATAAATTATAAAATTTAAAATACGATTAAAATATAAAATATTTTTCAGAAAAAAAAACATAATATATAGAATAAACAAAAATGAAAAATATGACATGATAAATGCAAACAAATATAATGAGCTAATTTCTATCTAAATAAATATAGCATCAACAAATCCCGTAAGGGATGACCTAAGAATATGAAGTTGGACTTGTGACGTATCATTGATTAGGTTTACATTTTGTGTGCTTTATTATTATTATTATTATTATTTTATTAAATAAAAAAAAAATTTAAACTTATGACCTCAATATTAATATGAACAATAGTGTAAATTTATCTATTTCTAAAGGAATAGAATTAAATTGTTAAAAATATTATGGTACGTTTTTTTGTATTTTGGTTTAGTTTGATTTTTATTTTTTAAATATAGAGAATTTTGTGTAGATAACATAAGAATATATATAGTATATTAACTTTTTTAGTAAAATATATTAATTTTTTTTTAAAAAAAGAAACAAACCATCATATAAAACATTTTGCAATTTTGTGACTAATATTTATCTATTATTTAATCTTTTAATTGTTAAGAATACCATTATTTTCATATAAAACATTTACACGTTTAGTAACTATTTTATTCAAAAATAAAATCTATAATAATAATAATAATAATAAATATATTTCTCTTTTGCCTATGATAAAAAAGATAAATTACTATTTTTTCACATAAATTTATGGAAGTTAAAGAAAAAATTTAAAATTATATCCCCTAGTTAAAATTATTATACTTAAGGGTGAAAAAAATATAAAATTATTAAAATATTGTGTATACATTATTACCGAAATATATTTAGCAAAAATATTAAAATTTTAGTATACTGAAAAATTTGATATAGTACCAAACTTTTTATAGTAATAGTATATAATTTGATAATTTTGGTATATATAATATTTTTGATATGCCATATGTCATTTTGTTGGTACTCGGTGTATCAATATATACATATAATTCAGTATACTTATATAAATTATTATTTTATTTTTTAAAATAATTATAAAATTATTTTAAATTTAGATATTCTGATGCTAGCAATATATATCAATACTGTACAAATAATTCAATATGGTGTACCACAAGAACTAATTGAAGTGTTTATTGATTACTGTGTTTTTAAATTATTAATTTATATATTATATATATTTTGAATAAATGATAAATTCATTATATTTTATATACATATTTCATGTTGAATTTCTTTGTTTTTGTAAGGGTTTGCTTTGTATTTTGATTCGAAAGAATATATATTTTTTTTTATATGAAATATATGAAATTATATATGATAATATAAAAATAATAAATATACTCAATTTTGTAAAAAATTGGGTAAAATAACAAAAATGTCTTTGTTAAATGCAATTTTATTGTCTGTATCTATACTAAAAGAGTCTACTTTTATACAAAATATCTTACTTCCTTTGTGTTTTAAACATGTGCTTATTTTTTTATGTTTATTTATCTCCATTTCTTTTAAAAGTAAAAAATTATATATATATATATATAATAACCATTTTACTAAAAAATTATATATATATAAATATGTAATAACCATTTTACTAAAAAATAACAAAATTTAAAATGCTAAAAACACGCACCATTAAATAATTTTCTTTTAAAAAAAATTATATTTCTTTACTATAATTTTTTCAAATTATAATAAATTTTTTTTTTTACAAAATATCCCATCAAACATTATTTTCGTATTAAATTTAAACCATTTTTTTTAAAAAAAAAACACACCCAAAATTACTCCCTCTTACATATATACATGTATAATATATATATATATATATATTTAACTTGCCAAATAAAAAAATATATATATTTATAAGCGGTGTGTTTGTGGGCCGGGCCGGGCCGAAGCCTGTCTGACGCGGTGCCTTTTGGCACTATAAATTTATTTGAAGGCATGTGTCTGTTCTTTCCAAGAGGCGTGAATTTTGCCGCAATGGAGAAACCCTCGTCGGAGAATGACTCCTCAGGAGCTTGCACTTCCGGATCATACGCGGCGGAGGAACAGGCGGTCAAGGATCAGCTGAACTACATGGAGGACGAGGAGGAGCTTCAGGCCCTTGCTCGGAGCCATGGCGATTCTGACGAGAAGGATTATGAGATAACCGATGCTGCTGGTGCTGTGGAAGAGGTCGAAAATGAGGTTTGCTTCTGTGGACTTAGGGCTTCTATTTTAGTTGAAATCTCTTTGGTTTCCGCCCTCCGATTTTTACGCCTTTTGGTTCTGCCATCTTTGTAGTGTCTAGATACAATTCGAAGTCTGCATGTGTTGTTGTATTTTGATTTGTGACGCTGATCGCGTGATCATGACTTTGATTTAGCAATGTATTGAACTTGTTCGGTGAAGCGTAACACAATTGGGGGTTTGGGTCGATGTATTGCGGCTCGGTTAGATTTGTATTCGGCGTGATTGCCATTTCTTGTTGCTGTTGTTGTTGTTGTTGTTGTTGGTAATTTAATTAATTTATTTTTTATTTTTTATTTTTTTGAAATGGAGAATGATCGGAATGGGATTCCTGCATTTGATTATTATAGCATTTTATTTCTTAAACGTATGCTGAAGTTTATGGCTTTATCTGTGATTCAAGGTAAGGGCCTAAATTGTTGCAAATATATATTTAGTATGTTGACTGTTGAGTGACTTGGAAATGGAGCAGAGACACTTTAATGTGCCTCTCAGTTGTCTTCTGTAAATTTTAGAAATATATCAAGAGGTGGATTTTCATTCTTCCATCGTCCATGCATTAATAATATGGAGTTTTAAATATTTAGGCTAATTACATATTTGAAAATAGAGCAACTACTACATAAGTCTAAAAGATCATTATATTTTGGTTTCAATTGTATTGGGATTCTAAGCCACATTACATGCCTGAATGGTTTTTACTGGTGTTGTACTATTCTGCAGGAAGATGATGAAAATGCAGATGAAGTATCTAAACGCGAACGAGCTAGGCTAAGAGAAATGCAGAGAGTAAAGAAGCAAAAACTACAAGAAATACTCGAGGCACAAAATGCTGCTGTCGATGCTGACATGGTATGTTATCATACATTGTTGTTACTTGCTCCAGAAGTTAATCTTCTGTCTACTCTAATTTAACGTTGGCACTGCTTTATCTTGAATAGAAGAGTGGAAAGGGCCGCCTCAACTATCTCTTGAAGCAGACAGAGTTATTTGCACATTTTGCCAAGGCTGGTCAGTCTTCGCAACATAAAAAGGCGAAAGGAAGGTGAGGTTTCTAAGTTTTCTTGGTTAGTTTGCCCAAGACTCCATGGTGGCTGCATAACTTGAACTTTTCAGTGGGTTTTCATCATAATGATGTTGTGGATTACTTGGATAATTTGACGTCATATATAGCTCAACAACTATGGTATGTGTCCTTGGATTTACATTATGATCATAACAAAACCAAGTTTTGCTGTTGTATTTGCTGAAGTAGAATAGACATTTTAAGGAAGTGCATGCTATCTTTGACGGATCTATGTATTTGGTAGGCATGTTTTATGTTTAAAAATTCAGTTGTATTAATGCTAATTTGTCGTGTTCTGTTGTCTTTTCTTCTTTTGGAAAGCCGTTTGTTACTTACTATGCCTACACTTTAACTGGCTTTCAAATTTCTAATCTAACAATTTATTAGTTGTCGGTGAGCCTTTTTAATCTTTTCTCCGTTGACCATTCACTTTAATTTGTGCTGGGGGTTTAGCATTTAATAGCTCTTACCACGCTGTAGGCCTAGATAAAAATATTTACTTCACACAACAAAAAGAATGCCGATCTAAGCCAAATCAAATCAATGCTAAGGTGTATTTTATTGTTCTTGTGCTCTCCTAGATGAACTTATTTGGTGGAAATCCATCAAGACTAATTTGAAATATGATCTAAAACTTATTAGTATCAAATAATTAGAATCTGCTTGCTTTTGCTATTAATGTTGCAATCCTCTCCTAATAAATTATTCTTAGACCTTGTTGGGTCATCAAATTGTTACCATTTCTGCGCTTGAAATTTGTTTCTTTATTACGGCGGCATATTCCACTTCCAGATTTAGTAGCGGTGGTAGCCTCTGAAAGTGTCTGAGCATCGCGACTATGAATTTGGTTCATAATTAAGAAGTTAAACAAGTGCATGAAGAAATTCAAAGTCAATGAATTGTGATTGCTGCAGAAACTCTAGGGAACTAGGCAGAAATCTATGAGAGTATTATGTCATAGTTATAGTTAAATGGGGCAGAATGGAAAGTCTGTGGAGAATGCTACGAAGCAAAAGCAATCTGAGATAGAAGTCGATAGAAGTCAAAGGGGATTGGAAAAGCATGGTTATACTAGATTAAATAGAGGGTGACTCAATTGGCGATTCCTAACTTACTGAAATATGTTATTTGTTGCCACTATGTCCATCTTCTATTAAATGAATTGGTCTTATGTGGAGCCTGTCATCAGGTCACCAACTTCCTTGACCTTCCGGCACTGGGCAGGCGTCAGCCCCCATACATGGTCTTACGACTTTGCGGGATACGACTTTTATTTGAAGGAATCGAAACCTAATCTAATACCCTTTGTATGTCTTTCTGTATGTTGCAGAGGTCGCCATGCCTCGAAGTTAACTGAAGAGGAAGAAGATGAAGAATATCTCAGAGAGGAGGAAGATGGCCTTTCTGGCGCTGGAAATACGAGGCTAGTGGCACAACCATCTTGTAAGAAGATTTTTACTGCACTTTTGCTATTTTGACTACATTCTCATTCATTTGTTTCATTAAGATGATTTAGGTTGATAATTTTATTAGTTTCACTGATTGGTCATATGCATAATATTAAATTCCTACATACATGGTATTTTGCATTTTAAAAAAGAATTTTTTTCATTGAGTAGACCATTGCAACTTAATCATGTTTTACTCTAGAAGCTATATTTTGTAATATAGTTAATTTTATTACTCGACTTTTACCTTTCAGGTATTCAGGGCAAAATGAGGGATTACCAACTTGCTGGCTTAAACTGGTTGATACGCCTTTATGAGAATGGCATTAATGGAATACTTGCTGATGAAATGGTGAGGAAATAAACTATCACTCAGGTCCTTTTATTTCATAATATGAATATTATTGACATTTTATGCTGTTTTAAATTTAGGGGCTTGGTAAAACATTGCAAACCATATCCCTACTGGGCTACTTGCATGAATTTAGAGGAATCACTGGCCCTCACATGGTTGTTACACCTAAATCCACACTTGGAAATTGGATGAAGGAGATCAAAAGGTTTTGTCCTATTTTGCGCGCTGTAAAGTTTCTTGGAACTCCTGATGAGAGAGTAAGCCTGCACTACAATTGTGATATTGCTCATCCAAGCTTCTGTTGTCAATCTGTTTATAAGATCTTGTTATTCTTTTATATTTTCCAGAGTTATATACGCGAAGAATTACTTGTTCCTGGCAAGTTTGATGTTTGTGTGACAAGTTTTGAAATGGTCATTAAGGAAAAGGCTGCCTTGCGCCGGTTTAGCTGGCGTTATATCATTATTGATGAGGCGCATCGAATCAAGAACGAAAACTCCCTTCTGTCTAAAACGATGAGGCTATACAAAACTAATTTCAGGCTTTTAATAACTGGAACACCACTGCAGGTATTGTTTCAGTGATATTCTCTATTATGAGCCTTTGTTGGTGTGTAATTATAACTGTGCTTCTGAGTATTTTGTTGATTATACACTGCTTTTCTTAATTTTCCAAGAGGAGCATATCTATTTTTGTTTTGTCATCTTCTTTGTGGTTTGATATATTCTTGTAACATCCATACTCTCTTGGAACCATGATTACCTTTACTGGAAGCTTCAGTTTGAGATCTTTGAGGTATCAATATCCTGAAGGATTTGGGTATATTATTGCAATAATGGTGCTGTGTGCTTTCAAGTTTTCATTTTTTAGTTCTTGATGGTTAAATTCATGGATTTCTAATTCTACCTATGGATAGTTCCCCAAGTCATTCTTATATGTTTTCTATCCCGAAGGATTTGAAAATATTATGGAAATATTGTTGCTGTGTGCTTTTAAGTTTTCCTTTCTTTAGTTCTTACGGTTTAGATTCATGGATCTCTACCAATGGATAGTTCCCCAAATCATTCTTATATGTTCTGAAAGAAATGCTGCATTGCTTTTTTCTATCCATTTAAAGGTTATATCTGCCATGTAATGGCATGGTATGATTTGTGGCTTTAATAATTATATGACATTTATTTTCCTTGTGTATATATGCTTATTGATTATGTTTTTGATGTGGTTCATTTTGCAGAATAATCTCCATGAACTATGGTCTCTACTTAACTTTTTGCTCCCAGAGATATTTAGTTCTGCTGAAACTTTTGACGAATGGTTTCAAATCTCTGGTGAAAGTGATCAGCAGGAAGTTGTCCAGCAACTTCATAAGGTATACACTGCTATCTTTCCAAGTTGCATTATTCTATTGGTAAAAAAGTTATTCTCAATTGAGTAGATAATCTTTTTCCCAAGTTTGAACTGATTTATATACTTAGAAATTGGAAGTTAAAACTCTGTGCTGAAGAGCTGATTGTAGAGAATGTATTAAAATTCTGCGTTTGCCTTGTGGGAGAAAAAGATTCTAAGGCACCAGAAAAGAAATCCTAGTTCGTATATCTACTCACTTTTTTACTTCAGTTTTCTCTAATTGGATTTATTCTTATTTTGGTTATGTCAACCAGGTTCTTCGTCCATTCCTTCTCCGAAGATTGAAGTCTGATGTGGAGAAAGGTTTACCCCCTAAGAAGGAGACTATACTCAAAGTTGGTATGTCCCAAATGCAAAGGCATTACTACAGGGCTCTGCTTCAAAAAGATCTTGAGGTTGTCAATGCTGGGGGAGAACGTAAACGTCTCCTCAATATAGCAATGCAATTGCGGAAATGTTGTAACCACCCGTATTTATTTCAAGGCGCTGAACCTGGTCCGCCTTACACTTCTGGAGAACACCTAATAGAAAATTCTGGTATTTTCTTGACCTCTTTACTTTTACAACTGCTGCATACTTATTTTATCCTTACCCCCTACAAAACATGATGTGAATGGCAGGCAAGATGGTTCTTCTTGACAAGTTGCTTACAAAACTAAAAGAACGTGGTTCCAGAGTTTTGATATTTTCTCAGGTTAGTTAATTTATATTTGTTATCTTCTATTTTTCCAGAGTACCTATTCTTTACTAATTCTGGATTAGTTATGCCAATCCTTTCATAATATCTTTTGTGATTGTATGAATAGATGACAAGGTTGCTGGACATTCTGGAAGACTACTTGGTGTACCGTGACCATCAGTATTGCAGAATTGATGGAAATTCTGGCGGGGAGGATCGAGATGCTTCTATTGAAGACTTCAACAAACCAGAAAGTGATAAATTTGTCTTTCTACTATCAACCAGAGCTGGTGGTCTTGGTATCAATCTTGCTACTGCAGATGTTGTCATTCTTTATGACAGCGACTGGTAAGCCCTTGTGTTTGTGACACCGCAACCATTCAGCTGAAAACAGCATCTGACTTGGAATCATTTGCAGGAATCCACAAGTAGATTTACAGGCCCAGGACCGCGCTCACAGAATTGGCCAGAAAAAGGAAGTCCAAGTTTTCCGGTTCTGCACTGAGGTTTGTCTAGTTAGGAAGGGATTAGAATCCTCATCGGTGGTTCCTAGTGCTAATATATGTTAAAAAAAATTATCTTTGTACAGTATACTATCGAGGAAAAAGTAATTGAAAGGGCCTATAAAAAGCTTGCTCTAGATGCTTTAGTTATTCAGCAGGGGCGACTAGCTGAACAAAAAAGTAAGAATTTTGTTTTCCTGTATTGTTTTCCTTACGGTCTATATAACAACTGTCAATGGAAAATTTTGATATGTCTATGTCATGCAGCCGTGAACAAGGATGAACTGCTGCAAATGGTGAGATTTGGCGCCGAAATGGTTTTCAGTTCGAAAGATAGCACAATAACAGATGAAGATATAGATAGAATTATTGCAAAGGGAGAAGAGGCGACTGCTGAACTTGATGCCAAGATGAAAAAGTTTACAGAGGATGCTATCAAATTTAAAATGGATGAAAGTATGCTTCACTCGCTGATAACCTTATTTGCGAAGATGTTTATTTGTTAATATTCTTGCATTATTTCTCTTTTTGTGTAATTATGCTTCTTGGCCTTTTGCAGCTGCTGACCTGTATGACTTTGATGATGCCAAGGTAAAGTAATTGAACTTATGGCTGATTCATGTGACTTCTTTATCTTATTCTTACTATGGTTGTTAATTTTTATTATATATATATATATTCTAATCAATTTATTTTAATTATTTGTTGTTTGTAAAGAATGAAAACAAGTTCGACCTCAAGAAAATTGTAAGTGAAAATTGGATTGAACCCCCCAAAAGAGAAAGGAAACGCAAGTATGTATTTAAAAAGTTGAAACGTCTACTGACTTATCATTATTAGCTGGTGGGCTTGTAACTAACGTTTTGGTTTTCGATGCGCATTCAGTTACTCTGAATCAGAGTATTTCAAGCAGACATCACGCCAAAGTGCTCCTGCAAAGCCCAAAGAGCCTCGACATGCCGGCCTGCCACAGCTGTAAGCATTTATTCATTTTCCGAATATACCTTTTATAAATATGAGTACCTCCATCAGTCCATCTTATTGCATTTTACCTTGAGTTCCTCAGCATGTTTCCGATGTAATCGTTTTCAATATCGGTTTTGAATATTTCTTTTTATACTTACGAGTACCTTCATCCTAATGTGTTTTTATCTTCTACCAGGTATGATTTTCAGTTCTTCAACAGAAAGCGTCTCAATGAGTTGCACCTAAAAGAAGTCGACTACCTTATGGTGTGTCTAGCCTTACCCTTTCGATTTCTTTCAGATCTGCATTTTGGGTATCTTTCTTATTTTGTTCTTGTTTCTTTTTCGCTGCACGACAGGGAAAAAGTAAAATCCAAGCGAAGGATTCCGATGATGAATCTGAAGGTATGTATATACTTACACTTAAATCGAAGGCACTTTCTTTCTCTAGATTCTCTGATACACTGTTGTCCTTCCAGATGCGAGAGATGCCTTGACGGCCGAGGAACGGGAGGAGAGAGATCAACTGTTGCAAGAAGTATATTTATATATCCTTTAATCCGATTTGGTATTTTTGCCGTAGTTAGCTTCATCTGACAATTTCTGCGCGCAGGGTTTTGGTTCGTGGACCCGAAAAGACTTTCAGTCATTCATCAAGGGCTGTGAAAAATATGGTTGGAATGATGTGGAGGGGATTGCTGATGAAATGGAAGTTAAAACAGAGGAAGAGGTGGAACGATATTTACAAGTTTTCAAGGAAAGATATAAAGAATTGAGCGGTAAGCGTTAGCTTCTTACATGAAATTTATCGTTCTCCAATGATTGAGATTTATTTTGGCGACAAATTCATTTCTATATTGATATTTATTTGGGCGATTCCACAGAGTATGATAAGATCATCAAGAGCATTGAGAAAGGAGAGGCTAGGCTTGCTCGCAGAGACGAGATCATGAAAACGATTGAGAAAAAGATCAATCGCTACGAGAACCCCTGGCTGGAATTAAAGATCCCGTACGGCCAAAACAAAGTGAAGCTATACAATGAAGAGTGCGACCGTTTTATGGTAAAAACTCCTCTTTTTTTTAGATGCGCAAACATTATAGTAGCTGTTCTTCGTGCTATTGTCACAATGTGTTTGTATTCCATCTCAGATCTGTATGATCCACAAAGTTGGCTACGGTAACTGGAATGAGCTCAAGTATGCCTTCCGCGAGTCGCCAATTTTCAGATTTGATTGGTTTGTGAGGTCGCGGACTCCTCAAGAACTTGCAAAGAGATGCGACACTCTTATCCGACTGATTGAAAAGGAGAACCAAGAATTAGATGAGAGTGAAAGACCAACTCAGAAAGATAAAAACCTCGGAAAGGTAGATTATCTTCTTTAAAGCTTAGTTTAGTTATTTTTACAATGCTCTCTGTTTCGGTCAAATGTGCCAATTTTTTTACTCGATTGTTGTTATTTTTTACTGCGACAGAGTGTTGCTGCTGGTTCATCTAGGCGAGGCGGTGGTGGACAGGATACTGAGAGCCCCCCTCCGGGGCAGAGGAAGAGGAAGCAATCATTCGATGACAGCAGCAGCGTGCAAATCGATTGAGCTTCGACTCTGAGGTATGCCGAGGCTTGACCCCTACCCCTACCCCTATCCCTACCTGCACCCCTCTTACATGCATGGTGTTTATTAATCGGAACTCTGTCTTGTTGTTATGTTATGTTGCTCAAACTTTGGTTGTGTTATGTTATGTTATGTTGTTGTGTAATAGACACAAACAAACATGTTGTTAATTTATAATATGAATGAATGTGACAATGGCTCTATATAAGTTTTTATGTGAAATTTCTGCTTCGATTTATTGCTTTTGATGTGTTGTGTAGGCTCGTTTCTCCTCTCGTATGTGTGTATAGATATTTATGTGTATCTATATACATATACATGTATATATATATTTATGTGTGTATCTCTACACACATATGAGAGGGGGGCACAGTAGGGAGGGGTGTGTATCTATATACATACGTGAGAGGAGACATATACACATATGGGAGGGGGCACGATAGGGGAGGGGGGACATCGGAGTAGGATGAGTTTAGTGAATATATGTTGTGTTATATATTTTTTATTTTTAATTGTTTTGTATTAGTATATTTATTGTGATGATATACAATGTGTATATTTGTGAGATTTAATTTTATGTTTTATTATTTCAATTTTTTTTTCTGAAAATATTAGACCGAACATTTACTTTTTATTTATTATATTATATTAAAAATTAAATTTTATATTTAAAATATTACGACAATACATATTTATATGATATTAAATAATTATTTTAATTTAAAATTTTACTATTCAAAATGAGTATGTTTGTTAGCATGTTTCTGGCATTTGGTCACTTACTATTTAATGTGTCAGTCAGCGCACGCTGAGCTGTCACTTATCAAATATAGTTGTTTGTAATTATTATAATATCAAATGTGTTTTGTTTGAGGAATTTTGAGTTTTTTTTTTTTTTTTTTTAAATATCAATTCAAATCTCTCTCTATTTATTTTTGTATTATCTTAAAATTAATTTTGGTATTCAAAATACTAAATTAATGTTTGTTACTATTATAATCTATCTCTATTCAAGGTTTAAATTTACTATTTAAAGTTCAATTAAAATCACCACAAACTAAAAATTCTTTTCAAATAAAATCAAGACATAACTATTAAATCTTTTGTGGGAGTTTAGGTAGAATGTGATTTTATATGAACGTGATAATATATATATATATATATATATAAAATAATATTTTGTACTATAATGTTAATTTTTTAATGAGAGAATAAAATATATTATATATATTTGTTTTGAAGAAATTTAACAAAACTTTATTATTTATTTATTTTTTTTAAAATATTAAATCAAAATACTTATTTTTTATTTTTAATATTATTATTAAAAAATAATTTTACATTCAAAATTTGTATATATAACTATTTATATTACATAATTTTATTATTTCGATTTAAATTTTTTATTATTCAAACTTAATATCCAAATATTCAAACAAATTGAGAATCATATTAAAAAAAAAAAAAAAAAAAAAGTAAACAAACCCTGATTTTATTATGTAAATAGATTTTTATTTTTTTTTATTACGTGAGAATCCGCGGTCGTTACCCGAAAGTGTGCTGTGGGTAAATCCTCGGCCGAACCGATCATAAATCCAACCCCTACACCACCAGACCATCTCTTACGGGACATTATGTAAATAGATTTTGATATTACATTTTATGATATAAAATAATATACTCTATATTTTTATTTATTTAAAATAAAAAACAAAACATACACCGCCTAAATTTGCAAGCAAAGAGAGATTTGGTACGTAAACATCATCACATTACATGTGACTGACGTATGGTACCAAACCATGCTATTTTTAGAGCTCACTTTCACCGCTTGGTTTGAATCCAAAAGGAGCTTTTGCCGATAATTACATCATAAATAATAATATTATTAAAAATAAAAAATAAATGAGCAGTACCAACTTTATAGTTAAATGGCCGTTCTTGATATTTAATATAGTCTGCAAGATGAAATAGAAGACTAATAAAAGCATTTAATATTACTATTTTTTTTTTTTTAAAAAAACTATATATACTTTCACCATTTCCGTGTATTTATTCGTCTATTTTTTATAAATAAATTTTAAAATATTAATATTTTATATTATGCAATACAAGGTGGGTTTGTTTTGGGAACTTGGATTTTGAGTTGAGATTTGAATAGTAAAAATTTTGAATTTGAATAGTTGTACGATGTGATATAAATAGGTGTTAATGTGATATTTTGAATGTAAAATTAATTTTTAGTATAATATAAAAAATAAAAAATAAGTGTTTTGATTTGATTTTTTGAAAAAAAAAATGGGATGAATAGTAAATTTAAAATTCAATTTCCCGAACAAACACACTCTAAACAGATGAACCAACAATAACATTCCTAGATTTTCTACACTTCCTCCGAGATAATTCTATTATTTTTTTTAATTACGAATCAGCTGCTAATCCAAATCAAATCAATAAGGTATTGTGTTATAGGAATGACCAATATTATATGTATTTAACATATTTATAATTCCAATATGTATTCTATATTACTCATTATATATTATCTTATAATACAACATACTCAGATATTTATAAATATATATTGGTCACCCCATATGCGTGTTGATCCGGTTAAATCAACATCATACTAACTTGGCTGGATCGATCTGCAGCCTTCCTTTTGTTATTTGCCAAACTTACGCATAATTTAGATATAATAAATAATTATATTTACTTTAACACTTTTATTATTTATAACTTAACAAAATAACAAAATTTTCACCATTTTGTTTTTGTTTTTTTAATTTTTTTTTTAAATTATCTCATTTTTTTATTATCTTTTTAATAAATTTTTCACCAACATTCAAAAGTTCAAACTATGCTATGAAATGAGGGAGTATATTTTACACTCATTCTGGCCTAAAAAATAATAACATTACTTTTTAAATTTTTAATTGTGCAATAACCTCACACATAATTAGTTGATATTAAAATTTTATCTACTCATAATTTTATTGTAATTATTTTAATAAATAATAAAAGTTTTCACTTTTTTTTTTCCCAAATCAATGACATTGTTAATAATTTATAATTTTTTTAATTTAAATTAAATTATTTAGTTAATTTTAATATATAATTATTTATATTATATAATAATTATTTTTACTAATACAATTCCTAAATATTTATTTATTATACTTCTTTTAAAATCTCGTGTTTACGTAATATGAATAATTTTCATAGAATAATAAAAGTATAATAGAAAAAGCGTGAATCAGACAGTGACCAGTCAGAATATACAAATCATATAAAAACATATAACATATATTTTTGCATAACACATCAAAGTGTTATAAAATATATACGTTGAACTACAACATTAACATATATTATAACTATTGTATCATAGTATCTAATATAGATTTGATTGGGTTAGCATCACTAGGGATGTCAAATGGGGCGGATTAGCCCTGGACCCGCCCCGGATCCGACGGTCTTAATGGGGCGGGTTCGGGTCTAAAAAATTTGGTTTGGAGCAGGTTGTAGATTTTGAATTTTAGATTCGGCTGGGTTCGGGACAGATTACGGATTTTATTATAAACCCGCTCCACTCCAGACCGGAGTCGAACCCGGATATTTTAATAATTATTATAATTTATTTATATTTTTATACAATATAAACCATCACTACGAATTATTATCAATATTTTATTGTTCTTATTTTTAAAACTATAATATTTTGGTATTTTGACACATACTTTTTTTTACTATTAAATTATTTTAAAATTTTTTTATTTTATTCTTTTTTAAAAAAAAAAACGGGTTTATCGGATTAACCCCGAACCCGGATGCGAGACGGGAGCGGGTCTTGAATCCTAATATTTTCTAGCGAAGCGAGTCCCGAGGCCTGCAAAATTTGTCCCGAACCCGCTCCGTTGACATTCCTAAACATCCCTGTGGACCACACTCTTATAATTTATATCAAAATTAAAAGTATTTTAATATGAATATATTACTCCTATAATAAAAAATATATCAAGACAAAAATAATAATAATAAAAAGAAGTACTTTCAATCGAAACGTACACGAACAGAATAGTTGTATACCTTCGCTTTACTTTCCTCTAGCTCTGTTAAAAGTGAGCGTTGGATCTCACCAATAATCGTTACACGAACATCGGCCATCCTTAAAATGATGAAACCGATTCCGATCCCTCGCTATAATCTCCCGACCAAATATCTTGGATATCATCTTGCTAGCCTCATGGCAATCCCCACACACCCTAAGGTTCTTTACGATCCTCAACAACGTACCCGGCTTCGTACTAATCAACCCATATGCGATCGCAACCTTCTCGCTATGCTCCGCCGCCGCCTCGCCTTCCTCCGACGACATCTTGGGGACGTGCCCCGCCGCTTTCAACAACCTGTCGACTTCCTCCAACATTGCGTAAATCTCGTTGCTCCGCGGATGCGTTCGATCGCCGACGAGGAACTCGTGTACGACGCTCCCCACCTCGATGCTCGTCGATCCCGGGACCTTCTTCAGTCCCCTGTCGTTCGCCGCCGTCCGAATTCTCGCAACGTCGTCCCACCTCCCGACGTCCGCGTATATGTTCGAAAGCTGCACGTACGCGCCGGGATTGTCGGGCTCGAGCTTGAATAGCTTCTCGGCGGCGTATTCGGCAAGCTTGGGATTTTTATGCATTCGGCATCCCGCGAGAATCGCGCCCCATATCGCGCCGTCCGGGTCCATCTCCATCGTCTCGATGAACTCCATCGCTTCGGTTAATCGCCCCGCTCGGCTCAAGAGATCGATCATACATCCGTAATGCTGCACCTGCGGAGAAACGCCGAACTCCGTTTTCATAGAGTCGAAACATTCGCGACCGGCGTCGACCAAACCGGCGTGACAATAGGCCGACAATAGCCCGACGAACGTAATCTCGTCGGGTTCGAACCCCTCGCTCGTCATTTTCGAGAAAAGTTCGATCGCCTGAGTTGCGTCGCCGTGCATTGCTGACCCAAATATCATAACGTTCCAAGAAGCCAAATTTCTCGTCTCCATGCCGTAAAAGATCCGCTTGGCAGCTTCAACGTCGCCACATTTGACGTACATGTCGATAAGACTCGTCCAAAGAGTCTCGTTCTGGAGGTCGCGGAAGTTCTTCTCGACGAACTTATGTATCCATTTTCCGAGATCGAGAGCTCCCGAATGAGCACAGGCGGGAATCATGTTCAAGAACGTAACTTTGCTCGGTTCGACGCTGTTCATCTGCATTAGTCGAAAGATTTCGAGAGCTTCCTTGTACTTGCTTGCCCGCGAATAGCCACCGATCATAACATTCCACGAGATGAGGTCTTTTTTCCGTAAGCCATCGAACAAACTCCGAGCGGTATCAAGATCGCCACACTTCGCATACATGTCGATCATCGCGTTAACGATCCGAAGATCCGAATCATAGCCATGTTCGATTACCCACATCCGAACCCAATTTCCGGTTTCGATTGCGCCGGCATGAGCGCACACGGAAAGCACGCTCAACAACGTGCTTGTATCGGGAGACACATTAGCGTTCCTCATCTCATCGAACAAATTCAAGGCATCATCAAACCGACTAATTTGAGCATATCCTGATATCATCGCATTCCAAGACACGACATCTCTAACAGGAATAGAATCGAAGAGCTTACGCGCATTATCAATATAGCCTCCAGAGACATACCCGGCAATCAACGCAGTGAACGACACGGCATCTCGGAAATGGCTCCTGTCGAACACCATTCGAGCGTCGTCCAAGCTTCCATTCCGAGCGTACATGTTGATAAGTGATGTGTGGACATGTACATTGTCTTCGAGCCCGAATTTAAGAACCTGAGCATGAACCTGTTTCCCCGAGGCTGCTGCGCCGCCGCAAGCCTTAAGAAGAAAAGGAAATGTGTAGGAATTCGGATCGATACCGAAAAACAACATGGTTGCATAACAACGGAGAGCTGAATTTGGGAATGAGGCAACAGCATATCCTCGGATCATCATATTGTAGATGATGTGATTTGGATTGGGAATTGAGTCGAAAATCGACTCGGCGTAAGAGAGATCGACGCAGGGGCCGATCGAGCAGAACTGGAGAAGTTTGCTCTGTGCAAAATGTGTGTTGTGAAGGCCAAATTTGATGAATTGGGAATGGATTTGCTTAAACTTTTCGAAAGTTTTGCAGGTGGAGAGGAGTGTTAGAGATGGATGTTTCTGAAGGAGTTCGTAGGGAGGATCTGAGGAGTTAGGCAGGAAGTGTAGGAACAGATTATTGTTCGACGCTACATGAATCGCCATGGCTAACAGCAAGCAAGCAAGCTAGGGTTTCAACTCAAATTCAAATACCTAAAAAAAAATTCAAATAACAAAAACTCAAATTCAAATACCTTGGAGGCAATAATCAATCGTGTTCATACTCATACAACTTACCGGCGAAGGAGTTCCATCGATGCTTGCACAAACAGAGCAATGGAATGCAAAGCTTTTGCCGCCGATGCCTCTCCTCCGTTCCCTGCGAATGCCATTAATGAAGGACGCAGGCGCGCACAGTTAATTAATTAGGTATAACAAAACATGATTAGAGAGAAAATTAGCTATTAGGAACGAAGCGGAAGCCATTAAAGGCCTAGACAAGCAAAAGCAGGATTGGATTGAAGAGCCATTGCTACCTTGCCATAATTATGAGAGATTGGTAATCGAGATTGATTGGGGTGAGTATTTCTTCTCTCTCATTCTGTCTATCAAAGATTTCTTGATGGAGATGGAGAAATTAGTTTGATTTTGATTGGCAAGAAGCATGCATAGCTAGCTTATCTTCATCTTCATCTTCATCTTCATCTACTTTCAGTCTGTGAATAAATAAAAACCCCAAACCAAAATGGCGAAGTTGATAAGCAAACCGTGGTCCACCTAGAAAATTTTAAAAAGAATAAAAATTAAAATATCTAGTGATATTTTTGTTTGAAAAAAACTATTTACTCAGTTCCATAAAACATTAATGTGATTTTTATGGAGGTGCTGATTAATATTAAACTTTTAATTTTATTTGATTAAAATATAATGATTAAGTTAAATAAAAATAATCTTTTTTAATTAAATTTTCAGAGCATTCTAAATTAATTTAAGGTAAATTTTCATATTCGTGTTCGTTCCCCTTTTTTCTTCTTCGAATAGTCATGAACTCTTTTTTTAATTTCGACCATTGTAGCTTTACACTCGCCGACCGTCGTAGCCCTTCAACCGCACCACCGACAACAAACAGTCTCTCCCTCCTTTCTTCTACTCTCTCTCTTTTCCATTCTCCGCTGCCGATTAAGTCACTCCTCCGTCTCTTCCATTCTTTCCCGGCAATCGTTACGCTTCATCACTGATCATCTTCTCTACTTCTGACCGGCACCGACGAAATAAGAAGAAGGGTGTATAAATATCGAGATTATATTTGTCATCGGACATGGCTGTAGTGTGCTTAATACTTCAATTGAAAATGTTTATTGATGGATTTGTAAATGCTAATTCATAGAATCCAAAATGTTTATAGTAGAAATTAAATAATAAAACTCCATCCGTCTCGTTGAAAGGTTGTTATTTTTTCTTTTCTTCCGTCCCTAAACAAGATTATCATTTTCTAATTTAGTAATTGTACTACTTACCTAACATAATGAATATCCTTCCAACTTACACTGTATTACACAAATGTCATTATTTTTATATTACACAATACTAATATGGGCATTTTTGTCTTTTTCACTACAATTCATTATAATACTAATATTAAAGAATCTACATGAAAAAAAGTAAACGACAACCTTGCACCTAGACGGAGGGAATATTTTCTTTGTTGCATTTAGTATATGGTTTATGTTGAGATTGAAAATAATTTTGCCTGAAAAATGAGAAGAGGGTGAGGACGAGGAAGAACAAGAAATAGACTGCGAGTAATGAATGAATATATTGTTGAATTTGAATAGATTGAATGGAATGTGGACTTAATGGATGTGTTGTGAAAATTCGTTTAATTTAATTAAGAATGAATTGTAATGGTTCGGCTAAGATATTATTAACTTTGTATATATTGCACAATTATTTATATTTCTTAGACGCTAAAAATCAAATAATATATTGTGTATTGAATTTTAAAATTTTGTCATACGATTTAGAAAATGCCTGAGTCCTATATTTAAGCTCACCAAGTTTCATGTTATATAATATAATATGAAATACTATCTCATTCACGACTAAATTGAAATGGATGTTGTTGAAATATATTTGCCCGCGAAAAGGGAACGAGGAATGAGGAAAGAAAGATAGCGTCAGTTATATTAAATTAGATTAATTTTTATAATCTAATGGTTATTAACTAATCAACATGATGCTTATTGTTTCCTATTAGCACCCCTATTTTTATTTATGTTTGTTTCATGTCAGTTTTTTTATTTAATAATTGTATTATATGTCTAACATAATATATATTCATCTGATTTATAATATATTAATAAATATTATTATTTTTATATTATAAAATACTAATAAAAATATTTTTTTATCTTTTTTTACTATAAATTAATATAATATAAAAATTATTAAAAAATCTATATGAAAAAACAAATGATACACTTTTTAGGAGAAGTAATATATATTTTTAAACTCAAGGGTTTGTTTAGATAAGGGGTGTTTGGAGGTTTTTGAAAATCTGGAAGTTTGAAAAAAATAAAAAGTTAGTATTTAATTTGATGTATTATGAGAGAAAAAATGTATTTAATGTGATGTAGTTTAAAAAATAAATACTTCCAAATGTAAAAGTGTGTTGCGTAAACATAGCTTTGATTTTTGAATTTTGATTTTAAATAGTAAAATTTTGAATTGAAATAATTGTTTGATGTGATATTTTAAATGTGAAATTAAATTTTAGTATAATATAATAAATAAAAATTAGGTGGTTAATTTAATATTTTTGGACAATTTTTTATTGAAATAATAAAATCAAAATTATAATTGCACAAGTAAACACATCCCTAATGTTTTAAAGTTTTTAATAATTTTTTGGAACAATAAAAAGGTTAATGAAAAATATATTCTATCTCTTAAATAAGCATTAAGTTATTTTTCTTTATTATTATTATGTAAATTCTTTAATATTAATATAATATTTATATACTCTCTCCGTCCCATTGAAAGGTTATCATTTTTCATTTTCGTCTGTCCCAAAACAAGGTTACCATTTCCTAATTTAGTAATTGTACTACCTACTTCACATAATAAATATCATTTCAACTTTTAATATATTACACAAATGTCATTGCTTTTATATTACACCATACTAATAGGGGTATTTTTGTCTTTTTTACTACAACCCAATATAATATTAATATTCAAAAATTTACGTGCAAAAAGTAAACGCCACCATTCCACGGAGGGAGTATAATATTTTTCGATTTAATCATTCTGCAACACTTTTTTAGGTATTTCTCAAATATTCTATTTTTAAAATAAAAAATAATTAAATATACTTACATTTTATCCTATCACATCACTTAAATAAAATACATATTTCTCTCTCATTGTACCATCTCATTCTCATTCCCAAATTATCATCTTTAATACTATCGACCTAAATTCTCGTATAAACAAATGTCGCACCATATTTGGTACGAAGTGAGTACAAATTACAAAAAATAATAAAATAATTTTATTAATATTGTTTGATATAAAAATAATGATATTTATTATATAGATAATACATTTACTAAAAAATATATATATATATATAATATACCTTATTTACCAAATCAAAATAAAAAAAGAAAGATAATTATTAAAGAATAAAAAGGTATTATTTTCATATTTACTCATGACATCAAATTGTAAATATATGTATAATATTGAAAATATATACTACATTAAAATTTGTTTAATTCTATTTTTTTTTTTAAATTTTTTTTGAAATTTAATTTAGATATTTCTTATGCCGAGTGAAATATATCTATTTTATTATTTTTATTTTTAAATAATTTTTTTTTTTTCGTTTTAAAATAAAAATACTTTTCAATTAAATACTTAAATATTTTACTTTTCATATAATTTTTTTTAACCCCATTATATTTTAATATTTATGAAAAATATTTTTGTTAAAAACAAATCTAAACAAACTTAAAAAGAATTTACATAATAAAATAAATAATTAAAAATATTAATTATATCTACAGAAAAAAATAAAAAATTAAATTAAAACTTTATTGAGCAAAAATCATTTTTGGTCCCATTCAATATCACAATTATCAATTTTGGTCTCATTAAAAAAAAATTATCAATTTTGATCTCACTCAAATAAAATTTTATCAATTTTAGTCCCAAATCGGTTGACTGGGACTGAACACAGCCGTGTTGAATGACTCAGAAGGTGACTGGACGTCCCAGGCAGCCAAACACGGCCGTGTTGGTCTCAACACGACCATGTTGATTGCCCTGCATTTCTGAATACGGCCGTGTTCCTGGCCGTGTTCTGAACACAACCATGTTCCTGCCCGTATTTCTATCCATGTTTTCAACACAACCATGTTCTAGGCCATGTTCTTGTCCATGTTCTCAACAAGATCATGTTCTAGGCCATGTTCACGACCATGTTTTCAATATAATTATATTGTATGTCATATTTATTATTTTTTTCACTTTTTGATTAAAATTATTTGATATAAATATATATATTTATAATTCAATAATTTTTTTTTTACAATTATTTCATAATATAAAAAATAATCAATTTTTAATATTTTAAAAATATATAAAAATAATAATATATTAATATATATTTTTAAAAAGTTATAGTAAAAATTTTAAAATATTATTTTAAAATAATTATTTTTATAAATTATAAATTAAATTTATTATTCAAAATAATATTTTAAAATAAACTTCCTCCATCTCACGTTGGATGTTTGAGTCACTAAAACACGAAAATTTATGATAAATATAATTAGTAGATAATTAAAAATATATTAGTAAAAATAATTATCATATAATATAAATAATTATAAATTAAAATTAAAATAAAATAACTAATTAAAATTTTTTAAAAAATAAATTAAAAAAATAGTGTGTAATTATTTAAAAAAAAAAGTGATATAGGATGGGATGTGTGACAGACAAAAATTGCAATATGAACATAGTAAGTGGGACGAATGAAATATTATTAAATATATATATTAATATATTATTGTTTTTATATATTTTTAAAATATTAAAAATTGATTATTTTTTATATTATGAAATAATTGTAAAAGATATTTTTGTTGAATTATAAATGTATATATTTATATCAAATAATTTTAACCAAAAAGTAAAAATAATAATAAATATAACCTATAATATGATTATATTGAAAACATGACAAGAACATGTCCTAGAATATGCCTGTGTTGAGAACATGGGCAAAAACACGGGCAGGAACATGGCTGTGTTCAGAACACACGGCCAGGAACATGACCGTGTTTAGAACTCAGTCGTGTTCAGAAGTGCAGGGTAATCAACATGGTCGTATTGGCTGCCTGGGATGCCCAGTTACCTTCCGAGTCATTCAAAACGACCGTGTTCAAGCCAACACGGCCGTGTTCAGTCTCAGTCAACCGATTTGAGACTAAAATTGATAAATTTTCATTTGAATGAGACCAAAATTGATAATAATTGTAATATTGAATGAGACAAAAAAATAATTTTTACTGAACTTTGTTTTTATTTTTGTCCGGTCCTCAATTTAGAAACTGACTTCCAAGTTGTGAAAGAAGGAATCACGAACTATTGTATGTGCAAAATTCAAATAAAAATCATTCCAGTTCACTGCTGTTCATCAACAAAATTGAAATTAGGTCACGCAAAAACCCTAGCGAGAGCTCTGAATTTGTTCAGACATTCTGACTGATTTCAGCAACTAAATCACAAATTCGAAGAAGCACAGACGAAACGAGTTCACAGAACTTACCCTGCCGTCCAATATCGAACAAAAGCATTCAAACTTTCGAAATACTCACAGCAGAACAGATCCATCAATCATTTCAGCATATTGTCATCATCATCGATTCAACAAGATAAAAATCGAATGTATTACCGTGAAAGAGAGAACGGGAACTTCGCAGCTCAAATCAAATGTGACAGTTATTCTCGTTTTGACGCAAAATAAAAAAAAAAAATGCTCTGTTTTATAGTCGATCAAAGTTTCAGGAATGATAAAAGTCGCGTTTTTGAAAGTGCGACTTCAATCAAAAACGCGCTTTTCAGTTCAATTAGGAAACCCTATTTTAGCAATTACAGATTCAAATTCTCAGTGTACAAGAGAAGACATGTTGAGCATGAAGAACAAAGACTGTTCTTAGTGAGCAAAGAATCTTTCTTTTTTGCAGACGGGGAACAGAATCCACAAGGTAAAGGCGTAATGGACCTAACTGTGTTTTTGGCATAACTTTGTGTAATGGCTTCGTTCCTTTTCCCCTTTGTAGTAATTGGCATTTTCCTTTAGGAGGAGACACATTTCTCGCTTTGTGAAAAAGGAGGGAAACCATGGCCATGCACATAGCTTAGGCATCCATCCCTCAGGGGTATTGAAGGGTCGCGGCATCATAATGACATTCGGACAGCAGCAACAACTACACTTGCAAGAATATGTAAGTATGAATCTCACTGTCGTTTGTGTCTTGTTGTTGCTGCCCTCAGAATATATTCATTTCGTTAATTGCTATGACAATTGAATGTGTGCATCTTTCAAATATATATATATGACATCATCTTGAGAGGAATCTCTTTAACTCTGGAATTTCAGAATTTCAAAGATGATTCCACTCTAAATATGTGTTGGTGCATTACTCTGGATAGCTAGGAATCTTCACATTTTGACATGGTTGAGAGATACTCTTTAACCCATGGCTTTCCCCTGAGCACACATTGTTTTAGAGTTCATGAAATAACTATTATCAGGTAGTAAGTACTAGTGGATAGAGGAAAGAATCTTGAGGTGAGGCCTAATCTGAATCCTGCTAGTTGAAATATTGATGGGTTGTATTTACTTGTAATAAAAGAACAAAGTTGGACTAATAGGATGTATTTAGTTCATCAAAGTTCTTCGGCGATGCGTGGTAGACTGAATGACAGCTAGCCATGAGAGTGCTTCTTCGAAAGTTTGATGAGCTTTATCATGTTGAGAGCACTAATATCATTTTGTATAATTAAGATATGGAATCATTGAAACTTAAGGTTAATTAAAATGATATAAGCTATTTGATTATACTACTGCTATTATCGCGTTCTGATGATATATAGGTATGCAACGCATCACAAGAAAAAATTAGTAAAAGTGAATTATAAACATGAGTGCTGAATATATGTATTCGGCCATTGTAAGAAGGCTGGTAACTAACATCCTCCTCATGGATTTACTTTCCATGGGAGCCATCCCTAGCTAGCAAACAAAAAAGGAAGATGAGTGGAAAGTTCAGAAATTAGTACAGTTGAGTTGGTCTTATTCAGGCTAAGCTAGCTATGTGATTCGGAAGTATTTAGGTATTAAAGCCACAAAGCTCCAGCGTCTTTCAGCATGTTCTTGAGTGTCCCATTGAGCTGAAGAGTCATCACCGTGTTAGCAGATCCGACTAGCTTTCCCCCGATGAATACTGCAGGGACTGAAGGACTGCAACCCAGCTTCATTAGAGCCCACTCCATTTCCTTCCCCTTAGAGTCCTCATCGAGCTCATGGATCAAAGGGCTCACCCCTTGCTCATAGAACAGTCTCTTGATGGCATGGCACATACAACATGAACTCTTGCTGAATATCACCACTGCTTTCTGTGAAGATATTTTTGCTATCCGGTCCATTTGCTAAAATTGTAATTCTTTAAAAATGAGGGATTTTTGTGCTTGAGTTGCGGTTGAGGGTTTCATGGGTGCGTATTTATAGAGGTGACTGAAGGTGTACATTTACTTAGTAGCATTGTTGATGAAATAATTTTTATTTTTATTTTTTAAAAAAAAGGAAAAGAATTGAAGGTTCTTTAAGATATATTTGGATAGATGCCGAAAAGGATCAGTTCTTAGATTGAGACGACACCTGTGATGCTGCTGCATTACATGTTGTTTCCTATTAGTTCTTGGAATCTATTAGCCTTATTAAAAAATACAAAGATAATAGAGCATATCAAACCGAAAGCAAATTCACTGATAGTTTAATAAGATAGTACGGCTACTGGTTTTTTCATCATTCTTTTCATGAGGATAAAAGGAGTGCCACGCGCTATATAGTGATTGTGTGACTGAGCGATGGGAATGTCAACGTGATAGGTTGGAATCTGCAGATTTGGGACGTGGAAGGAAAATCCGACACATACTTGCATCAGCTGATGGTGAAATGCTTTGAGAACTGCTTTAAGATTGTTCTGCCAAGTGGTCCATATGTATGTTGGATTGAACAGAACATCCTGAGTGAGTAAGTGTGTGTGTCTGGAAGGCCTTGCGTCAAGAATCATTAATGATGACTGTATATTTGTGCTGGGTAAGTGGCTTGATTAAGGTTGTTCTCGCCCACTTCACACACTGCCTTTTGTATGCTATAAGAAAACTCAGGCAAGTATACCTGTTCCGATAAACCTCTGAAATAGATATTTCTTACAAACTATAGGTGAGGATCGTGAGGTTCACAATGATAACACAATAGGATGCTCCTTGTTTGAATACCATCACGTATATTCCAAGGCCTTTGTGAATTAAAATTATACGCACAGACGAGAGGACATGTTGAACGACTTAAATATACAAGTGTGAAACAATACCTCTTTCTATCTTTGCATTATGAAATTTAAGGCACCTGAGAAAAAAAAAAAAAAAAAGGACTATTGAGAACAAAGTGATACTACTTTATAAAGTTCTATAAGAACACTCAACTAGGTGATGTGGGGCACAAATAATACATAAATAGTTTGTGCATCATCTTAGAAGAAAACTTGCTAGGTTACAATATTCAATGGTCGGGTTAGTTCAACCTCAATTCAATAGGCTCGAGAGAAACACCATGACGCCTTTGTTGGCTAGGGTGATCGTGAGCTTTATATTATGTCTGAATTTAATGTTAGAAGAGCTTGAGCCTTATTAGGTTTAAACTCAATGTACACTAGTCTCATCATGTTACCTATTTGTGAGTATATACATCAAAAGTGGTGGACATGGTGCTGATAGGAAGAATATATTTAGGGTGTGTTCGTTTGACAGATATTTTCGGATTTATAATATTTATAAAATTCCCCTCCCCCCTCCCACCAAGAAAACATCAAATAAAGTATCTCATTCAAAATATCATATCATACAACTATTTCAATTCATATTTTTAATATTCAAATTCCAACTCAAAATCCAAACCTCCAAAAAAACACGCCCTTAATATATCAAAAATCTATCAGCACCGTGAGATGTCCTTTATTAGTTTAATATATTTAATTCATATATGGGTTATATGTTGTTTTGTGAAAAAGGATATGCTGTTACTTCTGAGCAATAAAAGGCCTCAAAACTAAGCATTTATTTATATGTTCATTTGTTATATAAGATGTTGACCAAGATATACAAGATGCCAAGTAGTGTTAATGTAGTTCAATAATAATTTTGTTTTTTATTGAATTATTGTGCATGTGCTATTCTACATGATTGAATATGCTGTATGTAGATATATTATGTGTTAATAATGTTGTTCAATAAATTGATTTATGTTTGTACATTCATTACAGTTCGATATATTACATCTAATTTATAATTATTACTCCCTCCGTCCAATTTCTATTGTTCTAAAGTATATTTACACGGTTTTTTAGGTGATTGTCTTTTTGTTATGAATTGACAAATTTGCCCTTGATTAAAAGTAGTAAATGAATGAAGGGTAAATATATAAAATTTGTATTTAAGAAAGGAAATAGGACAATAGTTATTGGACGTCCCAAATAGGAAAGTAGGACATTAGTTTGTGGACGGAGGGAGTATTTATTTGTTACTAATACTTGTTATCTCATATTCTTGTCAATATTTTTTTTGACTCGACTTTCATAGCCATGGGTTTTACTGCACAACATATTCTGATGTCTCTAAAATGACTTGATTTGCTACCCTTAGTGTTTACAGTAGTGACACTGAGAATGACAAGAGAGTTTTGGTGCAGCTCACAATTCGAATATTTTACTAGTGCTATGAGCTTCTATTTGAGAAACACAAAACTCATGACTTAAAGTTTATAACGTATTTACTATATAGCACATGATGGAATACTTGCCTAACTACAATTCATGCATATAATCAGTCTAAATGATTCCTCTGAAGACATGAGATTATTGCATACAAGTAGCATAACTTTCTTCCTCCCACTTGTGCCGTCTCATATCCTTTAGAGAATATGTAAATCAATGGATAGTTTGCACTCATATGATTATATTAGGACCAGACACTGAGCTCTACGGAGTCTGCCGCTGTCAATCTTTTACTGATTATTTGCTGATTGGAAATGGATTAAGTTTGCAGTAAAGGTGAGATTTGACCGATATAGGGACATCGTGCATTATCTTTGAATACTCTCTAGAATTAGAAAAGCACATTCTTTGTTAAAAGCTATTCTCAGATGGGTTAAATAGCAGGAAAAATATGCAGATAACTTGCATTAATAAACCCCCCCCCCCCCCCCCCCACACACACACAAATAATAACTTAGCTTTGAAGCTACTAGAGAAAGTAAATAACAACCACTCACTTAAAATAAGGTGTTTCATGCGTAAGATTTGACAAAATAAATATTGCATGCATGCTAGGGAACTAATTTTAACTAATTCAAAATATATGCATGTGTGTGTTTTCCGAGTATAAGCTTTTAGATGATATAGCCATTGGGCTGCTTATGCTTGGTATTAGAGCCAAAATTTTCCGAGTACGCATTACAACTTACACTAATATATAAAACAGTGTTTCTTGTTGGAGGCTAGAAGTGAACGAATATGTTGAAGTGCCAAACTATTTTTAAAAAATCAAAAGTCGAAAGCAGTACACCTCTTTAGAGTTGAATCTTGATGGTTATTTACTTACTTCAGCAGTTAGATGCTACTTCTCATTTAACCTCATCAAAATTTGAGTATGAAGCAAGCATTGCCTCACCTTTGCGTGTCTCATACATGCATATGATTTAGTTACCTTGCGAATTAATAGCTGCTATTGCAACATCAACAAAATTGAAGCACAAAAAAAAAAAAAAAAAAATAGTTTCAAAATTGATACCAGGACTTTGTTCTCTAAGTTCAATAAAAGAAGACATCTGGCACATAAGTGAAGCCCCCTCTCTTTTCTCCATACATACATATATATATATATATGTATGTATTAATTACAATTTTCTCAAAAAGATACAAGAGCCCTCTACATTATCTTTTAATGCCTACAGACCTATGCAGAAAAAGAAAAAGAAAAGCGAGGAATGTGTTTGTTATCAGTTATCACACATTCATATACATATGCGACTAATTAGCCATGTTTGAGCTTTACACAAGTAAATATATATATATATAATCTTGAGATTTGAAGGCGAGTTCAAAGCCACAGAGCTCCAGCATCCTTAAGCATCTTATTAAGTGAACCATCAAGGTGCTGTGTTAGTAAGTCTTTAGCCGAGCCCACAAATTTTCCTCCAACAAACACTGCTGGAACTGATGGTTTGCAGCCGAGCCTTATCAGGGCTCTCTCCATTTCCCCACCATTTTTCTGCTCGTCTAGTTCATAGATCATAGGACTCACTCCTTGCTCGTAGAACAGCCTCTTGATCGCATGACACATGCAGCATGTACTCTTGCTGAAAATCACTACAGCCTTTTGTGAAGCCAGTTTCTGTACACACTCCATTACCGAGACAATTGAATGATTTATGCTGTCTAAGGATAAAGCCTTAAAGGTAATTAGCTGACTGTATAGCGGTTCAAAAAACAGTCGACTAGGTTTCTGATGATAGTGTCTAGGCATTTGTAAACTTATATTTATACTTGAAACCGAGGATTGCTGTATGGATGAGTGCATTGTTTAATGCAATTAATGGCGAAGAAAGAAGGGTCAGAATTCCTTGAGATCATCAAGAATAGATTCTCCCATGCTCTGTATAGCTGAGTAGGTTTATAATTGGAAATCCTTAGATGGATTCCCCATGCTCTGTTATTAAATTATCGATCTGTTTGCTAATAAGTTTTTAGAATTACATTTAGACGGGATATGAAATATTTGAGCAGATAAGGTCTGACTTTTAAGATTCTGTCCAGCAAAGTGAACCAACTGTTGAGTCAATAGAGAATTCTAGAAAAAGCTCAAAGAAAGAATGGAAGTGTAGATAACTCTTGACCAAAGCATATTCCTTTTTACCTCTCGGAATCTTGTCAGATGTAAGTCGGGCCACTGTGAAAATTCAGGTCTAAAAACAACACAGATCAATCATTCATTCTTTCTGCATTCACTGAATAACACTGCATTCACTCCTGTGACATCACATTCCGGAATCGCTTTAGTTCAGGAATTGTCGAGTTTCAAAGTTGATTCTGTAAGCATGTGCTTGTGCATTTATCTGGATAGCTCAGAATCTACACATCTTGATGTGATTGAGGAATAATCTGACCCAAAGCTGTTTGTTATCGCGAGCTTAGTTTATGTAATTAGTCGAGGAAGAGGCATCTAACCGTTATCACTTGCTAGACAGATCATATCATTAGTTGATTGTTTGTATATAGAATAACAAGTTTATTTCGCTGTCACATTTTTTTTCGGTAGACCTAACAACCACAGGTAATCATCTATGAAAAGTTTCCTACTCGAAAAGCCTTGTAGAAGAAAAAAGAGTGATTCCTAAGTTGTGCGGCTTATAATGTTCAAAGTGGGGAATGTCGAGGGGAACTGCTTCTTTTTCCATATGATATTTTTCTTTGTTACTATAAATTACGATGAGCATAGTTAGAGGCCATCATTGTTCTCAGCCTTGTACAAAAAAAGGTTGTGAGATCTTAATGAATTAAGCTTCTTTTATGTGCCTTGTTGTTAATGTTTTATTCTATCTCTCGGCGTAAAGTGTTGAGCCCGTTTCGCGCTATGTGATTTTATAAGCGCTCAGCCACAAATGGCCCTGAGGCATGAAATGGGATACTTCATAAGAAAAAGATAGATATATATATATATCGTGAAATGCATAATCCAAATAATAAAGAATTGAGAAGACAAAGACAAAGAGAAGAGAAACACAAGGGCATAGACATCCATTCATTAGTTGATATTCTCATGATCATTTCGACTTGGCTCCACCTTTCCGGAGGGAGTTTAGTCTCCGGTAGTTGAGGTGTAATAAAAAACCATATCTTGTTCAAAACAAGATTAAAGAGCCGACCTCACGACAGAAGGTGTTTGAGACAATTGGCCGAATTTGCAAGCCACCAAAGGCAAACCCTCAGTATTTATTACCTATCACATCAATATTCATTATGATTTCATGATTTGAATGGCCCTCGATTGGGGAAGAATGACTCTATAAATTGAAAAATGGTTCAAATTTATACATGATTAGAACACCTCGGAAGGACAACGGTTGCGCCTTCAAAGTTTCAACTTCATCCTTACCCACGAACCTACAAAAAATTGCTACAAAGGCAATTCGAGAGAGAGAAAAAAGAAAGAGTTTCTATTTTGTACTTTTTTTTTTTTTTACACACACGCACACAACTCGCACCCCCAACGGGAAATTCACCCTTTAAAGAGGGGTGCAACACAAGAACTTCCCGGGGGGTCACCCATCCTAATACTACTTTCGCCCAAACACGCTTAATTTCGGAGTTCTGATGAGATCCGGTGCGTTAGTGTTGGTATGATAGCACTTTTTTTTTTTTTGCTACAAAGGATTAGGAAAGTTTTTGATTGACTAATATAGAGTTAAAATAGAACTTTCATAAAGAAGAGGTGTTTTTGAAAACATTTTCACTTGATTTTAAAATTGTGCATTTTGAAAATTACCGCCATAATGGTAAGTAAATTCTATCTTGAAAATATATTTAATAATAAAATATTTTATAAATATCATCAATCATATCATATATCATATAATATTACAATAATAATAATAAAAAAAATTACTCAGAAAATTTAAATTCAAAACTCTCTAAACTACATACCAAAATCCAATAGACTCAATTAATAACATAATCTAACTTATAAACCAAATATCTAAAATACGTAAATAAGGTTTTAAGCATTAAAAAGGCTTTCTTGTACATGTCTTGTACATGTAAACTGGGCGGACGTATTAAGGGGCAAGGCTGCAGCCCTTCCTCCCCCTACCCCACCCCGCCTATAGTTATTTATTTAAGCTTTCTATTTTATTGTTTAATTATTTATTTAAAAAACTTATATACTCATATATTATATATAAATAATGTTTGAAATAAATAAATAAATAAATAATATATTTAGGATGTGCTTGTTGGGAGGATTTTTTTAATTTCTATTATTTATTTTTTTTTTAAAATATTAAATCAAATAATTATTTTTTTTATATTATATTAAAAATTAATTTTACATTCAAACTATTACATTAACGCTTATTTATGTCACACCATACAACTATTTCAATTAAAAAATTTTATTATTCAAATTTCAACTTAAAATTCAAATTCCAAACAAACACACCCTTAGTGTTGAATTATTTTTTTAATGAAAAATGATATTACTTTTTATTTAAAAAAATATAAAAATAAATATTTACCATATCTATAGTCATTATTTTTTCATTATTGATGTTATTTTAATTTATTATTTTGTAATAAAATTATTTTATATCAAAAATATATTTGTAAATTTAATAAAAATTGCTCCCCCTCTAAATATATTCTAGTTCTGCCCCTGAATGTAAATAGAGGTGTATTACATTACATTATATTTTGTAATGGACAAATCAATCGATCATACTGATCAACATATATATATATATATATAAACAAGAAATAAATTAAATAAAGTCGAATCAAAGCCAAAGCGCTCCGGCATCTTTAAGCCTCTTATTAAGCGACCCGTCTAGGTGCTGAGTTAGGAGATCTTTGGCGGAGCCGACAAATTTGCCTCCAACAAATACGGCGGGAACCAACGGGGTGCAGCCGAGCCTCTTTAGGGCATTCTCGATTTCTTCAAGTGCGTTGGGCTGCTCGTCGAGTTCATAAATTTCCGGGCTCACTCCTTGCTCGTAGAACAGCCTCTTGATGGCATGGCACATGCAGCACGTGCTCTTGCTGAAGATCACTACAGCCTTCTCAGAAGCCAGTTTTAGGACACACTCCATTGCTAATTTATGTATGTATTGATTTTTACTGTTGTGTTTGTATGGACGATTTGGTTGAGGTTTAATTTGGGGACGAATTGGTGCATGGTGTGTGTTGTATTTATAGTTTGGATTGAGTTGTGGATAATTGAATGTCGATTTTGGTGTTAAATAATTAATAGTAGTGATAATATTCTTGAGAGTATAATATTCTCAATATGTTTCTTTATCTAAATTTATTTTTATATTTTTTAGTACAAAAATACCGTTTTTTGTTTTTTTATTGGCTAAATTGCACAATATCCCTCAGTTGGTTTCACGAAATTGCGACCAAATTCTCCATACTTCTAAAACTGTGTCAAATTTTTTCGTGATTTCATAAACTCTGCATCTAACCCCTCATATGTTCTTATTTAACGATATTTAACTTAAATGCACCCAAACTGAGAATAAATTTTAAAATTTCAATTTCTGAACTCCTAAAATTACAAATATATTTATCTTTTTATATATTTAGCCTAAAAAAACAGTAAAAATAAACTCTTAAAATATGAGAAAAATAACTATTTAGTATATTTACCGTTCTGAGACACGGAGTTTATGAAACTACGAGGGAATTTGACGCCAATTTTAAAAGTACATGGTCTAGCTTTTTTTAGTTTTTACTTTAAAAAGTAAAAGATTTTATTTTTACTTATTTCTTTTAAAATGTATGACAAATCAAATGAGCACACATTTGGATAACTGATGGAGTAATAATAATACTCCCTCCATATCATAAGAATGATACATTTTTTCATTTTTTTATTTGTCCCAAAAATAAAAATATCATTTTCTAATTTAGTAATTGTACTACTTACCTAACATAATTAATACCGTTACAACTTCCAATATACTCCCTCCTTCCCAGCTACCGTGTCTCATTTCCTGTAAACACGAGAATTTACGAGGGGTATAATTAGTAATTAATTAAGAATGTATTAATGAAAATAATTATTATATAATAAAAATATTTTTATATTAAGATTAAAGCGTATAATTCTTTTCAAACTAGAAAAGTGATTGGATAAGTCAGACAGACGAAAATAGAAAAGTGTGGAATGAATGGAGTATTACTTTTATATCACACAATCATATCGAATAGGGATATTCTATTATATATATATATATATATATATCTTTTTTTACTATAAATCAATATAATAATAATATTAAGAAAATATATGTGTAAAAAACAAAAGTTGCTCTCATTTCGGAACGAGGTAATAATAATAATAATACTCCATCCGTCCCATAAGAAGGGTTTTATTTTCCATTTTTGTTCGTCTCAAAACAAGGGTATCATCTTCTAATTTAATAATTATATCACCTACCTAATATAATAAATACATTTTCAATTTACAATATATTACACAAATGCCACCGCTTATATATTACACAATTCTAGTAAAGATATTTTTGTCTTTTTAACTACAACCCAATATAAAGCTGATATTAAAAAATATATGTAAAAAAAATAAATGGTACTCTTTATATTAAAATTAATGTGAAGATGACCAGGAATGGATTCTTTGATGCTAATTGCAAGAATGTCAGTCTGGGTTGGCTGTGAGATCTTCCATGGATTCTTGCTGTGTTTTCATTAATTTATTTATTTATTTATTTATTTATTTATTATTATTATTATTATTATTATTATTATTATTATTATTATTATTATTATTGTGCTAATCTGTTTGCTTGTAAGGATTTAGGACTGTGCTTTATGGATTACACATAAAGATGTTGTGAACATTTGTATATTTATATATCCATGGTTGCAGTTATTGTGGTCACTAAAATCACTATTAGAAAAATATAAATGATTTAAAATAATAGTTTCGGAATCTATTCTGATCTTATAATAATACATTTAAAATATAATATTAACTTAAATAATTTCAAAAGTTTCAAGTCTATTCAAAAGTTAGCACTATAGGATTTCGAAGTTTCGAAATTTTATTAAATACATATAATTTTTTAATATTTTAAAATTTATACAAATTTCAAATATATTCTATGGTTTGAGTTATAAATCTTCGAATCTTAATTAAATATTATTCCCTTCATTTTAATACAATAGTATTGTTTATCATTTTAATTCGTTTCAAAACAATAGTCTCATTTCTATAAATAATCATATCACTGTAAAACTACACTTATTTTTACATTATTATTACACAATTTCCACTACTTTTTATACTAATACACTTACAAGGGTAAAAAAGTCTTTTACCTATACGTTGTACCCACTGGAGGGAGTATAACTTTTTAAATATTTAAATAAGTACAGAAATTTTAAATCCATTCTCAAGCCATGCTACCGGTTTTTTTAAATTCTAAACTTTTTTTAAATACTCCCTCCGTCCCACCGAGATTGAATCATTTGATTAAGGATACGGTATTTAAGGTAAGAATATTTAATTAGTTAATAATAATTAATTATGATATTATCCTATTAAATTTTTGTATAATTAATAATATTTATAGTTTTAAAATAAATTTAATATATATAATTAAAAAAATTAAAATATATATTTAAATATTTAAAAATTATATAGCAATTAAAAAATATATGCATTTTGTAGAGAATAAAATTTTTTATAATACAAGTAAATAAAAAAATATTTTTGTTTATATATAATTAACATAAATTAATTTTATAAAAGATGTGTAGTTTTAAATATAAATAAAAATATTTACTTTTTGAGGAGCGATAGAAATAAGGGGTTTCGAGTGAGTCCTAAGTCATTTATGATGTTGTATATTATGTAGTTAATTAAATTAATTTATATTTGTTAAATATGTTTTAATTTAATAATTTTTACTAAAAATAAAAATATATCAATTGTTACAAGACAGACAAAAATAAAAATAATATCGATTGTGATGGGACGAAAAAAATATAATTTTTATTTTATACCTCACACAAATCATTTCGGGATTGAATAAGTCAAAGCCCCATATGCGAATGTCAAACCTGTAGACCTACAAGGTCTTGGCCATGAAATATTGTTATGAGAAAACGAGAAAGAAAGCAAATAAAGAATACAGAGGTTTTACGTAGTTCTGTGATGGTGTGTCAACCTACGTCCACGGGCAGGAACCGGAAAGATTTTATTATACTGATTCAAATATTTACAATATGTCATCCGACTAAGAACCATAGTTGTCTATTTATAAGCACCCCAAAACACCTTAAACCCTAAGCCTATTTGTTATTAATTAGGATAAGCTCAAAAGGAACCCTGCCAATTGAAACAGCCCTTTCGCTTTGGTTTAGGGTCGGGTAGACCGCTAAATCCAAGTCACGTTTCAACAATCTCCACCTTGACTTGGAGTTTCTCCAACCGCCAAAGGTTCATCAGTATCTCTCAGTCGTCTCCTTCCTGCCAGATGCCCCGAGAGGGCTTTACCTCCTACGAATATTCACCAAGTTCAAGCAGTGCTCAAACTTCTCCGTCGGTAGCGCCTGTGTCAACATATCAGCTGGATTGTGCTCTGTAGCTATTTTCTAAATAGAAAACTTGTCTTCCTCCAGAACATCACGGATAAAATTCAACCTTACATCAATATGTTTGGTTCTCTCATGATACACTGGATTTTTAGCCAAACTCAAAGCACTTTGACTATCACAGAATAACACCGGTTTCTCCACCTTTAGACCCAAATTCTGCACCAGACCATGTAACCAGATACCCTCCTTAATACCTTCAGTCATTGACATGTATTCCACCTCAGTCGTCGACAGTGCAACCGTAGGTTGTAAAGTAGACTTTCAACTGACTGCACATCCAAATAAAGTGAAGATAAAACAAGTTAGTGATCTTCGTTTCACCAAGTCACCCCCTAATCAGAGTCTGCATAGCCAACAAGACCATCACCATGGCCTTTATCATCATATACCAGACAAATATCAGACGCTCCTTTCAAATATCGCAAGATCCACTTTACAGCTCCCCAGTGAGCTTTACTTGGATTAGCCATAAACCTGCTCACCACACTAACCGCATAAGCGAGATCCGGTCTCGTACATACCATCGCATGCATAAGACTTCCAACTGCACTTGAATATAGAATCGTCTTCATGTACTAACCTCTTTATTTGTAGCCGGTATAGTGCTTTGATCAAGTTTAAAGTGTGCCGCCAAAGGGGTACTTACCGGTTTGGACTGATCAACAGAGAATGCCTGCAAAACTTTCTCAATATACTTTTCTTGAGAAACCCATAACCGTCTTGCTTCTCTATCACGCCAGATCTCCATACCAAGTATTTTCTTTGCCGCACCCAAATCCTTCATCTCAAACTCACCCTTTAGTAGAGCCTTCAAGTCATTAATTACAGCCGTGTTCTTAGCTGCAATTAACATATCATCCACATACAACAGCAGATACACAAAGGAATCAGTAGAAACTTTTTTCGAGTAAACACAGTTATCAAACTGATTACGAGCATAACCATTAGACACCATGAATGAGTCAAATCTCTTGTACCATTGCCTCGGAGACTGCTTCAAGCCATACAAAGATTTCTTTAACAAGCATACATGGTCCCCTTTAAAACTGTAGAACCCCTCCGGTTGAGACATGTAAATTTGTTCTTCTAGATTACCATGAAGGAATGTTGTTTTTGTATCAAGCTGCTCCAGCTCTAGATCAAAAGCACCCACCATTGCCAAAAGAACCCGAATGGTTTTGTGTTTCACCACATGAGAAAAGACTTCATGGTAATCGATTCCTTCATTCTGTGAAAACCCTTTTGCCACCAGTCTCGCCTTGAACCTAGCAGGTTCAACACCAGGAATTCCCTCCTTTCTTTTAAAGACCCACTTGCATCCCACTGGCTTCACCCCTTTTGGTAGTGCAACAAGATCCCAAGTCTTGTTCTTTTCAAGAGACTGCATCTCTTCATTCATTGCCATAATCCAGGTTTCTGCATATTTACTCGCCATAGCTTCTTTATATGTCTTTGGCTCATCAGA